TGGTATCTGTTAAGAGTTTTTTTCAAACTAATTATCCCGCTGTCTGAAAGGGTAGTCTTGATAGATAATTAGGAAATGAGCTTGATATTTTTGTGGGTATGCAAAAATAAAATATAATCTTTCATTTAATCAATACAAACAAGATACAAAGAAACAGAAAATAAAATTGCAAATTAGGGGAGAATAAGGATATAGCCGTGGTTTTATAGCTTTAATAGAAACCGTTTAATTCCTTCAGTTAAATATTGCATCAAAAGCGATTTTAGCTCTTATTTTGCTAGTTTTTAAAACATAAATAAAGGTTCTTTATTGCACACATAGCATATGCTGATGACAGTTTCTCACGCTCACTAAAGTCGAGTAAAAGAAGACTCTCCTTTGATCACTTATTAATTATAGATCTAAGGATATTATTCATTTCTGTATGACTTTTAATACTTTCTGTCATATATGCATGTTTTCATTCATGCCGCCTAATTATGTTTCCATATTATGTTAATAAATAAACTCATTATAGATACCAGGATTAATATTTTGTACGCCAGACGCGCTTTTCGTTTACAAAAGACTCATCAAAAAAGTTTAAAAAGTACGAAGTTGAAGACCAAACTTCCGAAAGGCTTTGCCAAATACAGGGGTAATATATTCCTGGGGTGAAAAATCCGATGTGTTTCGAAGAATTCAAAGTTTTGTAAAAAGTTAATTTTTAATTATGACCATATTAATGAAAATTCATTTCAACACAGAAGTGCTGAATATTTGTCGGGTGATACCCTTCGGGAAGGAAACCTCCACCAGCAGTGACATGGAGCCAGTGATTGTAAATAAACTCATCATAGATACCAGGATTAAAATTGTGTACGCCAGTCGCGCATTTCGTCTACACCATATTATTGAAAATTCATTTCAACACAGAAGTGCTGAATATTTGTCGGGTGATACCCCTCGGGAAGGAAACCTCCACCAGCAGTGACATGGAGCCATTAATTTTCATTAATCATGGAATAAAAACAAGTTTAAAAGGCCAAATAAAGTACGAAAATGGAGAGCATTGAGGACCCAAAATTCCGAAAGGTTTTGCCAAATACAGCTACTGTAATATATTCCTGGGGTTGAAAATTCTTACTATTTCGAAACATTTAAAGTTTTGTAAAACCGACTATATATAAAGGTAATTCACTTACTTTCTAATCTACACCCTTCCGTAAATTAAATGAAAAGCTAGCAACAAACAACGTTCAATTTATTTAATGAACTTAAAGGTTGCATTGTGTATTGCTTTCAAATTTAACAAAATAAATATAATCACACCATATATATGTTAAAAACAATGAAAATACATACTAGTAATTGTAAAGCATTGCAGATTGCATTACTAAAAAAACATTTACTACTGATGATGTATGTTTATATTAATTGAGATCCATTCCATTTATAATTCTGGTGTCTATCATAGGTATGTAAGTAACAATCAGTAACAACATCATTCGACTTTTTTTATACACAAAGAGGAAAAATGACATAAAAATGTTAACATTGGTATGTACAAACTTTTATGTCGTATGTAAATGCGGTTAAATTTTGAAGCGCTTGCAACAACCGATACGTGGTAAATAATATGCTTAGTGGTAGGCGAATTTTCCCCGAATTTCTTCCATTCGAACCTGGTTAAAATACTGAAGTTGTTAAACACTAAACGAAAATTGAACATTAAAGAGTATGAATAATATCATACATTTAAGATTTTGGAATGCTTTTTAACATATATGTTATTCAGCGTTATACATTGATGTTGAAGACAGTTTTGTCAAAATATCACATATTTTACACGTATTTGTAAAACAAAATACATTGAAGGATATTATTAACTAACTTGAATTGGTGGGTGTCTAAAAGACAAAACATAGCTTGATTTTCAACATATTTTTTTTTGTTAATAATGTCTTACTTGTTTGTTGTTTTTTTTTTTAGTGATATGATTTCCAAATTGTTTCACCAACAAAATTGAAGTTTAAAGCCATTTTACGCTTTTTTTTTATTGTGTTCCATGTTCGGAAACACGCCATCATATCAGAAACATCAAAGAAGACACACATACATATAGGGGGAAAATGCTATTTTCAAGATGTATCATTTGCGCCAATTTACGGAATTCTTTTGCGCTAATTTACCTGTACTAATATTTATCGTACATTAAAATCCTTAATAAACTTTGGTACTATAAAAAAATAACTTATGGAACTAGGGACAGTTGTTCCAAGATCTGCCAAAATAATTAGAAAGTAGACTTTTTTGCTGATTATGTGTTGACCACATATGTTGGTGAATATGCTTGCCTTTTTATGCATCTGTCCTAAGTCAGGAGCCTGTTGTTCAGTGGTTGTCGTTTGTTGGTGTGATTCATAAGTGTTTCTCGTTTCTTGTTTTTTTATATAGATTAGACCGTTGGTTTTCCTTTTTGAATTGTTTTACACTAGTCTTTTTGGGGCCCTTTATAACTTGTTGTTCGGTGTGAGCCAAGGCTCCGTGTTGAAGGCCGTACTTTGACCTATAATTGTTTACTTTTTACACATTGTGACTTGGATGGACGGATAGTTGTCTCATTGGCACTCATACCACATCTTCTTATTTATATGTGTTTCCACTATCCGTATGGACTGAAACTCCATCAACCGCGAGACGCACTAATAATGGACCAGAGTCATGTCATAAGCACTACAATGAACTTGGTTTTTTTCCATTGCATTCATCTTAGATTGCTTCTTTTTTGGGACAATATCGTAAATTTTCAAGCCTCTACTTACATTAAATTGCACAAAGATAATTCAACAGTTAAATTATATGCTGAAGCTAAATTTGAAAAATTATCTGATAGAAGCTGCAACCATAGATTAATAATTCTTTTTCATTAAATTTTGAATAAAACTCCAGATTATTTCAGAGACTTAATGCATGATTCAGTGGGAGTAGACATGACAATTATACAAGACAAAGAAATAATAGTACACAATTCAACACACGGACCCGTTCGTAGATATTTTATCCCAGCTACAAGACTAATGCCGGTTTATTGCTTTTTATTGAAATAAATTGACACAATCGTAACTTTTTTTGACGCAAATGGTACTAGGCATTTTGAAAACTAGTGGCGTAAACGTAGCATTGGCGCAAAAGGAAACATTTTTGGCGCAAACGAATTTTTCACCTTTATGGGTACGAGAATCAGAAACCGTCACTTGTCAACATATCCACCAAACTGAATGAAATTATACTATTTCTTTGAAATAGTTTTTTTTTTCATTTGCTGCTGTTTTGTGGCACGGAGGGAGGAAATGTGTCCAATCAAAATAACATATGTTGATTTTGTCCTTAAATTTGGAATATATACCTCATTTTCTGAATTTTTATTCAATAAGAATTTATGTCATAAGAAATCAACAGTTTAAATACACTGCATGAACTCAAATCAAATCAAATTATTTATTGGTGCAAAATCCAAATATTGGATTGTGTAACAGTTACAGCAGTATGAAGTATTCTTTTGATATTATTCAGGATATCAGTTTTAATTATTTTGATCTGATACAACTATCTCCAGACTACTATCGCCATAAACTATTTTACAAATTTAGAATTGATTGTATCTCAAGAAGTATACATGTAACATATATAATATTTCGATTTCAGATAGCAGTAGTTCAACCAGTTCTAAACGCATTTACTAAATTTCATAAAAATCCGAAATACCGCAAAATCACGTATACCTCGCTTTTATTTATATTTGACCAACTTACATCCCGTTGAAAAATGGTTAAATCTTGGTTATTTCTTAAAACTTTTGATACTTAAAACATCTCTTTATGCAATATGCAAAATATGGGAACAATCAAGAGAACTGTTTCCAGCAATATTTTTTAAAGTTGCATTTCAAAAGCAAAGTACAGACATATATATATCTTTTCTGGTTTAATATTTCTTCCTTTGAAAATATTTTTCTATTCTTAACCCTTTTTTGTTGAAACTCAACAGCGAGAATTGCTATTTTGATTTAGTGTTGTTAAAAAATAGATCTTTGACTTGGGAAAGATTAAGAGTTTGACACTTTGCATAAACATCTGTCAATTTTTTTATAGTCATTTTACTTTTGATATTTTTGTTGTAGTGTTTCCTCTCATTGACATATACTCCACGTCTTTATTCACATTCCTGTATTCATCTCGAGTCTCAGTTCATTAAATGCGAGATGATGGACACTAGTCTTGTCACAGACAATTACTGGTCTAACACCAGTAGTGTGTTAACGTTAGATGAATTTGTCTTCTTTTTAGTCCCTTTTGTCCATATAACTTATCATTCAGGTATTTAGATACATCATTTGCTGTCAATTGTTTTGGATTTGAGCGTTCCTGATAAAGGTCAATCCAGAAAAGCGCTCCGAACGCACAACATTTTTATGAAGTGTTAGTGTTTTATTCATTAGCTTCCTGAGTGCTTCGGTTATTACAAACTAACGAATGCCAAAAAGAATTAATGCTCCGTGTTTGAAAATGTTTACAGAAAGTTATATAGAAATAAATGGATAGAACTGGCACTTCAAACTTGAAGTGCCAGAATTGTAGTGTAAAGTTATTGTACTAAATTTCAGATTTTCGTAGTTATAAGAAGAAAAAATAACATATGAAAGAACTAGATGTATACAGACTATCCAGATTTATTGTAAATATTACGACTTTACAAACAATTTAAGGCGAAGCAAATTTTTGACGAATCCTTGCTGTCAAGGCTGCGTTGTCAAGACAAAGTTCTTTTCCATGAATTTCAACTTTGAAAAGATAGCAAGACTCACACTAAAATCAAAATGAGTTCCTACGTTTCTCTTGTGGATTGTTACGTTTCTCCAATTTCATCATATGCTTTAACAACCCTAAAGCAGAAAATTTCGTTTTGCATTATAATCGTGAGGATAGACTTTGTAATTGCAATTTTTTCAGAGAAAATTTCTAGATGCTTTTCTTTTTCTCTTTTTTTCTTCGAACTTTGGACCAACTAAAGACAATATTGTCGACAAGAAAAAAAAGGGAGTGAGCTGCGCCAAAAAGAATGATTAATAACATGACTTTGGAAAACGATTGAAAAATATATGATTTTGAAAAAGCCAGCATAGATATACCAACAAACGAAGATACTGCCCCATTGAATACTGGCACGCCTGCCTTTTTTTTATTGCACCACGTGCTCCTTCTTGTCGATCAGAGGATCTATTATCCATAAATCCATGACATATGTAGGCACTAAAATCTACAGAGAACCCTACACTCATTATGATGTGAATCATTGTCAGAAAATTTAAGGTGAGATCCCAAAAATACATAAATCCAAATAATCCGACAAGTATCTTAACAAGTGTTAGTGTTATAAAAAATATGATGAGGTAAAATATTGACGTTACAACAAATATGGCTACAACTTTCATGCCGAGATTTTGCAATGTTTCTGGTACTATTGTTTGATACTGTTTAAAGAAAATGAAAGCTGGAGGGTACGTGTTAATTGGATTAAAAAGTTCACCTTTAAGGAATGTATCTCCCTCATGCAAAGCTCTGATTCCTTGCCCAGCTTTGGCTATACTTTTTGTCCTTTTTGGTTTATTGCTCTTCATGTTTTTACTAAGCTTTAGATTTTCAAATATTTTGGCCTCGAGCATCACTGAAGAGACATTGATTGTCGAAATGCGCATCTGGTGCAGAAAAATTGGTACCGTTTATGTTATTACTACCACTGTGTCGATGCCTCTGCTGGTGGACTGATAGTCCCCGAGGGTATCACCAGCCCAGTAGCCAGTACTTCGGTACTGGCATGAAAATACTGATTTTGTGTTATTAAAATTTGCTGTTACAAAATTTTGGAAATTATTTAAAATTAAGGAATGTATCTCCATCATGCAAAGCTCTGATTCCTTGCCCAGCTTTGGCTATACTTTTTGTCCTTTTTGGTTTATTGCTTTTCATGTTTTTAATAAGCTTTAGATTTTCAAATATTTTGGCCTCGAGCATCACTGAAGAGACATTGATTGTCGAAATGCGCATCTGGTGCAGAAAAATTGGTACCGTTTATGTTATTAATGTCTGCAGTGTCAATTGAGAAAACAAAAAATCTGGATACTTTGACTAGCCCGCTTGTATCATCGTTTTGATAAAAAGGCATGATTGGTAGAAATTTGGTACGAAGGGCTTTCGTAAAATTTACCTCAGATGAATTATCACAATAGGGCGAAAAACGAAAATATCTCAGCCAGTTTGAAGACTTAAAAGGATCGATGACTACATCGTTTTCGGCGTCATTTTGTAATTTTTGTATTTTTTCCCATGCTGTTTCGATGGCGTATCCCCCACTCTGGTGAATAACAAAAGAAATCGGAACACTTTTTGTGAAGTATGTTCTGTCTACTTCGTTGTACTTGTATAGATAAGACTTTTCAGTAACTAGCAGACTAAGATCAAGCCCTTGTTGAAACTTGAGTGCTCCCCATATAGAAATCCCCAAATAAATGATAAAAATGCAAATTATTACAACTTTAGCAGGTTTCATCAGTACAATCTTAGCAATAAACCTCTGAGGATATTTTTCCATTGGGCTTTCTATGTCTTCTCTGCTCATGGGTTTTGCTCCACTACACATACTGGGTTTCCCTTTATTAATTTCTTCTTCAAATTTAACCTTTTTATTTGAACAGCAATGCTTTCCCTCTGCTACTCTTTGCTCGTGTAATGTCATACACGCCATGAATAATGTCACATAGTTCAAATAACAGAGCAGAACTGCTGCACCTGAAGGCGTAATTATGTATAATTTAAAGTCTAAAATCATAGATACAGGAACAGAAATGAACTATTTACAAAGATTTGAGTTTTTTTTATAAGGAACTTTTATCTGAATGTTGAACTGAAACCTCGATGTGACTTAGAAAATAAATCGCATGTAAGACAGAGTACTGATAATATAGACGTTAGTACAATATATAGTACAGGTGGAAGATTTTTTTGTCAATGGTGTCTTATTGCTGTGTTTGTTCCTCTATAGTGGATATTTTAACCTGGGAAAGGTGATCTGTGTATTAGTTGTAACTAGCTTTCAATAACTGCAAGTACTCTTCGTGTCTATAGTCTTTTTGTTAGTTTTTTGTTGTTGCTTTGTACAGTTTGATCTCCTGTTAGGCTGTTACTGTCCCATGTTAGGAGATGATTGAGCGCTCACAAACATGTTAAACCCTGTCACATTCTGTATGTGCCTGTCCCTAGTAAGGATCGTGTAATTCAGTGGTTGTCTTTGATCGCCTTCTATCATATTTGTTTTCGTTTATTGTTTTGTACACAAATCAGAACGTAAGTTCTCTTGATTGAATTGTTTCGCATTTTTCATGTCGGAGCCTTTTGTTGACTATGCGGTATGGGTTTTACATTGTTGAAGGCCGTGCGTTGACTTATAGTTACATCCACCAAATCTTTATAATTTATGCTGTTATATTTTTCTCTATGGTATAAATCAATCAATCGGGTCCTGGATATTTATGTTTTACGGAGGACACAAATTGGTAACATACAAATTTATATTGAAATAACACATCTTTATATAACAGCAGTCCATAATCCCGGGATTGTAATGTTATTGTATCGTAAATTAAGATCGTGAAAATGAAAGGAAAACATATTTTCATTATAAGATTTTAAACTTTTTACCTGTAAAGATGCTAAAGTTTGTAACGCTAAAGAACGAGTAGGACGTTCCAACAAAGAAAGCTATTATATCTGGAAGTGTTGTTATGGTTATGCCAACACCGCTACTTTTCATCACATTCCTAATTCTTTCTTCGATTTCCATTTCATGACTTTCGTCATACGTTTCAGCCAATCAAGAGAGTAATACAAACATGTCGTCAACGCCTATACCTATTAACAGTAAAATAGAAGTAAAAGGTATATGTGTCTGCATCTTCTTCTTTTTTAATCTGAGTTCATAAATTTGAAGAGGAATTTGTTCCTGACCGGTTTGCATCTCTACAGAGTAACTTATCGAGATAAAATTTAAAAACTATAAATTTTTAACAAAAAAATTCTCTGAAACTAACATTATCAAGATACTTGATACATATTTGTTATTTTTGGAGGGCGTTTTTTTCAACGAACAGTCGGCATTCCGAAGGAAATTATCTATGCTCCTCTTCTTACCGACGTGTTCCTTTATTCATAAGAGCAAACTTCATACAGAAGTTTCTCGTTCCGCTATATAAATGATGTCCTCTAACTAAATATTTCAAAGTTTGGCAACAATGTTTAATGCATCTATCCCATCGTACTTGAGATAAAGGATATACCAGGAACAGTTAATTCTGTCTTATATCTTGACTAACATCTAGGAATTGACAATGAGGGTCAGTTGAGAAAAAAACATTATACGACAAAAGAGATGACTCCAGATTCCCAATTGCGAACTTTCCATTTCTATGTAGCAACATTCCAGCAACGCATTCATATGGAGTATATAGTTCCCAGTTGATCCGATATTTCAGAGCTGGTATTTTCTATCATGATTTCCTTGATAGAGGGTTTGTTGCTAACAAGGAAGATATAAAACCTAGGATTCCAAGTGGTGAAGTTGATCCTTTCAAACAATTACGGAAGTCATCACCAGCTTGTTGACCGTTATGGAATATCTTTTTAATATGTCGACGGACATGTTCCAATTGTACTTATCAAATTAAAGCTCAGACAGATTCAAAACGGAGTCCCTTATCAAAAGGCAAAATCAAAAGCTTAAACACATCAAACGAACATATTCCCGACTTGGTACAGGCCATTTTCTTATGGAGAAAATGGTGGATCAAACCTTGTTTTATAGCTAGATAAATCTCTCACTAAAACACCATGAGATACAAAAAACACAGTGTTTATAATGATGTAAAAAAGACTAGGGTTTCAGTTTTGCTGTTTAGTTTCTAGATATAGGAAGATGTGATATGAGTGCCAATGAGACAACTCTCCATCCAAGTTACAATTTATAAAAGTAAACCATTATAGGTCAAGATACGGCCTTCAACACGGAGCATTGGCTCACACCGAACAGCAAGCTATAAAGGGCTAGTTTAGTTTCTGTCTATTAAAGATATCAAGGTATTCGGCAACTAGAGAGCCACTGTGATCTCAGATACCCTGCCCACAGCAACTGAGAGATTATGATTGTGTTTCTGTAGCAGCATACTGTGAAATCTTATAAGATGTTGTTATCATTTTTGTCATTGTTCAGAGGCAGTGAATATGTTTAAAATTTTTCTGTATACCCTCAAAGATTCGTACCATTGAGTGCAATTCTATACATTGTCACATTGGAAAGGTCTCCTTGATGTTTATTTCAATTTCCTGAAAAAATCTGTAGAATAGACTGTAGTTATTCCAGGGCATCAAATAAGCAGAAACATATATCAAAATTTCCTCATATACAGAGGTATATAAGATTGATTTCACAGTAGGGCTATTTTAAAAGTCTTTAAATCTTTGCTTAAAGTAACACAGCTATGAGCTTCCACGTGTGTGTGCTTTGAGAATGTAACAATCTGTGTCCTATTAAAATGTAATCAAATTATAATTGCTTAAATGAAAATAACACTTTAATAAATTTCGAGCATCCAAAGCACTTTTCTGAATCTACTTTAATCTGGAATGCTCAAACCTTAACAAAATCCGTGGAAGTATAAATATTTAGAAACATTAGGAGCTATACCGCAAAAAGGGACATTAAAAGAAGTCAAAATATTTAAAGGTCAACTTTGCCTAAGGGTGTTTGGGCCATAGTTTTTAAGATATTTTCTTAATTCATCTCAGGGGATATTATCAAAAGTTGTTATAAATCTTGTCAGCACAGAAGCACTTTAAGATGGTTCAAAACTGTAATTTTGAAAGATTTTTAAAAATTTTGAGTATTTTCCAAAAATAAAATAAGTGATTTTTTCAACCAAAACCAAAATTCAACTGAAAGTAAAGCTATTATCTTTCAGATATAAATGAATTTATATTGGTTTTTGATGTCCTTCAATGCAAAAATGTACCAAATCTTAATTTGCAAATCTGTATCAACATACCTTCCATAGCAATGTACAGCAATGTTTACTGCAAAGGAAATAAAATCTTTCTCCACAAAATAGTTTGTGTTTAACTGGCTATTTGAGTTTTTGAAAAGGAAACTATCCCATTTAATAAATACAATAGCTATAATTGTTCTCTGTGGAGTTCATTCAATGGGACATTAAATTCTCCAATTAAAACCAATCATTCATTGAGTAATTTGATTAACAAGTGAAAATTGTTGGACTTGAGCAAAATGGATTCAGACAAGTTTAGATAACAAGTTTATTTCATTTAATTAAATCAAATTATTGATGGTATGCATTGTTTCTTCTTGAGCATTCCTTTTGTACAATCCAGGAAGCTCTTACTACAAATCTGGATACCAAATTGCTTCTAGACCAAGTAGATATTGGAATTCCAGTTTGTACTAAGGGGGTTCTGGATCCTACTGGATTCAAATTTGTACTGTATCATGTATATGTAAAAAAATATGAGCATTTGATCAAGTTTTAGCAACTTTGGGATTTTAACACTGAAAGTAAATTGAAATGTCGAGAGAGAGAGGAAATTGGCCATACTTCTTTTTTTCTGAAAATATTTTATAGTATAAGGTCACTGTACAGCATTCAACGATGAATAATACACATGCTGTATAACTACAATACCCTTCCCTTTTCACGAATGTGACTTACCGAATAAGACTATTTACCGGATTTGTAATAACATAAGCAACACGACGGGTGCCACATGTGGAGCAGGATCTGCTTACCCTTCCGGAGCACCTGAGATCACCCCCAGTTTTTGGTGGGGTTGGTGTTGCTTAGTCTTTAGTTTTCTATGTTGTGTCATCTGTACTATTATTTGTCTGTTTGTCTCTTTATTTTTGGCCATGGCGTTGTCAGTTTGTTTTCGATCTATGAGTTTGACTGTCCCTCTGGTATCTTTCGTCCCTCTTGTATAGCAGGTTTTCAAAAACCTCAATAATATCAAGATGTGAAACTATTGGAAAGAGATAACTAATAACCAAATTAAAGCTACAACACTAATAGAAAAACAATTATGACAGACGGAAACCAACAACAACATCAGGTCAGTAGGTTCTTGGCTTTGGACAGGCACATTAACAATGTGGTAGGATTAACATGTTTGTAAGTGCTCAACCACCCCTAACCAAGATGAAACAGCAAAACAAAAGAACAATATGTTTTGGAGTTGAGTGTGACGTCCATTTTCACTGAACTCGTACACAATTTTATTTAGGGGCCAGCTGAGGACCACCTCCGGATATGGGATTTTCTCGTTGCGTTGAAGATCCATTGGTGGCCTTCGGCTGTTGTCTGCTCTTTGGTCGGGTTGTTGTCTCTTTGACATATTCCCCATTTCCATTCTCAATTTTAATCTGTAAAAATTAATCTGTAAAAATCAGTTGAAAAAGACTTGACTCATCGGAAAAACAACTAACAAATTGACACAAAGTACCAATAATCACAGTTACTGAAATCTAGTTAAACTTATAAATAGTCATAGTCCATGTTTTCCTAGACTATCAATCTTGTATGACTGTCATGCTTTAAGTAGTAGACTTTTTATCAGTTAATTGGATTATGGTCATCAGCATTAAAAAAATCAATAAAGATTTATATATTTTATTTTCACTTTGCAAAATGGACAAGGTATAAACCTCCACAAGTAAGTGTCAAGGAACAAAAAACGTTTACAAAAATGTCTAACATTGAACAAAAATTCTCATATAAATATAATCACATAACAGTTAAAATATAAAGGCATGAAGGCACTACTATGGATAGAATATCACAAGGCAGTGTACACTCAGCAGTTATACATTGGTTTATTCATCTTAAAGAAAAACAAATATGTATTCTCAAACAAAAGATTTGTAGATATCACAGAAAAAATGAAAATAAATTACATTTACATTAAATCAACATATCAAATCTAAACACATATGATGAAAAAACCATAAATCAATACATATCATACGGAAGAAACTTTTTTTTAATTGGTGTACATTTTTGATAATTTTTGTGTTCACATGCTGTAAAATCATATAACTACAAAATGTTCTCATCTTACAAAAAAGTCTTCCATACAATACAGTTAAATAAATAACATTATTTTACATTTAAAAATGTAAAATATAACAAACATATAAAAATAAATAATTATTATGGACGGAGAAAAATATTGTTGTATCTTATTACATTTACATAGACAATTAATATAAAAAAAAATACCACTCAAATTTAAATTAAAGTTATTTTTTTATTAAAAAAAAATATGTCTTTAAGATTGTAAAGCCATTTTCCAAAGTTTATAACATGAAAATCAATAGCAGTATACATTATCTAGGTCAATAATTTCCTTAAGTAGATCGGAGACAAACTAAATAGATTAAAGCAAAAATCTGAAACATCAACAGCACTTTTTTATTCTTTAGATTTTCTGGATGCATTTGATGGTCTTCTGCTTCCTGTTCCTCCAACCTCACTTTGTCTTCTACTTCCTCTTCCTTCACCTCTGCTATCACTCCTTTCATTTTCTCCAGAAGCACCAGTAACTGGTCCCCTACTGTCACTTCTGTCTACATGTTCCCCTGACTGTGTTTTCTTTAGGCTACCAGCAGATGGTTGCCTAGGAAGACTCTGGGCATTCACACTTTCTTTAGATTCAGCCTTCTTTAGACTACTCCTAGATGGCTGTTTCTTAAGCTGTGGGTCCTCACTCTGTGACTGAGTGGGAGGTGAACTACCTCTTGTAGCTTCTTCAGTGTCAGCTTTAGCACTCCTTTCAGTGTCAGCTTTTAAACTGCTTTCGGTGTCAGCTTTAACACTTGTCTCAGTGTCGGCTTTTGTACTCCTTTCAGTGTCAGCTTTTACACTCCTTTCAGTGTCAGCTTTTACACTCCTTGCAGTGTCAACTTTTACACTGCTCTCTGTATCAGCTTTTACACTCCTTTCAGTTTCACTCTTGTCTTGTTTCTGAGTTTCTCCCCCTGCTTCATTATCAGTGTCAGTTTCTATTTCAATTTGTGTAACTGGTTCCTCAATCTGAGATCGAGGCCTAGCATTGTCATTTTCATTATCCAGTGATTTACTGACATCTTTTTGTGATCCAATACTTGAAGGTTTTACAGGAGTTACTGCCCCTCTAGATCCTCTACTTCCTTTAGTTGTAGGTCGAGATGTTTTTTCTGGTATGGGTGACGCTTTAGCTGTTTTCTTACTACCTTTTGACTTTGAAGAGACAGTACTACCAGCTTTACCACTCCTAGGACTACCTTTGCCACTTATGGTACTTCCCGCTGGTTTTGGACTAGATTGCACTGCAGGACTACCTTTACCACTTGGGTGAGGACTTGACTTTGTAGAGCGTGCTTTTTCTCCCCCCTCAGCCATATGGGGTTCCTTTGCTAATCCCATGCCTGGAGGCAGAGGTGGAGCTTTAGGAGTTATTGCTCTATATGACAACTGAGACACTTCTGATGGATTGGCATCAAAGTCTTCTTCCTGTTCTAATTCCTGTAACTCTTCATCGTCCTCCTCTGATTGAATCTCTGACTCTCCCTCAGCAGGTAACATTGATGGACCTGCCTTCAGTAACATTAGATAGGATCGTGACTTCTTAGCTCCATCCTCTGGTAAACCTGGCAATAAAAATTACAACTTAAAAGACTATAAAGCAAAATATCAATATTTAGTTCTTGTAAATATATAAATATATCTATCCACGTATAAAAGTTAATTTTTCAAATGTTTAAACATAAGGCTTGATTTAACAATTTAAAAATTTGAAATTTAACTGTCTAGAGTCGAAAAAATACTGTATAACATCATATATGGATGAAGGATATGTTTCTCTAAATGATCATTAGACAAAAAGTATGCAAACATTGACTTTTTTTTTTTTAGTATTTTTCAAAAATTATGTTCTTTGAGATCTGTGTTTCTTAATCTTTCTTAAATATTTTTTTTAGGTCTGATTATTTATTTCAAACTGCATACATGTTGTTATAAATAGGTTCTATATACTACCACTGCTTCAAATGTGATACGATATTTCTCCAATCGACAGATAAATTTTCAAATATAAAATGTGACACTTGCTCAGCATTTCATATATTTAAGATTTAATTGTTTGAAGTGGGTAATATTGTATCAAACAAGTGCAAAAAGATCCTTGTTCTTTCTATATGACATCATCAAAGCATGGTCACTTTTCATCATGATCTGTATTTTACGATCCAGAAGATATGATCAACACAAAGAGTCCATAGAAACAAAACATTATTTATTGAATGGCATAAACTGGTTGCTAGCATTTACCTGCATCTAATATTAAAGCAGTTCTGGAGAGTTTCCATTTATCAACTGGTGTTGGACAATTCAGATCTAATGTATCACACATAATTACCTGCATCTAATATTAAAGCAGTTCTGGAGAGTTTCCATTTATCAACTGGTGTTGGACAATTCAGATCTAATGTATCACACATAACTTGACGACTCTGCAATTTAAAGAAGAAAGTTAATTAGAATTTATCAGTGATTATTTTGTCAAATGTAGTCATGGCTATAAATGCTATGTAGAAATATAAACAACATGAAGCAGTTAATAACATCTTCCAATCTTTACTATATATATACAGTTGTGAATAAATTTTACATAATATTCATATGATATTTTTTTCCCAAAGAACTTTAATTCTATTATTTCTACAAAATGAGAATCTGCTCTTGTAGTTATTTTAGAATTACCTGCAAGAGAAGAAAAGTAATGAAAATATTATAAAATCCCTATACATTATAAAGATTTCCTCCGACAGACAAAAAGCAAACAGAAAAATGTAATTACCTTATTCATAAACATAGGACAGGGATATGTGACCGTTTTCTTGTCCTCCTTCTCTTCCTGGTCACTTCTAATGACAGGTCTCAGGTATAAACATGGAATGGAATACAGACCAGATCTACAACCATATATCAACAAATGTCAAGTCTTGAGTATAAAATATCATTGAATAACAACTATCTTCAAGGATTCTAATTTCATTTTTTTTTAAATGATGTTCCTTCTGACATGATGAAAAATCTATCTTTTAAAAATAATTTTTTAAGAGTTTCCATACAAATTTTCATTTGTGATTGAATCTGTGTACTTTTCGTACTGATAGTAACATCTTGGTCAATTCTGTAAAAAGTTACTATACATCATTTTTTTTTTTGCTGTTGTAAAAATGGTTAATGAAAAGGCATGGATTCAGTATTGATGGACAAATTAATTATAATATAAACATTGAGTGTAAAATTTAGCAAAAACAAAATGCAAAAATTTAATACAAATGGGAGATTGTTTTTCATTTTCAAGGGTATGTTTATCATGTTTTAATTGTAAAAAGGAACCCAACATATAAATTTTGGACTGCTTACATTCATATTCTACCTCTCAGTATTACATTTATTGACATATAAACAAAATAATTATTAACAAATCTGTAAAGCCTTACTCAGGGTTCTTAAGACTATCATTGTCATAGTCCCATGCACCTCCTTGTAGGTAAATACTGGTCAAAAATAGCCCTCCTTCATCTACTTCATAATCCTCTGTGTTTATGTCATCCATAACTACACACTCAAATGACATCTGAAATTAATACATAATGCGTTAAAATCAAAACTTGGCTAACATCTTAACAAATTATAAAAAATAACAGTCCTTTCTACCTTTGCTGGTTTAAATGTTTGTTCCAATAGGCTGAATTCTATGAATTGAGAGTAATTCAAGGATATAAAATCATCCAGTTCAATTTATTAACCAGATCTTTAGGAAACACAAATGTTTTGAAGACTTAAAAAAAATTCAAAAATATTATTGTACAAGATTGATACATGATATTTGGAAAGATATTTTTCATCTTTAGAATCCACTGCTGTTTTTGGTTAATTCTTTATTGTGCTTTGAATTATATAAACAATGTCCAGTTATATACAAATTAATAGAAATATAAAATGCCTACATCATCCACCCTGGTGTTAGTGACAATAGCCTTCTCTTGTTTAAGAGATGTCAACAAAGCCTGTGGATTGACGAGGCCTCCAAGCCAGATTTTAGTCAGTCTTCCTGAGGCTATGATTGGGTTATCATCGCCATCATCTTTGTAGGTAGGTATCATTCCATGTCTAACAAAGTCATATAACTGCTTGTGTCGCTTCTTTGTATCTAGAGATAAAACCAAATTCATATTACAAAATGTGCAGAATGCGGTACTAGACTCCATCAAATAAACAAATAACTATATGAAAAATATCACAGAAGTTCCCATAGTGTTATCAAATATTTTAAAATAGATATTTATTCTTTAATAGTACAAAAGTCATAATTTTCCCATTCTTTGTCTATGTATTTTAGCCTTACTTTTAATGCCGAAATTAATGTGCACAATTTTGTGTGGCAAATCCATGAAGGCAAAACCAATATATGAAATTAATGTGACTTTGTTGTAATATAGAGTTCTTGACGTCTTATGTTTATAATGTTGTTTGTAACCTTTACATTAGAATTCTACTTCAAGCAATATTTATCCAACTTACTGTAAGAAGAAAGACAACTCGGAATTTTCTTATATATATATCAAAGTTATATCTTTATCTCACTTCATAGGTATAAAATAAAAATAAGATGTAATATGATTGCCAAGGAGACAACCATCAACCAGATATTCCAAACGACAATGTATAGCCTTCAACAATGAGCAAAACACAAATCATGTAGTAAGCTATAAAAGGTCCCTGCATGACAAAATGTTAAAAAAAAATCAAAATAGGAACCCAATGGGCTGATTTAAGTATAAATAGAAATTGATAGTCTAAAGTCCATTCTAACATAAAATGGATGTACCCATAGTACAGATATAACTTACCCTCAAGCCAGGATACCAATGAGTGTGTACAGGGCTGACAGTTAGGATGAATCCATGATATAGATATCACTTACCCTCAAGCCAGGATACCAATGAGTGAGTACAGGGCTGACAGTTAGGATGAATCCATGATATAGATATAACTTACCCTCAAGCCAGGATACCAATGAGTGAGTACAGGGCTGACAGTTAGGATGAATCCATGATATAGATATCACTTACCCTCAAGCCAGGATACCAATGAGTGTGTACAGGGCTGACAGTTAGGATGAATCCATGATATAGATATCACTTACCCTCAAGCCAGGATACCAATGAGTGAGTACAGGGCTGACAGTTAGGATGAATCCATGATATAGATATAACTTACCCTCAAGCCAGGATACAAAAAAGTGTGAGTACAGGGCTGGCAGTTAGGATGTATCCATGATATAGATATCACTTACCCTCAAGCCAGGATACTAATGAGTGGGTACAAGGCTGACAGTTAGGATGAATCCATGATATAGATATCACTTACCCTCAAGCCAGGATACCAATGAGTGTGTACAGGGCTGACAGTTAGGATGAATCCATGATATAGGTATAAACTCTTCTTGTAAGCTTGATACAGTTGATGACAACATCTTTGGTAAAGCTTCTGGTCCTCCCAGTAGATGTGATTGTAGAACATTGATCTCTTGTCTGATGTGACACAGGATGGTGTTAAACCACAAACATTCCTGTAAATATCAAACACAACTTGTTATTAAAAGAGTCCGAGCAAAGTCTGCACAACATGTGTTGATTTTTTTTCTCCTTTTTTCAGTTGTAATATCTTTTACCACACATTATAAAAAACATGAATTACAAAAACAAATGCACTGAGGAAAAAAAATTGTGGATGTATGAACATTAAACAACTTCAAAGGGTATTCAAAGAAATAACATGTATAAAAACAGTGTTTCCTATCTTCATTTGAAAAGTCCTCAAATCATTCTTAATAATCCATGAGACAGTAATCAATAAAACAATAATCTGAATTTCTAAAACATTTGTGCAACAATAAAATCTTTCTGTCAGCTGTACTTATCTTCAAATAAAAATTTGGGTGTAATGCTCCTGTAAATTTCAATTAAGCATGAACCTATGCTATAATTATCTCCCCTTACCTGTAATAGACAATAGCCTATAGTTTCTGGCATCTGTGAACTGGCTGCAGTAGCCAGGCTGATTACTGATGGTCTATGGTATGGGAAATCATAGTCTTCACCAATTACATCTATCACATTACCTAACTCCAACAAGTTAGGTAACTCTTCCAAACACAAATCTAATGCTGATCTTAATTTAGCTATGTTAATTTCTCCTGTGGTTTTAGCTACATCTCCAGCTTCCATGTTCTGTGTTTCAAACATGTGGTCAAGATGTCGGATAAACACACTAGAGCTGAAAAAAATATCTCCTTATCATTCATCTCCCAAAAAATATTTTAACTATAACACAAAGAATTGAGAAGGCTTTTGATTTAGTTCATTCCTACTTATAATTTTTTTGTATTCTGATATCATATGATAATTAAAAGGGCTATCTAAACAGTCTATCTTTTTCATTTAAACTTGTGTAACCTCAAGTCAGGTAATAATCTTTGTCAAGTAAGTCTGTCATATTGTCAACATAACGTCAAATGAACTGACTTAACAGAAGAAGAAAATTACCAGCCAGCAATGAGCATGGTATTGAATTTAATCACACATAGGATGACACCAGATAAAACTTCAGTGTCTATGAGGCAAGAAGGAGACAATTTCAATAGACTTGCTTAACATTACAGAACCTCCCTCTATACTTGACAGTAAGGTGGAATTGTTATTTCCTCATAAACTTCACTATCTAAGATGTTTGGTTAGAGACTATATCTAAGATGTTTGGTTAGAGACTAACTATATGTAGACTTACTTGGCATCATTATTTTCTTTCTCTACACTTGACTGTAACTGTAAAGCTGAAATTGTGAATTCTTCATCCACATTCTTCTCATACCAAGAACCATATTCTTGTGGATCTGTGAAAAAAAATTAAAAAAGTCAAATGCTAATACAAGCCAAACTTTCAGTGATATGTTACTTGTTGTTACATTTCACTTTTGACATTACAGATAAACTTAAAAATCCAAGGAGCCTAAAATGAGTTGCCTTGCAGCTTTTGCCAAGATAGACAGTAGGTAGATCTTGAAGTTCTGAATATTTCTGCCCCATACAATTTTTCTTTATCTATAACAGTTCTATAAATACTTGCATGTTACCACCATGTTTTATTTTTAGTTTTGGTTGCAAGGTTGGTTGATAGTAAGGATCATGAAACACAACTTTAAACTAGATACCCCAAGGATGATTGTGTGCCAATTAGGCCAGTAAATTCAGAGAAGATTTAAGGCAAATTTAATGGTTCATTACGGATAAAGGAAAGTGATGAGAAAAGCTTACATAACCATATAGGCAAGGTGAGCAAATAAAAAACTGAGTGTATGTATAGCAAATGTTGTTAGTTACTTACCAACATTAGCTGGTGGAGTAGGGATAGCTACACTCCCTAGTACCAGTGATCCTGAACTTTCTTGGTAGAGATTATACAGAACATGACTAACAGCAGCTTCAATGTAGGTCATATCACTCTCACTTGTCACACAGTTATTGTACACCAACTACAAAATAATTGCTATTTTTATGTCATGTCTTCTTTAATATGCATTAAATTTCAGGAGCAATAAATCAATTGATGCATACATTTGCCTATTTCATAGAAAATCAAACCATTTACAGATATCTATATAGTAATCATCTTTCAGAATTACTCTAAATATCAGCACAACAATGTTAAATCTGCAAATTTACGGAAGCAAATTTTTGTTCTTCCCTGGCCAGGATTCGAACTCATGCTATTGGGATATCGAGACAACACTGCCTGAACTGTGTCCAGCGCTCTAGACCACTCAGCCACCTAGATTGAACTAAAAATTCAGCTTTCAGTGGCCTTGTGTTACCTTTCCTCGTCAGTAGAATCTAGAGTTGTACCTGGGGGGTAACACAGTACATGATATATTAGGCATGAAGATCTTCAGTACATACATTTGGCCTTTGGTGAGAGAATCTTTCTATTCAACAAGTAATTTTATTCAGTAGTACTGTTTTATTATGATGAGTTTCATTCGATATCATTATACTACATTTTAACTAATTTTTCACTCTCTTTTTGAAGTTATTAGAATAAACTTCTCATACTTTTGTCCAATAAAAGTGAGTTTAAATAACACACCTTGATCCATAAGTGTAACATGTTTAAAAGCCATGTGCATATTCATCTGCCACCAAAACCCCTTAGTGTTTAACTATACAGGAATCATATACCAAATATTGCAACATGTGTTATAACAATTATATCAAACACTTCAGTGATGATCTGTTCTTTGATAACAATTCAAAACTAACTGGTTGAAACATTCCAGTTAGAGAATAGAGAATTTGGTAAAATTAAACAATTAAATATATGAGAGTAAATTGTTGAACAATTGACAATTGATTAATTATTAAGATTTCAGGAAAAGCTGTAAACAAATAATGATATCTAAATTTGAAATATTATATTTATGCAAAACCTTATCTGTCGCAATTTCCACAATATCTAAAGCTTATATATAAACTCTGAATGAGGATGTACCACAGTGCACTTCAGAACATCACTTTTTATTTGCATGCTTTGTATTTTGAGAATTTCATCTGTTTTTTGTTTTGTTTTTGCCTATTTAAAAACACAGATCATTATACAACTATAACAGTAAGTTGATTAGGACTAAGACCATAATGACTGATTATCAGTTGAATATACTTTTTTCACTCTCTAAACAGAAAATATATGTGCTTAGTTGCTCAGTTCTGTGTACCAACACCTGTTAAAAAGTTACCGAAGAAATGGAGTAATCTAGATTTTCAAAGTTTGGTGCCTCAAAGCCTAATGTTGTTGGCCAAGGAGATTCCATCTGTTAGAGGAATGTTAAACAATATAGTAACAGGTATCATTCGACTAGTTACATAATCATTTTTTGCATATCTATAATTTTTTGCATATCTATAATGTTTATTTCAGCGTCACTTAAGAACTTTTCAAATATTCTAAATTCAAATACCTTTAATAAGTTTGAAGTCAAAAATAAATAAATCATAATTTCATTTTAATAAAAATCAGAATTTGAATCATCTTAATTATGAATAAAAATGCTGTTTTGTGAAAACCTAATATATTAGAGACACAAAAATTTTATTACATGTAATTTTTTACATAGCAATTTGGGGTGTAAAAATGGAATGAAATCATGTAAAGATTTTAAACATACCTGGGCAAACATATTAGTCATTTTATCTACTTTGGGGTCTGTTCCATCAGGTCGTAATAATTTTCCTGTTAGTATTTCTATAGCTTGTTCCATCTGGACCCTATTGAATGGGTACCACTGATTCAGTCCCTGGGAACCAAACAGCTGTCTGGAGGACAACATTCCCTGAATAACACTGAGACCAAAGGCAATAGATTTGATGACTTGTGATTCCGTTGATAGTTTGTCAAACACGCCTCCATTTGATGTCTGTTTCAGTGTAGACACAATAGCTGGAAATATACGATAAATTTACATGCTGGAACTTTGACTAAAAATTATCTTCATTTGTTTATACTTAATTTTGCTTTCTTTCAACCATGTCATGCTTTTTGAAATAATAAGGAGTTGCATGCAATATTGTGAAAGTGTTATCCCACTAGTTATAAGACACTGACAGAAAATTCCTTGCTTAGTGGATATAATAAAAATTCAAAGTACTGTCAAACAGGAGATGACAGCTAGTCAGATCTTAAAATCACTTACATGATGCAACTCTACATTATCAAGATCCAGACTAAATATCAAATCATTCCATTACACAGAAGCTGAGTAAAATGAGCAATGTGATTTAAGTAGATTACCTACGTCAAATGGCAATATAATAATTATCAATTGTTATGGAAAATTTTAAAATTTTTGTACCTGAGTGTAGATATGACTGTGGAGATTTATGTTGTATTGTAAATGGTGCATCAGATTTTCCTCCTTCATCTGTAGTGCTGCCCTCTGGTGTTATCACATCCTGAGTGATGTGACTCCATGACACTTTGTGTAGATTCCTGATCAGGAAATCTGTTATCCTTGGACATGGTTCTGATGTTATCCATACACAGAACCTACTTCCTTTCTGTTTGTCTTCTTGCATGACACCTATAGTAATACAATGGTGCATAAGTTAGCTTTCTTGTATTGCAAGAAATAATTACTCAAAAGTTGCTGAAGTAAAAATTAAAAAATCTAATATATCTGATTTTGTAGTTGTAAGACTTTAAGAGGCTCTAAAAATTATTTTATTCTTACTGTTAGTACAAAAACTTTTTAAAAAAGTATTAAACGTTGAATTAGCTCAAAAAGTATTTGCAGAGACATGATCTTTTTAACCTTCATCTAAATAAACACCGATAAAAATCTATCATTTTCATGGTACATGTAAATTAATTTCACCTTATGCTTAAATTTTTTACATAAATCATTTATATACAAAGAAACCAATGCTTTTTAATTATTGTTTTCTAGTAAATGTGCATGTATGAAAATGTAAATTCAAACAATTTAAACAGCAGCACACCTTTCTGGTGACTGATCAATGCATTCAACAAATATTACTGAATTCATCACCACAATATTTTCACTCATTGAAGACAGAAAATGAATAAATCAAAACTCTTAATTGTCAAATATAATTGAAAATAGTATTAATATTATCACAAATATACAGATATATTATATATAGAGAGCAGCTAAACATACATTAAAATATATGTATTTAATCCCAATTAAAAATTAAAATTCCTAGTAAGAAAAGTCCAGGAAACCGAAATGACATTTCTAAAATCATCTCAGAATATGTGGCATAGGTAAACAAGAGCTAACAGCAAAACAATACTTGTTAATGTGCATGATGTGACCCCTTTTATAATGATATACCTTACTCAATATCCTACAACATTCCAAAGAATACAACCTTTCCCAAATCTTTTTCCTTGTGTTTCCTTGAAAGCTTAAATTTGCTACCAATTAGAGTCCATACAGTCCTATAAACCTATTGCCTTTCCCCCATCCTCATATCCTCCTTAAATATATTTATACAGAATCTATCTATCCTGGATCAGTACAGAATAAATGATAAGTATTATATTTCTCCAGAACACTATACCAATCATCCTATGAGGCTCAAGTAGGGTACGCCCTTAGGTCACACGGTGGCGTTTAAAATTGCCTCAGGTTGCCAGGTCACTTTAAAGAACATTTAAGATAGTCTATTTAGAACATTTTTAAAAACCGCAATTCACAGATCAAGGTTGCAGGTTGAATTTGACCACGTTGGAGTCACATCCTATGTAAATTCATAATATTGTGATTATATTTTTAAGGATAACTGCATGTATTACATTAAATGATATATTTCTAAGGGAATATACTGTCCCTTCAACTCCCCTCCCTACCCCCACCCCCCCATTTCCCTGATTAAAAGTGCTAATAATGTGAACACATCCCTCATATACCAAGGACATGTTAAATAGGAATTCATTCTGGCACTAGACTCACAGACCTTCTCCATTCCCTTCTTCAATGTGCAAATAAAAAATGGGAAAATATCCTGTGAGGATCACTGCACATCTAACAGGAAATAATACCCATCTGTGTGGATAAATAACTAACTCTTACTTCGTGATCTGGCTACTCTCACTAATTGTTTTTTTAGATCATTGAACAGTGTATCATGAGCCAGATGAAGATTTTCTATAATGACCCATCCGTCATGCTTCTCAGCACCATCAATGGCTTCCTGAATCAAATATTCACAGCCTTCTCCAATCTTTACATGTTCTACCTTGGAACCAATAGCCTGAAAATATGTCAAAACAATTTGTGAAAATTATCAACCAAAATATTTATTGATATGAATTCTTTGTTTTAACTTACATCTTCATTTCCTTTTCATGATTACAAGTTTTTTAAATACCAGTACAGTTCAATTCAAACATTCAAAACCTTTTGAACTTTATAAAGTGTAAACTCAGATTTGGGAGGTAAAATTAATTTTTAATAATGGATTCGTTATTATTCGTGAAATATTCCAAGTTCAAGAGCTGCTAACTCTATGAAAAGTCTGAAACTAAATGAAACTCAATCTGCAACTCATCAAAGTAAGTCATCTGAAACTGAATACAAACTCATCATTATACCCTTATAAACCAAATGCCTGATCATATATAGAGGAATAACAAAACAAATCAAGACAACTGTTGGATTTCTATATGAGGGTTTGACAGAATCTACAAGGAAAACATTATATGTTCTTACAATTGTGTGGCAGAGGCATATAAATTGAAGATATAAATCATGAGTTACCTTAGCCATTTTATATAAAACATCTATCGGTTGGTCTGTCATTCTTAATTTTGTTGAAAATGGTTTGACTCCACTTGTAACACTAGGAGGCAGTAATAACAGTACACCAAGGTGACGTTTGGCATCCTTCAATGTGTCTGCTAAATTAAAATCTGATTGGTCAGGAAGATTTAATGTCAGGTGTTTGTTGACATAGTTAACAAGAGCTGTTGGTAGTCTGTCAGGTCTGAGCATACGTAGTAGTAACAGTTGATGGAACTCTGTCATTGGTCCTAAATCTGGTGTCTTTGCATTCCCAACGCTGCCACCAGAACCTGGTCTTCGTTCTGAAGATAACAAATAGAAATCAGTACAACATATGGAAAAAAATCACTATATTATAAATTGAGGTTTAACCAAATTTCTATATATCTGACAAATTTTATGTCGATTAGATTCAGTAGCAAGAAACTGAAATCATGACAGAGATTCAGCAAGTAAATGCCATACACTTTAATATCATATGCCAGTACATATAGCACACCTTGACTTTTTTTTTTACCAAAGATTGGGTAGGTGTACCTTATTGGTGACAAGATAAAGTGATCTATTAGAAAATTGTTCACAAACTTTCTTGATCAATTAACAATGAGATTCCTGAATTGCATCAGATAAAAATGTTTTTTCTGTATCTCCTCACTGTTTATATTTTTTTTTAATATGTAGAAATGAAATGGTCTGGGTATCCTTTCACATAGGTTTCTACAATGAGCGAATTATCCTTTCTTTAAAAGTAAGTTTGAGCTAAATAAAGCGTTGATTTTATAAATGAAATTTATTGAATACTTTATCAATGTTTATAAAAATTGGTTAAAGATTTCAAAAAATCTAAGAAACAGTGGCAAAGCTTGACATTTCTCAAGTCCAGAATATTATTTAATATCATGTTAAACAGAACCCATTTAAGGTTTAAAAGACATCAAGATTCCTGTAATGGTCAATTTCTATAGACCAAAACCCAACCTTACCTGTACTCTCTCCCCTACAGCCAGAACCCAACCTTACCTGTACTCTCTCCCCCTACAGCCAGAACCCAACCTTACCTGTACTCTCTCCTCCTACAGCCAGAACCCAACCTTACCTGTACTCTCTCCTCCTACAGCCAGAACCTAACCTTACCTGTACTCTCTCCCCCTACAGCCAGAACCCAACCTTACCTGTACTCTCTCCCCCTACAGCCAGAACCCAACCTTACCTGTACTCTCTCCTCCTACAGCCAGAACCCAACCTTACCTGTACTCTCTCCTCCTACAGCCAGAACCTAACCTTACCTGTACTCTCTCCTCCTACAGCCAGAACCCAACCTTACCTGTACTATCTCCCCCTACAGCCAGAACCCAACCTTACCTGTACTCTCTCCCCCTACAGCCAGAACCCAACCTTACCTGTACTCTCTCCTCCTACAGCCAGCGGTAGTGGTTCCTTCTCTGGATATGGTGATTTGTACCAAGCTTTCCATGCCTCTGAATTTTGAGCAAAGTTAACACACAAACTGTCTAATGGTCCAGGGAGGACAGATAAGGCCATGATATCTTCCCATTTCTCCTGAGGGAGCCAAGTAGGTGGATCATCCTTGTAGTCAAAGTCATTCAATGTCAGTTGCATACCCAGACCAGGATTACCTTTAACAAAAACAATGACAGAAAATCATAGCCTGACAAATGTTAACAAATATAGTTATAAATCTTATACAGCATGATCAAATATATTATCAAAATAATCCCTCGTGAAGAAAAAAACAAACAAATAAACATAAACCATCTTAAGTGCTTTCTTATTTCAAATAGATATGTACTTTTGTAAATTAAAGTCTTGCTTTTGTTTTCATTTTGAAGCATGATCGATATCTATGTGGAAATTGTACCTTGTAACAATAGAGACATTTCTTCATTAGAGAAGTTTTCCATTCCTTCTGCTTCAATATTCAGACATAACAATGTGGCAAACAGAAGACAATCTTCTTCATACAAACTCCTAAAATATAAGTATAAAGATAACATATACTATATGACTATAAAAAACTCTTTATGTAATATGCAACCAATGAAAATTCTGTTTTTTTTTTAATTTAATTTAGTCTGTGGTTTCAGTAAACACATCGTTTTTAATTTCCCAAGGGTCATAACTTAAGTAAAATTTCCTTTCCATCCAAAATATAATGTTAAAAATTTGATATAATATCCATTCATGGTGGGAAGCAATCGTCTAAAGAACAATCATAAAAAAATGAATTGACACATTAAAAATGGATAAATTAATATGATAAAAATCTCTTCCTTCTATGATTATTATAAAGGACAGATATAATTCCAAAAATATCAAATTTTGAAGATTCAAAAAAATTAATAAAATTAATTCAACGCAACAGAAATGAGTATGTTTAGTATGGCGTTCATTATCACTGAACTAGTATATATATTTGTTTAGGGGCCAGCTGAAGGACGCCTCCGGGTGCGGGAATTTCTCGCTGCATTGAAGACCTGTTGGTGGCCTTCTGCTGTTGTCTGTTCTGTGGTCGGGTTGTTGTCTCTTTGACACATTCCCCATTTCCATTCTCAATTTTACAATACTAAGTCAAACTTACTCTCGTATTCTACGATATACAAGTCCTGTTAACTTGTCCATCACTTGTTTGATTTGATTGGCAGATAGAGATGAGTACTCCAACCCTTCAGATGGTAATGGAACAGTCTCAGGTATTTCTAGGGGAGGTAACTCCTCAGATTCTGTACCAGCAATTAGTTTTTGTGCAGCTGCTGTACTTGCAGAATCACCTGTATGGTAAAACATTACATTCTTATCAATAACGTATAATTATTACAAGTTATTGTAGAGGGACAAATATATGTAGATCTTCTGATCTCAATACTTATTATGAACAAACTAACAGATTAAATTTCGTCTTTTCATCAAAATGTAAGATTCTTATAGAAGCATATTTCAATATAGATTTTCAATGATCATTTTAAGTTAACAAAAAAATATGTTACATAGATATAAGAAGATGTGGTATGAGTGACAATGAGATAACTCTCCATCCAAGTCAAAATTTATAAAAGTAAACCATTATAGGTCACAGTACGGTCTTCAACACAGCATATTTCTCAAAAGGAGAACAAACCTATAATACGAAGACAAAAAAAATCATTTACATCAATGTCTAAAAGCTCAATAAAAATAAAAATGTTAAGTATGGTCATCATTGTTAGAAAAGTTGGAAAGGGGTATTCAAAATCAACCTTCTACACAAAACAAACTTAAACAATGACTCAATATAACAACAGTGCATTCATTGCTCTCATGTTATTTGTGCAAGAAACCACCATCTTTCCTTTGCAGGAGTGATAAATTCAATCAATGCGGCACCAGATGTTATTGGCCTTTGATTCTCAATATTTTTTCTGGAGCATGCTATCATAAGTTTGGTTTTTGTTTTACTATATTTACTGAAGTTCTTTATTACTTTGCCAATAAAGAGTTTAAATCATCTGTCAAAATTTTCTAGAAATGTTCATTACGATCTGAAGGATCAGGGTGATATGCATAAATGTCCACAGCAATTAATTTCTCATCATAGTTGAAGGGTCTGCCCTGGGATCCCCTATGGATCAATCATTAATTAAGGTGAAGATAGATGGAAAATCTTACTGTTTATTATAGAAGACCTTCAGGTTCAAATTTTGTGAAAATCATAGTTGTTATCATGGGCTCATCTTATTCATTAATTAAATTAGGCCAACTAAATATGGTAAAAACAAATGTAATGACATATAATAGAAAATTCTGCAATTTTTGACGAAACATGCTCCAGATAAAACATAAAAACATCAGAACAGAACATTTCTCACCTTGTTTTTTAGTTCCTAGATATACAATGAATTAATTTTGTTAAGAAAGAACTAAAATCATTAATATTTCAATACACATGCTACATAAAATAAATTATCTGGTTGTAAGACACCACTGAATTACAGAAAAAAGTGCTCCCATCAACAGTTATTGAATATAAAAAAAATAAATATAAATCAATGAATTTTCATTTAAGTAATCAACATCTGCAAATGGACACAAGTATAATTTTAAAATCTTGGTTGGTTCTGATCAGCAATATAAAGTTAATTTCCATACCCCATTGTGTTTTCATTAAGTTGAAGAAATATTCCCCCTTATTTTTAAGTTTATAGTTCTATGCAATACTGAAAATACATTTATTTTCCTGTGTAATAAATAATAAGAATCCACAGTATACCCTGGGATATATAATAACAAAATTACCAAAAAAAATGTATGTGTCTTAAAAACAAAATTCAGGAAACTGTCAAATAAATTCATGAAGAAATTACAATATTTTTTTTTAAATGAACTATTTTGGAACCAGATAAATAATTTTACATTCTGAGTCTAATTTCTACATTAAATATTTTTTTAACTGAAAATTCTGTACTAAAATTATAACAATCAATATTTATATTATTGCGCACTTTTAACAACGATGATTACATTGTAAGATGTGTAACTATTCAGCAAAAGATTAGCATGAACTAAACTAAACAGAAATGTACAATGAAGCAAAATAGTGAATATTCTAACATAATAAAAGATTAATACAGATATAAAACTATTGATACTAAAATTAGAAAAATTACTAAATCATTAGATATTAAACTATTGTTATCAAAATAAAAAGAGTATAATTACATAATTATTAACCATGCCTAATTATCTTTAAATATTAGCATACCTTCGGTATCATCAAAATCAGCTTCATACTCTCCATCACCTTTCTCAGACTTCTTTTCTTCACCTTGTTTGTCTCCCTGTGGCTGCGCTTGTCTTGATCCCTGGGAAGATGTACTGCTGTGTCTGACCTTTGGAGCCACTACACTCTCATCATCATCTTCATAAGCCTGAGAATTAATTTAAAAGAAAAGAACACTCATTATAAAGACATGTTTGCATATTTTACTGTACTTTTAGACTAAAATAGGTACAGTAGTTTAATATGCAGGCTGCAAGTTAACTTGTACGTTGAACTCTAGATGTTTTTTTTGTTTCATGTTGGGTTATTGTCTCAATGACAATGATCTCCTTTTATTCCCTTTTATTTGAATTTCAGACAAAAAAATTAAAACTCTCCCTTCATCATTATTTTTAAAAATCCACTTTAGGTGCAGAGAACATTCAATTGAAAAGATGGGATATGGTGTATTTATTCATGATACAATATTCCTAAAACCCAAAGCAAAAGAACAAAGATTTTATTGCTATTCTTCATCTCAAAGTGACAGTTTTTGTTTGAGGTTCATCGTTACCACGTCTATATATTTGTATGATTTCATGCACATGAAGACTGATTAATTGTTGTTTCTTTAATATTCAGTGGCAAGTCACTTGGAGCTTACGGCAAATCCCTATAGCTCTCTAAATAACTAAAACATTCTATTGTGTACTGGAAGTGAGTTTAATCTTGCCAATCTTTTTTTTTTTAAGTCCTAAGCAAGCATGGAACCAAACCTGAAGGATGAAATACAGATTTCAACTGCGAAGGTAAATACTGAAAAGTTCAGTCAACAAATACTTTGTTACAAATAAAAAGCTTACAGATGATTCATCGTCATCTATCTTATGTTCTTCTGGAACATCCTCTCCAACAGCTTCATCAAACAATTCCAGGAAATACTTCAGTGAGAACTGGTACTCATTGTGTACACTCTGTAAGCTTCTAACAATGGCAAACAACATGGCACCTCGCCTAGCCAAGGGGAATAACTCATCCTTTAGATCATCTATATCAATCAGTAATGTTTTTGTCTCTTCTAACCTCTTAGCAAGCTGAAATATGTATAATTTTAATAAGTTTCATAGTCATTATTTCATTTACTTAAGAATTGAATGCTTCTTTTTGTAAATTTATTGGGTTGTAAAAGCGTTGACCGAAGTACATTTTGTATGAAGCGCTTCATTATAAAAATGTGCCCACGGTCAACGCTTTTACAACCCTATAAAATTACTAAAAGAAGCATTCAATACTTATAATTACATTTTTTTTGCTAGGATAATGAAAACACTATTTCTATCAAGTTTTTCTTTTATTTACCTGTGCACTTTATTGTGGAAGCTCATGTCATCATAAATATTACATTTCATTTTGAAATGAAGGTTAATTTCAGAATGAAGCGAGATTGCTGTTAGCCAATCAAAATAACGTATTATAATGAGATATACATGTTATGTAATTATTTAAAGATATAAGCAACATTGAAAGTTATAAACCTATCATTTCAGAATAGTCTTAGGTCAAAAGTGTTTCACCTATCTGAAAATTCATATAAAAACACATTTTAAAAAAAAAATTCTACTGAAGATATTTCTGGTCCGAATTGAATGAAATGTCAGAAATAATAGGGGAATTTCCTATAGGTGAAACACTTTTGACCTAAGACTGTGACTTTTCCCTGCCTGTGATGTCATTTATTTTGTACAAGAATCAATTGTTGTAATAAGAATATATTAACAAAATTACTTTTTGATAATATGAAATCCTTTTTTTTTTAAGTCAATTATCCAGTCTACTATGTTCATCATGCATATTTACCTCAATCTTAGCATTAGTAATATCTGTTATAAAGGTCAAGGCTTTAGCACTTCCTAACATGGCTTCCTGATTGGTCAGAACTTTCTCCTTAACAATGTCTGATAACCTCAATAAAGTATCCTTCTGTAACTGCATGTTACGTAAGGCAATTCTTTTCTCTTTGTATAACTCCGGTCTCATACGAGAAAATGCTCTTGTGAGCAGGTCTTCTGTCAGTGTGTCATGTGAGACACCATAGTTTATCATGGTAGTGGTAGAGGCAATCTCAGGATTAAATCTTGGTTTAGGTAGTGGTGTCGACAGGTAGAATCTGAAGTCCTGGTGACAAAGTACTCTACGTCCACAAAATCTTATCATTCTTGGCTCTGAAACAGAGATAGAGAAATACTTCAAAGAAAAGGGTAATGGCTATTTTTGATAAAAAATTGTATTCCATCTTTATGGCTTTAGGGTACACCAAGTTCATACCTGCCAACCTCTGAAACCTTCAAAGAGGGAGATCTCCTCCTCAGCTATGACAACTGAGGGGGAGATTTTGTGCAAACGACATTTTCAAGTTAAATATATGACTTGTTTACTTATTCATCTACAAAACACCAATAAGAGTTAATATATATATATACTTTATTTTTTTAATTCACGGTAATAATCTATACAAAGTATTTTTTTTTGCCCTTTTCCATACCACTGAGTCTCATAATTCATAACATTCCATATTTAATTATTTTGATTTTGTTGTGAGTCTCACACTATTATAAAGCATGCTTTCAAACGTCGTACAGACCACCAGAAGAAACCAAACAGGTTGATTGAACATGATGTGCAAAATGAAGATTCATTGCCAAGTGAACTTGGTCGTAAAACTTGAAAATCTTTCATTTAATCTGCTTCAGTGCTTGACATTTCGATTTGAAGTTATCTATTTCTTCTTTTTTACACTGCCGTTTGGTCCAGTCAAAGACCTCTATCTTGTAGGAGTTGACATAGCAGAAATGAATTTAGATTGCTTATAAATCAAACATAAAAACTACTGACCAAAGTTTTCAAATGATCGCCGATTGTTTATTTTTTTCTATTGACAGTAATGAAAAAGCCAGAGAATTACGAACACGGTTCATTTCAGGTAAAATATCCGAAAGTGGGAGATTTTATACTCCCTCGCAGGAGTGGACTGGCAAGCGGGAGATTTCCGCAATTTCGTCGCTTGAGTGGGAGGGTTGGCAGGTATGACCAAGTTCAAAATAAAGGTAACCATTATTTAATACAACTGAAATATAAAATTAATAATGTGTGTGTTTGGATATCAAGTTTGCACAAAAATTCTATTTGCCCACAAAAAGAAATGAATCTTCAATACTTGTCAATGGACAAAGAAGTATTACCTTCATCTTGGTCCTGAGGATTAGCTGTATTTCTGTGGTGCATCAATGGAGTTATAATGTTGTCAATATGGTTCTCGCAGTTGTTGAGAATCACTGGTTTTCCTCTCATTATGGCTTTCTCCAGGGTCAATATCACATGTGGATCAGACCTAAATAACATACATACTTACAATATCTGTTCACTATTAATGTGTTTATTATTTCTTCACATTAACTTTACCTTAAATTGAATATGAACCTTTTACAGTAATAAACCAATTCTTGTAAATTAATTTTTCACAGATTTATTTTTATGGTATTTTTCATGGTTATTTTTTTTCTTGTGCTTCCCTTTCAGGCATAATTCACAGTTACAGATTTCATGACTTTCTACTATCTTAATGTAATCATAAAACAGACATGTTTGTAAAGATTTACATTTGTATTATATGTCTATCCGCAAAGGAAAAAATAATCTCTACTGAAATTAGGTAGTTTACAGTATTTTCAATTAGAAATGCTCAATTATTTGCTCAATTGTTATTCAAGAATTTTAATATATTGACACTGTTTAATCTTTTTATAGGACTTTGTCTTTCCCATTTGTACTAGATTTTTAAGCTGCTTAATTCTGGGTATCTTGCAATTTTGTTTCATAAAACAGCTATCATTTGTGGTTGGGATTCATATGGAAACAGGAATTAAAGGGAGGTAACTGTTAGGTTACTTACCAGCTATATGATGGGAAGTTGTTAGAGTATCCACACAGCAACACACACACAGGGGAAAAAGAAGAAACCAGTTATATATTAGTTAAACATCAAACAATGTTAAAGATGTTATTGTATACCATTCTGCACAATTCGTTAAAATCACAATCAAATTACACATGCAAATGTATGGATTTAATTATATGTAAATTAATTCACAAAAGAGTTAGAAAATGTGAACATTTATTAATCACACAGCCTGGTAAGTTCACATTCACTGTTATTTTTCATGACTTATTTGAATCAAACATATTATTGTCAGACAGTTATTTTAGGTAAAATTCTTACCGAGTTTCCATGTCTAGAGATACCAGTTTACGTTTGTTCATGAGTTTGTTAAGTCGTCCAAGCCAATGTGATCCCTCACCATTAGGGTCTATCAACATTGGAGGTCTCTGCCAAGATGATATCATTATAGCAGCATTTTCTAACTGTCTTGGTCCAAAGTCTACAAAAATAGCAGTCATTGTATTATAATACAAATCACACAAGCATGTACTATTCTAAAATTTTATAAATTTGTACAGTGTATTTAGAGCTGTGATATTTTGAGTATTTTCACACGGGACTGTTATGTAAATAAATTCTATGACCTTTTTTGAAACATTTACTGAGAACAAAAAATGGAAACTAAAAAATAATAATAATGGAATTAAGCAATAACAAAATCAACATAAAATTTCCCCTAATCTTTGTATATGTTTCATTTTAAACTTTCACATTGTGTCCACTATTAGTACCGTATTTGTCTCTTTACGGAGAAGACTTTTTCAATTTTTACCTTTTCTCATCCAGTCATTAAGGACTGTCTCCCCTACTAATATTTTAATCAGAGATCCGACATATCTATTATATTGTGTAGAGGTTAGGACGGGTGAGGTAGTGACATCTGTCTGATTCTCATCTTCCTGAACATCACTACTTTCCTCCTCTTGTATTTTGTCTAAAGTCTTATCTGTCTTCTGATCGTCATCCTTTATTGATGCTGACGATTCTACAAATGCAATTATTATGTAAAAGGTCATACAAGATTTGTCATATGATGGTACACATTGTAGATCATATAGAATACTGGAATGTCAATAATCATTTTCTAAAAAATCTTATTCTAACAATACTCAACAACAAATTTTTGTGGAAAATTCTGTATTACATAGGAGTAAGTTGGACTTGAATATCTAGTGTGGCGAACCCTGCACTATATGTTTCCTAGACCGAAATGTGGTTCAAATTCATGCTATTTTTTAACTTTCATCAAAATCTATATCTTTGGCCTGTTTGAGGTGTAAATGCCAACACTTTATATGAAAGTCTCGACAAAAAATAATATTTCCCTTTCATCAGAATGAAACATGTTTTATCTAGCAACAATGGACTTAATATTTGAGCCAAATAGGGCCCTTAGCGAACATACTCCTTTGAAATTCTTACGTTTATATAATGATATAGTCTCCTTTCTGTTTTTGACAGAAGATGTGTTTTAACAATGACTGTTAGTTTATAAAGATGGGTACCTTTGCCACTCTCCTCTTCTTTTTCTGTCTTTTCAACTTCAGATTTTTCTGGTTCATCTGTCTTTTCCTTTCCCTCTTCTTCATTTTCCTCTTTTGCTTCTTCTTCATTCTCTTCTTTCAATTCATTGACATCCCCCTTTGCCTCCTGTAAATGTTTTATTTTTTTTAATGATTTACATTTAAACAGAACATTTCATTAGCCATGTTGTGAACTGTAGATGTCAGTGGGAAATAAGTGGTTTACATTATCAGTGAATCTTGTTTATATAGCTTTATATTATATGTCAATAACACTAGAAATAAAGAGCTGCGCCATGAGCGCATGATACACCCATAGCTTTTTCAAAGAATAAAGTTCCATAACTCCTCAATGTCATATCAGAAATTTATAAAAAAACTAAAGGGAGGTTATTTTAATAGATATAAACCAGTCACCAAAGTTTCATGAAAACTGCTCAAAGCACTTTTGAGTTATTGTCCAAAAACTGGAAAATCAGCCCTTTTTTATGAATAAAATCCCATAATTCAGAAACGTAAAATCTAAAATTTATAAAAATCAAAAAAGAGCCTACATCAATAGATATAAACAATTCACCAATGTTTCATGAAAACTGCTCAAAGCATTTTGGAGTTATTGTCTGAAAACTGGAAAATCTCCCTTTTTTAATGAATAAAACCCCAACTCGGAAACGTAAAATCTAAAATTCATAAAACTCAAAAGGGAGCTCACATCAATAGATATAAACAATTCACCAAAGTTTCTGTCAAATTGGTGAAAGTATTTTAGAGTAATTGTCTGAAAATTGGAAAATCACCCTTTTTTAATGAATAAAACCCCATAAAATTGAAAACTTAAAAATCTTAAATTTATAAAAATCAAAAGGGAGATCATGTCAATAGATATAAACAATTCACCAAAGATTCATGCAAATTGGTTAAAGAGTTATTGAGTTATTGTCCGACATGTTGACAACGGATGGACAGAGGGACAGATGGACAGACGGACAACTGTATACAATAATACATCCCATAAACGGGCGTATAATAAAAACAAGGAAGAATTTCATTATATGTAAAAATGTGACAAATTAAAAAAATCAATGAATAGAAAACAGGCTTTAAAATAAAATAAAAATTCTTGACAAAAAGCACTGATTATTTTCTACAGCATTTAACATAAATACCTGAGCCTCATCTTCTGCTTGTTCCTCATAATCCCCTTGTTGTCCCAGTAAGGCTGAGGTATAGTCTATATCATAAACCTGACTGGCTCCTGTGGCTGTCTTCAGGAAATCTATTGACCAGTCTATAACACGACCTACAAACAAATACATATTCTTATAACACTGTTGTGTTTCTACATAAAACAAGTCATTTCTCTTTAATTTGTTCGTTTAAAATGATGTGATGAAGTATGTCAGTTTTATACTGTAAATTGTATTTGATAGTTTTCACTATCCAGAGTACACCCATCATATTTAAAAAGGTTTTACAATGCAGTATTTTATAATAATTCTCATTCATAAAACATTTTACCTTTCAGACCATCAATGGAGTCTATGACAAGAGGAACACCTCTTTCTCTCAAACAATTTGGCCAGTGTACAGTGAGCATCATACGTCTGAAGTTGTGATGATATGTTCCGAGGTAAGTACAGAAGGCAGCCGCCATTGCACAACCACCAGGAATGGATACCAATCGTCTGTCGTGGGAATCATAAATCTGCTGACATCTCTGACGCTCTCCTTTTAATATCTGTAATTCAAATTTTATAGTAAGAATAAGAATATACCATCTCATCTAGTCCAATGCTGATGAATGATTTTACTTTTTTCAATACTAAGCACAGACCAATCAAACTATTGCTTTGAGAAAAGAATGTTATAGATTTTTAAATATTTTGGTCAGTAATATAGTTCTAATAATTCAGCAACTCTTTGTTCACTATAAGAAATACTTGTAAAATAAGGACAAATGTACACATAAATATATGTCTGTATTACTGCAAAATTCACCACCATTACACACATATATCATGTTTACCTTCCTAAGCTTGGCAGCTGTTTCCAACATCTTTTTCATTTTGATGCATTTTTCTTCCTGTTTGTTCTTGTCAATGGTTGCTTCCTCAAAACTCTTAGCAAGTCCTTGTAATCTACTCTCGAGGTCCTAAAATACACAATTATCAATGATCACTCACAAAACTTTTATAAATTTCAGCTTTCAAGTTGGTATGTGAAATATAAGCATAACAAACAAACCTAAAAGAAAGATATTCTAACAGATTTAACTCTGCTCTAATTTCAGTGTATATAGAGGTTTTCAATTCCAAACCCTTACATAGTCAGAATACAGTCTATGTTCATTTTTTTTTACTTAATATTTGAAATTTTTAATTTAGAATTCATGAAAGTTATGTCCAGTGTATGTATTCACCAGATATACTTTCATTTACAGTACAGAAGATTTAAGAAATGTAAAAAGTTGACATTTTTAAAATTACCTTTCTTTTCTTCTCCAAGTTTGCCATTCTATGTTCTGCATCATCTACTTGCTGTGTTGTCTCCTTGACCTTCTTATGAAGTGGCTCCACCTTGGATATCATCATTCTGTTGTACCTGATTGAACAAAATCATATCTCATATGAATTCATGATTACTTTTTTGGCTTTATTTCAAAGCAATAATTTCAATAACTCTATTCCAAGATACTACTGCCATACTTTTTAATAATGATACTTTTTGATTGAAAACTTTTAGTTTATATATGTTAAGGTTCTGTTTTATTTTTCTGATGGATAACAAAAACTAAGAGATATATATTTTCATGATGACATCCTTTATTCTCTTACCATACGACACCCCTAACCCATCGACAGAGTGATCCACACGCTGGGTTTCCAGTCTTTTTCTCAAGAGTATCTGGGTCAAATGAGGCCTTCTTCAGGTAAGGTTCTACCAAATTCAAAGTAGACTCTGGTAACTGATTCTTGTCAAATACCATCATTTCGTCAATAAATCTATAAAAAAGAATTATTCTTATAAATATTTTGAATTGTCTGTAATCTTTTATATATTTTATATTTAATTATAGACAAAAATAAAAGAAGAATGTGTTTGAGGACATGAATGCCCCTGCTCAAGCTTTGCAATTTTTAAAGTTAAAAAGGGGCATAACTCTAGAACGGTAAATGACACACTGCCCGAATTTAAACTCTGTCTGTATGTTGTGGTTCTCAGCACTGTGTATGAGTTCTACAAAATTTGAATGAGGCAAACTAATAAAGAGTGTGGAAACGAAAAAATTAGCAATTTTCAAAGTTATAAAGGGGCATAACTCTAGAACACTAAATGACTCACTGCCTTAATTCAAACTCTGTCTGCCAGTTTTTGTTCTTAGCATTGTGTATGAGTTTCATGAAATTTGGATGAAGAAAACTTAAGTTAGTGTATGGAAACAAAAATGGGTTGGACGGAAGGATGGTCATGGGTAACACTTAATGCCCCCGTTGCCTACGATGGGGGCATAAAAATTGGAAATAGACAAAGAGAAAGGTAAAAATTATCGAGGGGAGGCTGTTCAAGTTTTGATTTCAGTTATTGGCTGTATGTGCTGACAGAAAATTTATAACCACCAAGCAAAATGATACCTACCTTTCTAAGTTTGCCATTTGTCTCTTTGCACCTTTCTGCCACGTCAGATCAGCTGATGGAGACTTTACTGTAATAAACAATAAAATACATATATATATATATATATATATAATGAGCTTGTTGTTAGTTTTACATACACGGCAAATTTGATAGGTTAAAAAAATCAATGTACCAGTACCTAACTTGAAAAAAATGGGGCAATGGAAGAAACTTACATATCATAATAACAGCTGCCATTAGATCTTCAATATCCAGTGGTGGTTTACTCATCCCTCTCAGTTACTTACATATCATAATAACAGCTGCCATTAAATCTTCAATATCCAGTGGTGGTTTACTCATCCCTCTCAGTTACTTACATATCATAATAACAGCTGCCATTAGATTTTCTATATCGAGTGGTGGTTTACTCGTCCCTCTCAGTTACTTACATATCATAATAACAGCTGCCATTAGATCTTCAATATCCAGTGGTGGTTTACTCATCCCTATCAGTTACTTACATATCATAATAACAGCTGCCATTAGATCTTCAATATCCAGTGGTGGTTTACTCATCCCTCTCAGTTCGCCAAGACTGTGTTTGTCTCCATTCATTTTCTCTACTTCCTTCATTGTATCTCCATAAATCTGTGTAGTTTTAAACACGGCTCTCTGTTCTGCAATCTGATATTCTGGTAATAACTGTAATAACAAAGTTACATTTTAGTTATAGCCACCACAAAAATGAAACTGTATTCATACCATTACGACATCTTTATTAATGACATAGTGTTGTAAAATTAGCATCTTTTGCCGAAAACAGTTATTAAGTTTTAATAAACTAAGAGATCATAGATGTATATATCATTCAAGTCTGTGAGTTTGTATCGGCATTAGAAAGGCATGTATAATCAAGTAAGAGACTGTAATATGAATGAATAAAACAAACTGTGTGGTTCTGTTGTTTACTATCAAGGAACATGATGGTCATGGAAAACTTCATTTAAGGTTTGACTTCACATCTAAATATTTATTATCATAAGTCTGTGCAAACAGTGAAAATGAATTAAAATAAAAACCCTTTATGAAAAAAGAACTAATCTTCTTTACTTCAAAAATGGCTATGTATCATCTATTTCCCATACATGATACATACTAAGGTGCATGCATGCAATACAAATGTACAATATTACTGACCTTTTTGAGTTTAGAGATTTTTTCCAGCTGAGCCTTGACTACTTTGATCTGTTGTTCTGTAATGGCTGTATCTTGTCCAATTTGACATAAAAATTTCACAGCACTCTGTAAAAAAATCCTTTTCAGTCATTCATATTCTTCTTTAAATTATTAATTCTTCGATTAATTACAACTCTTTCTTCTGCTTACCCTTCCCAAACACCTGAGATCACCCCCAGTTTTTGGTGGGGTTCGTGTTGCTCAGTCTTTAGTTTTCTATGTTGTGTTTTGTGTACTAGTGTTTGTCTGTTTGTCTTTTTCTATTTTAGCCATGGCGTTGTCAATTTATTTTGGACTTATGAGTTTGAATGTCCCTCTGGTATCTTTCGCCTCTCTTTTTCAGTAACTTCTGACAAAATGTATTTATCATACACAATTAGCTTAATGACAGCAAACTGTCTTGAATCATAAACTAAAATTAACTTGCTAATAGTTGGTTAGATGATTAAATAACAAAATTCAATTGACCTAATTAATTAATGAACAAGTGTTCAACCAAACTTACAGCTTTCCTTTCCTCCAAAACCACCATTTCATGTTCCAATTGTTTTCTCAGTTTGACAGCAACCTCATTTTCACTTTTGATCTGTCTCAGTGATTTAGACACAGCATCATTAATATCATTTATTTCAAAGTGTTTGGTATTGGCTAAGGAGATGTATCTACAATTTACAATGTCACAATTAAATTAACTGAGTATAAAAAAATTTAAATCTGTCATTAACCAAAACTAGAACATTCCTGAAATTTCATTTTAGAAGTATACACAACTTTTACTTCCATCATGCATATTCACTCCAAGTTTCCTCTGTGTTGATCTCTAACACAATTTATACCTTAGAATTTTCACTCACATAACCATCCAAACTATTGCCATTGCTTTGGTACTATATAAAAGCTGTTTTTATATTAAATTAATTGATTCCAGCCTGCCTGTTCTGTTTTGACACATATTGGTCTCACGTTGACTTTTGTATTGTGACAACCACCCATTTCACTGTATTAAACATATCAGACATTTTTGTAATATGAACAAACCATATTGGTTGGTAAACATGCATTATGGCTATTTTCTCAAATTTTGCTTTGATCTTTTTTGTGATAATTTTCCATTTCAAGCTACATGTATATGGATTTTTCTCAGTCAGGTACAAATAGAATGTATGATGTCATTGACATTGCCTTAGAACAGAAAAAAAGAAAAACAGATTATCAATGGTTCTTCAAACTCAAGGATGTTTCTCAGCTACATCTCATCTCATTACTGTCACCCCTCGATGAGTTGTAGCTAAGAAACACCTACCCGTTTAATATACCATCTATAATTATTTATATTAACATGCAAACTTAACTGAACTCAATTCTCTTATATTATTACATCATTAAAACCTTACCTTTCCACAAACTTTTCAAATGATGTATTAGTAACATGTCTGTATTCGCCAGCATCCTTCTCTCCGCCATCCTGTTGTCTAAGGACAAGGTGCATGGAGGCCATCATGTGAGCTATATTCTCTCTCTGAACATCGTTCATCCATTCAACATCTGTCAAATAAACCAATAAAACTGTTTAAAAGTTTAAATCATTTATGTGCCAGTATTTTCTACTGAGCAACTTAAGAACTTCAAATTTACTTCTTTGCACAAAAACAAAACTTCTAGGGAGTTTGCATAAAAAGCAATGTTTAAATAAGTTACCTCTTGAAATATCAATATTTCCTTCTTTAGTTACCCATTTAATATTTATTACTTACCCTTAAGGTGATACAATGCATGCTCAATCAGTCTGGACTTGGACCAATGAGGGAACCATAGGAAGTTTACATTTTCAGTAAATGCTGGGTATTCCCTGCATCGTCTCTGGAACTGTTGACCACCATCACAGGCAATCATACAAACACGGAAGTTATTTCTGACAATACCCAGGAAGAAATTCCAAGCTGTGTCCCGAGTGTATGTCAGTCCAGCTAATGTTACTTCTGTCCTTATAGAGTTTATAATTGTTGTTTGTTCTTCATAGGTAAACAAATGACTGATAGATCCAGAGACAATAAATTCTATCAAAAACACCAAGAAATCTTCTTCCATCAGCTCTTCTTCATTTAAAAGTAACAGAATTTTCTCACCCTAAAAAATACCGAAATATATATATGAAAAAAACGTTTAGGATTAGTTTATCAGAAAAAGAAATGTAGGGTTTTGATAGTTGAAAAAGGCATTTACAATTGACTGGGAAACACATATGGGGACAGACAGAGACAGGTATATAAGTCTTATATTACACTACCCTTCTATTACATTGTGTTGATGTATACAGCCAAGAACTATGTATATGATAAATTGATACACTGTATACTCAGCCTTGGACCTGATCTGAGATTCATCATTCTACAAAGTTTGATTTGACAAGTCTGTCTTCCCACAACTCTGCAAAGTTTATAAACCAATTCTTTGCATACTCAGCCTGGAATCTGCTGCTTTCAAATTTAAGTGTACCTTGATACTGACAATTCTGTTATGAGCATGATTATGAGCTGACTTACATCTGTCATTAAATTTTGTTTTCTGGTGGATAATTATCCCATTGGCAATCATACCATATCTCTTTATTCTTATATTAGTAAGATGTTTACTCACCCCTGAAACTACTAGTTAAACATTCCTTTTAAACATGAATATAAAGGTTTCATATTAACTCTGTATACTAACCCTGGAACCTGCTCTGGTGTAACATTCCACCAAGTCTGACTTGAACTGCTCCATCTTATATTCCCCTGAACTCTGTAGAGAGCATGGACTGACTTGGAACACTGTATATCCACAGAGATGAGAAGCTAACTTAGCGATGACTGTGCATCGCCCAGCACATCCCTCAGCTACCAGCACTGTGTGGGCACTTTCTTGTGGTGAGGCTATAGTACGAGCTAATCTACATACTTGTTCAACAACAGTCTAAAAACAGAAATTTATATCTTATCATTTTTCATATGCTCTCTTTAATTAATGCAGTTGTGGAATGATTGAAGACTTATTATTTATGTTTGTACTATAAACTTACATTTATAACATTGGCAAAACAAGTTGATGACTAATAAAACAGTATCAATTAAATACTTGAATTTGTTGATGTATACTTTCAATTTTTTTTTCACATTGGCATTGTTTAATTCTGTAAACTAAGTAAGTCCCTCCTAACTGTGTAGCTGAACTAAAATGAAAACATAATTCTTTCTCTGTTATATTTACGTTAATCTAATTTTACAATTACCAAAATAAGTATGTTTTTATCTATTTTGGTGTACCTTATAAAGAGCTAACTTAATCCTGGGATGAATCTTGTTGTATTCCTCTACTCCTTTGATCATTAGATCCTTCACATCTTTCATATTAAACCTAGGTTTGTAAAGATCTGTCTTAGCTTCCTCTTCAGAGATGTTAGAGATGTGTCGAGCATCAATCATCCCAGCTGTTACAACACCACTGTCTTGTTCAATCAAGTTACTGAATAATGGCTGCCTATTGGATACCACCAAGCGAATCTGTAAGCAAATAATATAGGATGTAAAATATTGTCTGACATCAAATTACATCTATAAGCAGGCAGTCATAGAAATTTCAATAGAAACTGAAACCTTGTGGATTAGATTTTATTCTAAGATCAGAATGCATTAAAAAATAAAATGCTCCGCTGGGGCGCAGCTTGATACGACCGCAGAGGTCGAACCCAGAACAGTTGGGGCAAGTATGGACACAACATTCAAGCTTGATACAGCACTGAATTTGGATTGTAATTAAATATTTGACACAGCATAGGTTTCTGACACAGAATGAAAGTGGTCTAAGAACTTAAAAAATTTTAATTTACCTATTCAAACCATATCATTATTATTTGCTTTTATATATAAATCAGAAATAACCAATTTAAAATGGAAAATTTTAAAGAAAAAAAAAATCCCCCCCAAATTTTTTGAACCCCCTTATGATTCATCACCCCCAAACTCAATCCCAGCCTTCCCTTTGTGGTATGGTACCTTGCAGTACAATTTCAGAGAGATCCATACACTTGAACACAAGTTATTGTCTGGTAACTAGAAAAATGCTTATTTTTTGGCCCCTTTTTGGCCCCAAATTCCTAAACGTTTAGGGCAATTACCCCCAAACTTAAACCCAGCTTTCCCTTTGTGATATGGAACCTTGCAGTACAATTTCATAAAGATCCATACACTTACACACAAGTTATTGTCCTGAAACTAGAAAAATGCTTGTTTTTTTGCCCTTTTATGGCCCCTAATTCCTAAATTTTGAGGGAATTACCCCCAAAATCAATCCCAGCCTTCCCTTTGTGGTATGGTACCTTGCAGTACAATTTCAGAGAGATCCATACACTTGAACACAAGTTATTGTCTGGAAACTAGAAAAATGCTTATTTTTGGCCCCTTTTTGGCCCCTTATTCCTAAACTTTTTGGGCAATTACCCCCAAACTCAATTCCAGCTTTCCCTTTGTGATATGGAACCTTGTGATACAATGTCAGAGAGATCCATACACTTACACACAAGTTATTGTCATGAAACTAGAAAAATGCTTGTTTTTTGCCCCTTTTTGGCCCCTAATTCCTAAAATTTGGAGGCAATTACCCCTTAAATCAATCCCAGCATTCCCTTTGTGATATGAAACCTTGTGGTACAATGTCAGAGAGATCCATACACTTACACACAAGTTATGTCTGGAAGTTACAAAAATGCTTATTTTTGGCCCCTTTTTGGCCCCTAATTCCTTAACTGTTGGTACCATAACCCCCAAAATCAATCCCCACCTTTCTTTTGTGGTATTGAACCTTATGGTAAAATTTCATAGAGATCCATTCACTTAAACTAAGGTTAGAGTGCGAAAACTAATGTGTCTTCGGACGACGACGACGACGCCAACGTCATACCAATATACGACCACAAAAATGTTTTTGCGGTCGTATAAAAATGGCTATGCAAATTTTCTATTCTCCATTTATTTCCAACACCTCAGCAAAAAAATCTTTCAAAAAAATAAACTTGTGATCAAAATATTCTTTTTATATAAGCCAACCCTTTATCTTTATGTTATAAATATTTATCAACAAATGTTTTATTATCCTGAACTTGGTACGGACATTATTTATTAAGAACAAGTTCCATTCTTGTCTGGTATAATTTAGGAAGTTAAACCCAAAGTTCATATTCACGATGATCTGCATGAGCTGTTTTAATATTTTAAAATTTATGACCTGACCCTATACACCATTGTTTCCAACTGGTAGTCAATACGTGTGCCTTCCTGACTGATCCACTTTTAGGATCCCATAAATTGACATTCTTGTCTCTGATGTGCATGAAAAATTTGACACTTTATGTTAAGTAATCAACAATCTATCAATCAATTAAGCAGGTTACCTGTTCATCACTAGAGAATTCCTTTCTGACAGCATTAACAAAAGCTTGTTTATATCTTTTGTAATCTACTTCAGTCACTAAACGATGTCCATATACCCAGGCACACTCATGTTGCCATAATAACAGCAAATCTCTGTGGGCACATTCTGGCTGGAGTGATAGGCATAAATTCCTATAATGAAATTTGTATAGTTTCAAAATGTATTATGATACCATTTTATTCAATGGTTCTTTGTTCATATCAAGGAAAAAACCTTTCCTCAGAATCAATTGGTGTTTACCTAGCCATTTAGATGTTTGCAAAGAGAACTGTCCCATTGAATAGATACAATATCTATTGTTCTCTGTAAAGTTCATTCAATGGGAGCTTTAAACTCATCCTTGAAAAGCCAATCATTCATTGACTAATTTGGCTGTACAATAAAATAAACTTATGCAATAATAAGTTATTAATACTTGGACTCAATTGATAGGAATTATTCTCCTTTATCAATTCCAGAAAAAATCAAACGTACTTGAATATAATAGAGAGATCCCTTGTGGTAAAGATATAATGACATCTCTGTGCTGTATTTAAGAACATTCCTCTCAGTCTATCCTGGAGTTCTACATTCACTTTCACAATCAAAGATAGCAGCTTCCTCATGGCCTCCTCATCTTCTTTAACTTTAAGCTGTGCCTGTAATAGTGATAGTAACAGGTAATATTGACAAATGTATAATTTCTGCTCCTCTCATTCTAAAGTTGCTGTCTTTTAGTCGAGGGGAGTGTCAGCTAATCTGGTAATGATGTTTTTATCTATTTTTTTTATAATTTATTTTTTCTTTATGAACTTACAGGTATTTACATCTATTTACCTTGTGGCACAATAATCAAGCAAGTGAAATAAATAAGCATAATATGATATAACAGTATGAAATCCATGGATTAAGTATGATAACATTTCCATTAATATAATAATAGGAGTAATAATAGTGCAAGAACACATATACACATACATATGGTATAACAGTATACCTATACATTCAAATACACATATACACATAAAATATACACACATATGTATACAAATTTATACCATTAATATTTAATCAGTGCACTTAGCCCAGGGCTTTCAGAACAAGTTGTATTCTTCCACACTCAATTTTTTTGAAGAAATATGTTTTTCTAAAATCAAATTTTCTTTTATGTATTTTTGAAGTCTTTTTATATGAGGTTTTACATCTTGCATCTTAGATCTGTAAATGAAGTACTTTGTCAGTAAAATAACTTTATTTTTTGAAAAAAAATTTCAGTGGCCAAAAAATGACAATATCCCAATTTATCGGAATTTCTATATGTACTATATCAAAAATCCAAGAATTTAGATTGTCCAATATGACAACCCCAAAGTAAATGTTCTATAGTTTCTGGCTCTTCCTTGCAAAATGTACATAAATTGAAGTTTATAAGGTTCATTTTAAAAAGTAGAGCATTTGTACCCAAAATATAATGAATAATTCTATATTGAAATCAACTTAGAAACCTTGGTAACACACAAGTAAATTTTTTTCCAATTTACTACAACCTTATTTTAAATACCTTCCCCTTTTTTTCGGCTGCAAAAGGTATTGTACCCTGGTTTAAAATAGTATATTTGTCCTTTGAACCCTTTTCTGACTTGAAGAAAATATTAATATTAAAAGGCATAATAGCTTGTTGTTTTTTATCTCATTCAGCATTGATTCAGATGGCTTGGAACAACTTTTTTAAGAACATGGGTTTGAAATTGCATTAAAAAAATTCTGAAATACAAACAAAAACCAATTTTTGACGAAACATGCTCCAGATAAAACAAAAAACAACATAACATTTCTCACCTTGTTTTTTTGTTCCTAGATATACAATGAATTATTGTGTTAAGAATAAACTAAAATCATTAATATTTTAATACACATGTCATATAAAACAAATGATCTGGTTTTAAGACACCACTGCTGATGTTTTTATTTCCTGTTTAATATTTCCAATTATCTATGTTATATCTGAATGTGTTTGTAAGGATTTTGGTTTTGATGGCTTATCTTTGGTAGTCTTGTAACGTTTGACTACAAGTCATATAAAAACATGATAATAACACTGTACAAATTTCCTGTGTCTGAATCGCTTTTCAGGATTTTCCTTCATTAGGAGTGCTCAAAGCCAAATATTTGAAAGCCAAGGATGTAAAAGATCCTAAACAGTTGAAGAGCCATATGACCAAAAAGGAACTTAAAATAGCGAAATCTAGGGTCAACTTTGCCTGAGGGAGTATAGATCAAAGAATAATGTCAAACATGACAATCTTCTATAGTGCATCAAGTTTCGATAACCCTGAGTAGAAAAATACTTTTTCATGAAAAATGTGTACCGTACTTGTTTGTTTTGTTATTTATTTTAAAGAGTTTTAATGTAAATTTTTACCTTCACATCAACATGATGAGAGGCAGGCATACCAGTCCCTGATGTCTCTGGCAGTATAAAATGGCAGTGTAATAGAGTACTGAAGACTGTCTGTAACTCCTCCTGACCAGGGTAAGGACAATGGAAGACAGCAAAGTGTCGCAGGAATCTCTGACTCAGTTTAGGGACGTTAGCTGTTGTATTAGGGTTAATTGTACTGATGTAAGTGACATTCTTGATGTATCTCCAGGCATGGCTGTCTGGATTGTAGAACCCTCCATCATCAATGTGTTCCCTCACTAGTTCTATGGCTGTCTGATGTCCCCATTTGTCAACCTGTAACAAAAAAAACTAATTTTAAAACTGTCAAGTTTCTGTGAAAATGTGTACAAGATGGCATGGTATTTTGATAAATATATTTTTTGTACACAATTTCTCCTGAAAACCATTTCAAACAAACATTTATAGGACTAACAATACATCAATATGATTGTACTTTTGACATTTATATTTTCAGACAGAAATGCTTTTACCATTCAAATATCTTATATATTATATAAGGTTAGTAGAAATTTTATCAGGTATCAGTTTACTAAAGGAGCAATTACCTGAGACAAGTTGATGTCATCTATCATACACAATAATTTTTTGTTTCCTTTAGGTACATATGTCTTTCCATGTTTCCATTCTAATTTCTCATCAAGACGGTCGTACAGCAGACGAGCATTGGTGAATCTGTCAAACAAAAATTAAAGTTACAAATTTTGTGTTATATTGCCAAGGATGTTGAAATCTTTATCAATATATATTCAATAACATATTATATATATATAAATATATATTATATAATAAAAAAGTTAGCCATAGTTCTGTATTTATTTAAAAACTGTAAACAAGATTCTCTCCAGTAAAAAAGGTATTATATTATAGGCATATTATAACAGAACAGACTGAATGTACTCACCTGTTAGCAGGTATTGATAGAGACAAGACTTCAGCGACTTCCCCTGAACAGACTGTACGAATTCTGTCATTGATAATGGATGATTTTCCACAACCATTCTCTCCTACTAGTATAACTGGTTTACCATACTCGGTCAGTACTCCAATCAAGAAAGATAATTGCTACAAACATAAAATATATACATGTACTATGATTACTAAAACCTTCAATTATAAAAATAAAACAATACAAAAATTCATATACTAAATATTGTTAGAAAGCATTACATTAACAGAAATTTCTAATAAATTTAATTACATAGTTTTTTTTGTCTTAAAAATTATAGTTCATTTAACTTAATGAATTCATTTTGAATCTGCAACATACTTTAAGGCATGAGAAAACCTTAGAAGTATTTTCTGATCAACTGCTTAGTTCCAATAAACTGTTTTGTATAAACAATGCAATAAGAAAGTTTAAACAATTCCTTCCCTGGAAATATGAAAAAAATCAACCTGATTACAAGAAATTTTTGCCAAGTATTTGAAGAGAAAAGAGCAGTCATTACCTCAACTGAAACAGTATGTACAAATGACTCAGCCGATATGCCTTTTCTACTCTCTCCACTGTACTGCTGTAATGTATCCTTCCAGAGTACAAACTCATGACTATCTCCATCAACCATGTAATCAAACACTGTACCCTCCTCTGGGTAGTCAATGTGCTGTTCAAACTGTTCCTTCCACCAGTTACTGAATGATTCTCTGTACTTCTCCTCCAAGGTACCCCCAAACGACCATATGGCAGTAAAGTTAAAGTATCTCTCATATTCCACATCACTTAAATCTTGTGTTGATGTCTGGTTTACTACGGCCTAAAGAGAAAAATGTCTTTAGTAGTATAAAATCCATACAGACTTATCATGCTTATGATAGCTAAGCATGAATGTTAATCAAGATTTTTCTGATTTTGATTCTTTGATAGAAGTATGTGTATAACAATTATTAAACTCATATCAACAAATTAGGTGAATATTCTTCACTTTTTTAATTACTGTTAATTCAGAAATTATTGCAAATAATGGGACTGGTTGAGTATCACAATAATAAGAACTCACATTCTGAAATCTGACACGTATTTCGTTTGCAGTTTTTCCTTTAATCGCAATAATTATTCTCACATGTTGGTCTGTCATGTCAAAATCGCAAAAAATGCACGCAACAATTTCTGAATTTACAGTGATATAGTTTAAAAAGAGTAAAAGTCATGTCCCTATGAAAATTTCATTCAATCTTTTAAATCTTACTTATGTTTAATTTTAGGATTAAATATACTTTTTGCAGGAATCAAAGGTTTTCTCAGTGAAGGAGAACCAATCATAAAGTTTTACCTCTAACAGAGTACAGAAGGTTCCAATCATGTTCTCTATATTATGTTGTAAAACACGTTTATACTGTGGACATTTTTTCTTGGTACCACCCAACATGTGTGGTGTACAACAATCATTTAGGTATTCTATTGTCTTCTCGATGTATACATCACAGAAACCTGTCAGTAACTCTCGGTCATTCTCTGGACGATGTTCTAACCACTGGACTAGTATCAATTTCCATCCAACATCTTTTGGAGTCATTACCATCACACCAACATTTGCTAGTAATGCTGGACTCATGTGAGCAACTGATTCCATCTAAAATATAAATTTGAATATTGTTAAAAATAATGTGAAAGAGCTATAGACAGTAATAAATCTGCTAACAAAACATTTGTATGGAACAGTTCTTTACCTCATAAAAAACCAGAAACCAGGTCAAAAGTAATGTATATCAACTTGCTATCAAATGTTATTCTCAACACTGAATGAAAAAATACTGCTCACAAGAGAAAAAAAATATTTAAAGAAAGAAAATGCTAACATAAAGTTGAGAAATAATAAGGTAAACGATGAAAGTATAGTTACTATTAACAAATATACAAACCTCCCACAAAAATCTAATGGTATCAGCTATTACAATTCTTTCATTGTTACCAAGGACAACAGCTCCATCATTGTTAAGTACAGCACCAAGCAACTCCATCTGGGCTGGTTCAGACTGGCAAATTTTAAAGTGATATAAAAATTTAATGCTAGAAGATGATTAAGATAAAAGAATATAATTAATAGTTTCAGAATATAATCTATAGTTTTAAGAATATAATTAATAGTTTTAAGAGTATAATTAATATAAAAAAAAAATTTAAAAATCAAATTGTGTATTACAATTTTTTAATGAAATGCTAGAAAACAAGTTATATAATTGTCATAAAAAAAAACCTATTCAATTTACCTTTAAAAAATTCATGATAGTAAGTTATACAATGTACTGCCTTGCTCCATATAGATTTATTTCTTATTTCATAGCTTTAACCCCCCAAAACAGCAGAAATATTTTGAGTAAAGAATACCTTAATTTATAACCAATTGAACTTTAATAACTACAAAAATCTATCAAAATATGGACTTTTATACAGAAAAAAAAACAAAAAACTGTTACCTCCCCGTCCATCTGTACAATCTTCATGATTGGTTTGGCCTTCAGGTCATAATTGATATTTGGTGGCTGTACACAAAACTTCCTTAGAATGGAGGCCAGTAGACCATCCTTCCATTCTCTACAAAAAAAAAAACTAAAATGAGACAACAACCAAACAACATAGTTACCTAGAAGATACTACACAGCTTTCATAAATGCAACATAAACATACAACATGCTTTAAATCACTCAAAGTTGTCATAGGTTGTCAAATACTTTATTGCCGAGATGTTCGGTTTTACTGCATCCGATTTCATTTTACATATATGATAATGTCACATATCTATGCAGTGGTGCGAACAATAAAACATTGTCTACATTCAAACATCAACTTAAGGGTGGTGTCACTTGGTGGTAGGTTTCTATTGGGGTGAGGGCATCAAAATAGAAATGTGTGGTCAAATTTTTTAAGTGGAAATCTACTTTAATCATTTAATTTGCTTAATTCGCATGTGTAAAATACTTTGTGTGCAATGGATTAACATTCGTATCGGCAGAACACTTCAGTTTGGGAATATTTCATGGGGATGCACTATAAACAATTGCAAAGGTATTTCATCAGATTCTCTATTTGCTCCAGGTATTTAGGCATCACTACCGTCATCAGAATCCAGGCATACTTCAAACAGCCCAGAATCATTACTACAAACGGCCCAGACTCATTCCATGCTCACTACAATGAGCAGTTTTATTCAGCACATCCATGTATTTTTGTGCACGTTATGACATGTAAAATCGGTACTTTTAATCTTTAGATTTACTATGATTTTACATTTTTATCTGTATATATTTCCAGGACTAAAGTGCTTGTGCACAATAAAACGAACTTTTCTTCTCGAAAATAATAGTTAAATAAATAAATAAGTATAATCTTCCTGTATTTACCTGTAAAACAATGCACGCAAATGTAATCAAAAGCTGCATGCAAACGTAATGATTTTTGCGCACAAATGTAATGCACAGACTGCATTTGAATCAGATAAGTTTTAAGATTGTATGTCTTTCACTTCTAAAATGAGACATTTAATACTTGTCCCTACCACACAATAAGCACTCTAATCAAGATATACCATTAGTTCTTCACAGGGTTGGAATTTAAAATTTTCACGTAATAGCCCACCAAATAGTTTTTGGTGGCTCTGTGTTATATTATCAAGAAAAAATGTTGAAAATATTATTACTCTGCCCAGCTCACATTTTAGGGGCAATATACTTACTTAGTTTTCTGATCAAGATATCCCATGAGTTCTTCAGATTCTACAGCTTTAGTGAATACATTCTGTACACTGATAATTTTGCCTCTAGATCTCTCTGCCACGGCAAATGTCTTTATACACTCACTTTTACCACATCCAGGTGGTCCAACCACAAATATCTGAAATATTTCATTTATCTCATGAAATCTCAGAATTCAAAATAGAAAAGACAATGAATATTATATTTATGTTTTTTAAAGAATATTCTCATACATATTTTTCATCGTATACTTAACAATGCTGTTTTTCAGTGTTTAAATTTCTAACCTTTACTGCTTTGTGTTCTCAAAACAAAGTTGTACTGCAAAGTACTTTCTTTATCAAAGTATTGTAAACCAACTTATTTTTGAGAGTGATTTATTTTCATGATTCTCACCAGTAGAAAACTAACGCAAATATGTCAAGCTTGGATCTTCTCTTATATTTATATAACAATTATTAATACTCATATAAAAAATATCGCTGCAAAATCAGTTAGAATGGGCTTAATGCAAAATATCTGCAAAATTAAGTTGGTTTACAGAAACTCAACAAAATTTCCTGTAAGCACAATTCAAAATATGAAATTTTCATAGTTAATATTTACTAAACTTCTTAACTCAATATCTATATAATTATTCACTTACAGTCTGATGTGATGCATTAAGCTGAGATAGCTGTGCTACCCTGGCTTGGAATGCTACACCAGGTAGAAGATTTAGCTCCCCTGTTGCTATAGCAATAGCATCCTGCATGTCCTCAATCACGTTTCTCTGATGAGCATCTAAGAAGTTTGGTGCTGTCTGAAGTGGGACTACAGGAGTATTCAAAGGAATGGAATCTACAAAATAAGTATTGAATAGACAATACAGTGTGTTCTTATTTATCATTTTCATTCTATATTTTAAAGGGATGGTGTTTTATGGAAATATTCAGTGAAACCTCAAGCCATCTTTTTAAACACAATAATTTGTCTACACAGAATTCAACATATAAAATAACAAATTTTCAATAGGTTTTTTTATGTACCATGACGTAAAATTTTAGACAAGTGAAATATTAGAAATTGTCAAAGTAAATCATTTTGGTGCATTCCTGTCTATTTCTTTCATTTTTTAAAAAATCAACTGTATACAGCAACCCTAGTTGTAATAACAATATTTAATATATTCAGTACAAAATTTAATATAAAAATACCATAGTATACATGATATACTGAGGTTTAACTGTTATTTGCAACTGAACTTTTGACTGTAAACTAACAAAGTTGGTACAATGACTCTTTCTTATGTAAATGCGATTACAATTTTCTATATAAATAGATCTACTGTAAATTCAGAAATTATTGCGTGCATTTATTATTGCGATTTTGTCATTTTAGACTAAAATGCGATTTTCATTTTTGCGATATTGAGAAAAATCCTGTTTAATTCACATAAAAAATTTCAAAATGCGAGTTTAAATTATTGCGATTATAACCCTTTTGCATTTTTCGCAATAATAAAGACATCGCAATAATTTCTGAATTTAGAGTATGTAAAAACCAATATAATAATAGTGATAAAATTTACAGGGTGGAAGAAACATAAACTATAAGCAATGGATAAAATAACAATGTAACCACGGAAAAACTGTTCATAAATAATAATAAAATTCAACACATGCAAACTTTCATATCTTGACTTACAGCCTCTAGGTCTAACATCTGTCAATGTGTTTTGTAATTTGTTTGCTAAATAAATCAATCATATACAAGCTGACTTTGGATTAAATTGTTACATCTTATCAATTCTTTAATCTCCTTTAAATTTCAGTTTAAAAAATAATTTATACATTCATTTTCTTTGTTCTCTTAAAACAATATCCTTTCACTTAACTCTGATAATTAGATATCAGAAAATTCATTTATTTTGTATTATAAATACTACTGTAGATTCTTTTTTCTGCCGTTCCTATTTTCAAGGATTGGAGAAAATTTGTGATTTTGACAAAGTCTGAATACAAGCCTACAGAAAATTTGTACTTCCTTGAACACTTAGATTCGTGGTTCACCTATACCCAAGAAATCCACGAAAATTGGTATCCTACTAGTAATAATGAATCCGCTGCATGAAAAATTTGTAAAAAAAACATAACATTGGAACAAGTATGCAAAATAAAGGAAATGTTTCACAGTTGTATTTACATGTTTTATTCTTTAAGATATTATCATGTTTTATTCTTTGTTAAAATACATGTAAATACCACTATATAACAAAATAAACATACTTAAAAATGAAGAAACATCTGAGAGTTGAACTTACCAATTTTATAGGTCAAAAGAGAAGCAAAGATAAAGCATGTGTTTAGAATGATATGAAATAAAAAAAATTACCTCATTTCTCTGCTTACAGAAAAACATAGCCTTCTTAACATTGTTCTTAATAATTTGATTGGATAAGGCTATTTATAACTGACAGAATTTTTTTGACCAGCATGAAAATTTAGGTTAATATCAATGTTGAATATTTTTCTCTAGTTGTGAATATGCTTTTTTGTACATTAATTAAGGCTTAAAATTAATATGTTAAATTACCTTTGTTACTGTTATGAAAAACAGATTTACATGATACAGACATTTGTCTTTTGTTGAAGACCATAATTTAACCTCAAAATATCTTGATTTGAGAGTCAAGCTATCTTTTTGAATTATACATTTTGTACATCTCCTTTTATTCACTGTCAACAATTATTGATTACTTTTTTCCTACATACAAATTTAATCAAATAGTGGTCTCTCAGGGGCAAATTCAGAAGGGGGGGGGGCAGAAAAATTATAATTTTTTATGCTCAAATTGTTAGAAAATTTCTTTTTTCTTTTTAATTTTTTTTCTATTTCAAACAAAGATATGACACCCCCCCCCCCTTTTTTCCTCTTAACCTGAAGTGTAGCTGAATCAACCATGAGTTATACTGAGACACAATGTTTTTCAGATGGAATTGGTCTGTATATACTTTTGCGGTTTTACAGAAAATAAGTGCATAGACTATTTGAAAGTGCAAAGTGAAAAAAAGATTGCATCTGCATATACATAAAAGTTTCAGATGTCTAGGCAACATATCTGATTTATTTCCAAGCAAGTTGATCAGTGCAGTCATCATCTATATAGTTGTGTGTTTGCTTTGTAGTACATTATTATCAAGCTGCAGTTACTTGTCTTAAAGCTTTTATATAGATACACGCTATATATGAAAATAAAAATAAAATTCTATCCAACTTACCTTTCAAAGCTTTTGATACTAATATGTAATTGTTGTTTTCATTTAGTGATAGCATCATGATTAATAAAAATGTCACACATTCACATCATATTTAACATTTTGTTAGAAAATAGAACTGTTAAGATTAATATTAAGAGGTATAACACTTCAGCTTGCACCAAAATAAAATAAGGTATATCTCCTAGCCAAACAAACCCATAAAATCTAATATATGAAACCCCTCCTCCACCCCAAACTGTTGATATTCCCATTTTCATACTTGTTAAAGGGAGATAATTCCTATCAAATTTTAGCAGCAGATTTTCTCTCCAATTTTTTTATTAAGATTTTATTGAGCTATAGTTTATGTATAAATCTTATCAAAATACAAAAGAAATCAATAGAGCGCTTACACAGCATGTTTATCTATTAAGTAAAAGTAACATTTGCACAGGACCCATCCCAAAGGTTACATTAGATAACTTCGAGCAAATGATTATGCTTATTTTTTTTTAAATCTAAATCCAAATATGAATGAAATCAGTTAGCACTTACAAGGCCATTTCCCACATTCTCAGTCATTAAGGGGCAAAATCTGACAAAAATTATGACCAAGACTCACCTTTAAACTTTCTTATGCTTTTACTTAACTACATCTTGTGTATGAATTTTAATGAAATCTGATGTAATATAAATTTGCTAAGAAACTTGGTGGACAAATATGTTTATGAACTTGTCTTTCTTCCCTTTTTATATTTCTATCTTTTAACTTTAAAAAAAAATAAAAAAAGTGATAATATCAATTCACTAAATGACTAATTCAAGCTTTTTATTATCTTCTGAGATATTTGAATGCCTACCCTTCCAAGCAAAAAGGCATTTTATTACACATCCTAATATAAGTTCTATCCTACCTTTGAGAGATTTGCTGGATGTTATACTCCTGGCTGTCCTAATTCTTCCTGATCCATCTTTGTGACTAGTCCTTGATGGAGGTGGCTTAGACAGGATTTCTAGTTCTCCACCAAACACCATGGGTATATTAAGGTATGGCCACAAGTCAGTGATCAGTGTAGCAAACACACTAGCATCCCGACCATGAAGACGTGGAAGGAACGTATCCCTTATAGCCATGACCAAAGCTTTTTCTTCTTGGTGAAGTTTCTGTTCTGTCATTAACCCATCTACAAATGTTGTCATAAAAAAGTTATACATTGTTCTAGATCATTCAAATATTTAACTAGATCTCTAAACTATTATGGACTAGTCAATACATCAGTAACTATAGGCGTTTTATGCAATAACAGACCTGTTGCATAAAAACAACAAACTGCTATTATTTTCAGACAAATATTATTATTTCAATTGTGAAAACTCTATTTTGTTTGACCTGATAAAGTCAAGGAGATGCATTTTTTGTTTGTTTTTTTTATTAGCTCATCATAGGAAGATAGAAATGAGGGGACATAAGGTCATCACTCTGGACGTCCATGTTTGGAAAACTTAAGTTTACAGACAAAATATTACCAAAGAATATATACTTCTTTCAAAAGAATTAACAAGATGTAAAGTGAGATTATCACATCTGGTACTAGATTAATAGAGAAGATACATTTTGAATTGGATATATGCTATGCCCTTTATTAGGTTTGGAAACATAATATTAATAAACAACAGGTCTATGAAAGCTTTTTTAAAACAACTTACTGTTTTCTTCTTTTTCCTTTTTCTCCTCCTCTTCCTCTCCTTCTTCCAGAAGTCTGTGTGTGTCTACAATACATAGCATTGTGTAAAAACTCAACTGTTTTAGATCTGTAATTCAACAAAAATATGCAGGAAAAAAACCACGGTAAAAATCAGATACTGCATGTATCCAGTACACTGTTCTAGCTAAAAGAACTACTGTAAGCTAAGAACTTTTTTATAATTGTAAAAATTGCTACAGGAAAGGATTCGTAAAAACTTTTATGGAGTTATTAAATGTTTGTAAAGAACTGAATTTCCAGAAAATTTAACTGTGTGAAAATAGGGACTTTTAACTTGCTGAAGCAGCATCAGATGGGGCCTTTCAGGTTTCCCAATTTGTGAAAAATTCAATCATTTCCTACCCAGAAAATATAACCAAATCTGTGAAAATGTCTCAGCTTCAAAAGTAGCCATCATACATATCCAAATTTATGATATGGACAGAAGAAAAGGCTAACACTGTTGCCTACTTAAAATGAATTGCACATCTTGACCCAGATGCATAAGTGTTTAACATTGTGTTGTTTTGACAAAATCAAGACTTGACAAATAAGTGAATCTTTCTATTCGATATCCAATATTTTCCTGTTCTGCACTGTCACTAGTGTTAAGATTCTCACCTGATTCTTCTACTGGTTCCTCTTTGAGTTTCTCTAGGTAAGCTCCTGCTTCTGATACTACATCCTTCATAGTTTTCATGCTCCACCCACCACAACTGCCACTTACATCACAGCCTGGAAAAAGATTTCTGAAAACTTTTAAACAAAGTATAGATGTCATTCCTTTTACATAACAAATAGAAATAATTGTAGTCTGTATGATGAAACAGAGAAAACAAATCACACTTTTGCAATGATATTTTCTTTTTTTAGAACATTGGTAGATTTGCTTTTTATAGGCATGAATGTGGATATTTGAAGCAACTATTTTTCTAAATCATTATTATTATTATTATATTTAAACCTGTCTCATGAACAAATGTATAATAATTCAAACTGGACAAATCCTGTGCAAAACCTGTCACAATAGTTAAAAATGTTCCATCTCATAAGGATAAGGTTTAGACTGATTCACTGACTATTAATGTTGACATTCTAGTCTTCAGTTTCCATAGTGATATGTAAATGAGTTTATGCGAGGATAAATGTGTAAATTTGAATATTTATATTGTATGTATAGATATTATACAGGTTATATGTGTATGTACTTCTGAAAAAAAAATAGTTTGAGCATCTTAAAAGTAGCTAATGTTAACCATCAATATTAAAAGTTAAGAATCAAAACAATAAACCTCAGACAAGTTACTTGCAAACAAAACAATTAGATTTTTCTGTTTAGAATCACAAATACAGAAAGTTACAAAATTTTATGCACTAGATGAACAAAAGATTAATATACTTTTTTTTTAAATTTGAATCACATGAAATATACTATCAAAAAGTTTAAATAGATAAAATGCTGATTGTGGATCTAAAATTCTAAATACGATTTTATAGAGACTATATTAGATTATTATTTAGAAAATGAAAAGAAAGAAAATTAATGATAGAAAGAAAATAAAATGAAAAATGACCAGACACAAAAAATACTTCAATTACTAACATCTAGACACATCCATGTAGTCTGATTGATTGATTGATAGATAGTGATTAAATGCTGCTATTTAAAAGCCAAAGTCAGAGAATAAAAAGAACTGAGTCCCAATGTATCAAGGTCATATTCTCCCATTGTGAAATAGATAAGCCAATATTTGATCAAAAACACAAAGATGTTTTACTCTACTCCTTAAAACTTGAATTAAAGAAAGTTTACATAATTTTAAAAAATAATTTCTACACAAATTTGACTGACAGTTTGCTGTAGAGGTTGATATAGCTGATTGAAGAATAATTAAACAGCTTAAGCAGCTGATAACAGCCAAAAAAAGACTATCTAAAATATGTATAATATAAGCTGATGGCAGTCACTTCATAAATCTCCTTAACTTATATCGCTTTATAAATTATATGTCTATAATCTTAATATGGTTAGCATATTTTCCTGAAAACAAAAAAGCTAGTTATTAAAACAGCCCTCCATGCAGACTATTGACTACATCCAGTCTAATGCTTCAGTTGCACAGACACTTACCCATAACTCTAATTCTACCTGTTATAATAAATATTAATTTAACATCACAATAATCCTACTAATCCTTTATTACTCTAGCAATAATACTACCTAATCTGGTTTCCATTTCCAATAAAAAATACTATAATATTTTTTCTTAGCAATTATACTACTAAATCCTAAATCTGGTTCCCATTTCCAATTAAAAAAACTCTAATTGTTTTCTAGCCTTTCTCTCCAGGGTTCTAAAGTTCTAAAAGTACAGCAATTGTTTTTATGACACTTCTTGATTACATATTGTAGCTTACTTGTACAGTGTTGAACTGTTAGTCATATGAAACAGTGGTTATAAATGGATATTTGGTATTAATGAGGTGAAAAAGATTTTTGTTAACTAAAAGGTGGCAAAACAGACTTTTCATTGAATATAAATATTGATAAAAATTAAAGATATGAATTGGAATATGATAAATTGAGTTGTAAAAAATGTAATTTGCATAAAAAGAAAGGGAAATATTCATTCAGTAGATCTACCCATATACTCTACAAACCTAAGATGATGTTTTCTGATATTGGTACATTGGTACCAAGCAGTCTACGGTAAAGTTCATAAAGGGACATTGTCTTCCTTGCCAATTCTCTAGCACCAAGAAAACCTGTAATATAAATCTACTTTAGATATGTATGTTCTAAAAAGAAAAAAATGTATTTGTGGCATATTATATTTTAAACATTTCTTTCTGTAGTCAAATTTTCTAATATGCAAAACATATTATTATAGCTATTTTACGAAATTTTCCTTTGATCTTACTGACTGATAATTTCCTTTCTCAGCACAGTAGAGTGATATGAAAAATTATCGCTACAAACTAAGGGCGCAGGTGCCGTTGTCAATGAAATTAACAACGTCGTCATAGGTAAAATAGCGATAAACAGATTATCATTGGTCATCTCAACTCGATTGCTTTTCTCACTTTCGCCGTACCGGCTCAAGCGAGAAAATCAATCTCGTTGAGATGACAAACGATAATCTATTATTATCTATCTTTACAAACAGTAAGATGAAATCCTACTTTACCAAGTGAATAAAAATACAATTACAGTTACTGCTTTAAATATGGCTTATAATTAAACAAATGTAACAATGTTTACCTTGACTACACAACATGACCTCTAAAGCCAGATGAAGGTCAGGTTTAATGATAGATATAGTCCTGAACTGATTCATGATGTAGTCAGGTAAGGCAGCTGTAGCTGATGGATACAAGAGTAAAGCATCAGGATTTCCTGACTGCACTTGTAAGGCACTGTCTAGTAAAGCAAAGCAGGCTCCTGATTGGTTGAGTTGTATGTCATCTGACTGAAGATGGACTGCACCCTTCCCTGCCTTGAGAGCATCCATAACAGATTGTATTAGCTGAGCAAATACACTGAGTACTGATGGTCTCAGATGGTTCAGATTATTAAATGATACCCAGCAACCTGTAAAATAGAAATCAATATGCTATGATGTTACCTTATATGGTAAAACATATCTAAAGTTAAGGATTTATAATAGGTAAGATGGAGTAACTTCAAGACTCAAATAGGTCTTTATATTGATAACTGATGAGTTTTACACTTTTGACATAGGTACAAAGTTATATCAACACCTATTTAAGATTAAACATTCCAAATCAGACTTAATATGACAATGTAATGATACATCCTGCACAGCTAAGCAAACCCCCACAACAAGTGTCTTACTGCTAGACAAAAGAAGTCCAAGTACCCATATCTTATACGCTATCTTATCTTTGGCTCTTTAACATTTAAAGACAAAACATGCTGATATAACTACAGTAAACCTACCAGTTGATGCTAAACCTCTAAAGATGTCATGTAACATCACATAATCTGTTGTATTGGTACAGCTAAACTTGTACAATGGATGTCCTAGAGATCTGGCTAACTCATGGGCTAATTCAAATTTACCACAATCCTGAAAGTACAAGATATGATATCAGTACAGCTTAACTTGTCTAGTGGATGTCAAAAATAGAACTCACAGGATAATTTGGATTTAGCAAAATCATATAAAAAACACAATACTGTATCATATTTTATAAATTGCTTCGCCGAGCACAGCTGGATACGACCGCAGAGGTCCAACCCTGAACAGTTGGGGCAAAAAAGGACGCAATATTCGCGCTTGATACAGTTCTGAATTTGGATTGTAATTAAATATTTGACACATAAAAGGTTTCTGACACAGAATAACTGTAGTCAAAGAACTTAGAATTGGTTATATGATTTGAATTTATATTCAATTTTTTGCTTTTTGTGCAATACACTTTGCTGTTGCGAATTGACCCCCCCCCCCCCACAAAAAAAAATAAAAAATTTACCCCCCCTTTTTTTTTTGCTTTTTGTGCTACACTATGCTGTTGCGTATTAACCCCCCCCCCACACACACACACATTTTTTTTTGAAAAAGAGAGAAAAAATTGACCCCCCACAATTTCTTTTTACCCCCCCCTACCCCCCTTTTTTTCCAAAAAAAAATTCTTTCCCTCAAGATATGGTCATAATCTCAATTCAAATTTCAAATGGAGTTTGCAACCATAATTACCCATTTAAATTTACCATAGTGCTAACTTAATCTATTTTATAATAGAATTTAAAATATGGTGTCAAATCTTTCATATGGATTTTTTTGTAAAAAAAAAAGATGCAACATTTTACTGGACTTCCTTTATAAATATGCATTTCTTTAAACATAATTTAAAAGCAGTGTAAAGGAGGTAATCAAAACGTTGTATTTGGATTACCTCCCTTACACTGCTTTTAAATTGTCTTAATTGTTCATTAACCATTACTTTATATATAATTTAAAAGCAGTGTAAGGGAGGTAATTCAAATGATGTATTCGAATTACCTCCCTTACACTGCTTTAAATTATGTTTTGTACTAAAGTATTTGTCCTCTAACCAGGATATCCTTGTTTTTCCCCCTTTTTTGCCCCTAATTCCTAAACGGTTTGAGCCATAACTCCCCAAGGCAAATCCTAACCATCCCTTTGTGGTATAATTTCAGAGAGATTTATACACTGTTCCACAACTTATTGTCTGGAAACTAGAAAAATGCTTATTTTTGGAACTTTTTGGCCCCTAATTCCTAAACTGTTGGTACGATGACCCCCAAAATCAATCCCAACCTTCCTTTTGTGGTATTGAACCTTATAGTAAAATTTCATAGAGATCCATTCACTTAAACTAAAGTTATTGTGCGAAAACCAATGTGTCTTCGGACAACGACGACGCCAACGTCATACCAATATACGAGGCAAAAAAATTTTGCGGTCGTATAAAAAAGGAGATCAATTCATTCCATATTTTCCTCCTATATCTAAATAAGTTTTTTAAAAAATCATTAAGATATTTGGTATTTTGATCATCAACAACTATTCTTTCAGTTATTTTTTACTTTTGCTTTTTTCCTTAAAAATGTAGAAGCATTAGAAGTAAAAAGACATCACTGATAACAAATTTTCAAAATCAAAATGAATGATTATTTTGAGAATATTCCAACCGAATTTATATATTCTTGTAATGGAATGCTTGATCTAAACTTTCAAAAGTTATTTCAAACTGATTTGTGCTTAAATAAAAGTACTAAGAAAGAACTTTGTAAATCTGAGGTAGAAATGAATGTATGAAGCAAGCTGAGCAATAATTAAATCAACAGGTAACAAGTTTTTCTAAATAACCCTTGTTAAATTAAAATTAAGCAGACCAGTAACATGAAAATATGAATTATGTACAACTGTTTTTTTCAATAATGATTTGTGTACTGTACATACAATTGGTCCAACACACATTTAGCTCCCATGTGAGACTTAATAGCCTGAGTAAGGGACACAAAGACTCTCTCTCTGTCTTACTTACTATTGGTCCAACACACATAGCTCCCATGTGAGATTTAATAGCCTGAGTAAGAGACACAAAGACTCTCTCTGTCATACTTACTATTGGTCCAACACACATAGCTCCCATGTGAGATTTAATAGCCTGAGTAAGGGACACAAAGACTCTCTCTGTTAGTGGAGTGATCACCTCTCTTGGACTAGACCCAATGTATTCATATCCATAATCAAAATCTGCATTCAGTGACTGCAATCAAATAAATGATAAAAACAATTATTACAAATTATAGGCAACAAAAAATGAAAATAGTCCAAAGACATATGGAAAAATCATGATACTGGTAATATATTAAAACCAATCAGACTGATCATCAGTTAAAATATAAACAACAATGAAACAGATCCACAATTTATATACTGTAAATTCAGAAATTATTGCGTGCATTTATTATTGCGAATTTGTCATTTTAGACTTAAATGCGATTTTAATTTTTACGATTTTGAGAAAAATCCTGTTTAGTTCATATAAAATATTTCAAAATGCGAGTTTAAATTATTGGGTTTACAACTCTGTCGAATTTGTCGCAATAATAAAAACCTCGCAATAATTTCTGAATTTACAGTACTGGTACACATTTTGTAAGAAAAAACTATATCTATACTAAAAAGTAAAAATAACAAAATAGTGGGATCTTTCTCAGGATAAGAGATCTGATTATCAGTTATGTATTGCGATTAAAATAAAATAAAGTAATGAAATCTAGCTTAATTTTTCATTCTCTTGTTTTAAACAGAATAGCATTTGGAAACTTTTATCAGAGTTTTAATAATTTTCTAAATAAAATTATATCATCTTTACAGTATAATAGCTCTATTATCTATAGATCTTTACTATAAATGAAGAAAAATGACCTTGATAGTAATAGATCTATTGTCTTTATTGAAGTAGTATCTAAGTTGAGCACTCCAATCAAATGAGTTTGCTTCAGCTCCTGCATCAGATTCCATAATTCTCTCAATAAAGTCTCTAAGATGTGCCAGCAATGCCAAAAGTGAAGACAGTTTTTGTATTTGACCTGGGAACAATAACAGTTTGAGTTCCGATGGATCTATTTTTTCTTCCTCTATTTCCGTCTCTTCTTGCCGTAATTCCATTGCAGCAGCAGCAGTAATGTTCATGGTATCTATAGGTTCCATTGTTTGAGGTTCTACTATAGCTAGAAATAAAAGTAGCAATTACAGTTATTTTAAGTCAAAAGAAGAATTTGAAGTTTAGTTTAGACAGTTGGCCAGGTAGGTCCTTAGATTTGTAGAAGGGGATCTCCAAGACTTCGCAATCACATTTACTTGTATACAACTCAAGTCTTTGGTTTGTTGCGGCCTGGGATTGAACCAACAACCTCTCACAAGTATTGTTAAAAAAATTCTTCAAACTTCTTTCCAAGTAAAACAATATCATACCAATACTTTTTATTTAAGGTAAGGCAATAATATGCAGGGCTGTTTTCTGCTCTTTGGTCAGGTTGTTGTCTCTTTGACACATTCCCCATTTCCATTCTCAATTTTAGGATTTTACAATATTTAATATATGTGTGCAAGTTTAATTTTTGGACTGTTTTCAATAATTAAAAAATATTGTTGTTTTAGGAAAGTTTTGAAGCAAAAAGCTTTTGATAATACAGTCTACAAATATGATTTTTTACTTCCATGCTCAATTTTTTACCAATTCTAATGACATTGTTTACAACATATTTGTTGACCTTTTTGGCTTCTTAGTCATATGAAACCAGTTTATAGTGTTTATAATGTTTGTATATATAACAAACTTGGTCTTAAGTACACTTTCTTTAAACATTTTTTTCAAAGACCTTTTAGGGATCCTATAATATATATGTACGATCGTGTTCTTGACCTGTTTCCAAGTACTTACAAATACCATCTGCTCCAGGTTCTGTTTCCTCCTCTATAATGGGAGTTCTACTGGTGTCAGCCAGATCCAAGAGAGACCCGTCTTTCCTGGAGGCTTCCAATGATGCTCCACCATAACTACTGCGAGCTCCGGCTACAGATGCATTCTCATCTTCAAGTCCATCTCTCTGTGACTTAGCAGCTGAAGAGGTAAATACAATATATTTTTTTTACCATTGAAAATATACTTCATAATGTAATAATTGATAATAACTGGTTTTATTGGTCCTTTTGAAAAGAGAATAATCATGATACACTATTTGTTTCTTGATGAATAACTGAATACATATTATTTGTTGTTGTTAAGCAACCAACAATCAATTGACCATATTTTTTTGTTCAATGTCTAATAATATCAGACCTTATCTATATTTATGACATCCATCTTATCAGTCAGACAGCTTATACACTATACAAAAATGATTTCCACAGTTACTTAAACATTGAAGTTTATACAACTTAATTTAGTATATTCAAACTTATAATGTTTGCTGCTAAAATTGAAAATGACCACTTTTTCAATAGAAAATATATAAAAAATGTGAAAAAATATAGTTGGGTTTGAGTGCCTATTTTCAAGAAAAACATAACAAAATCAGAATCTTTGGCAGGAAGAATAGTACTTGATTTTTTACAGGAAGTGTATGGGAAAAAAGGAAAGTATAGTAAAAATTTTGAAAAAGTACAATCCCTTTTTTCAAACATGTATTTCATTAAAGAATATTGAAAATATACTGGATGTTTAGTCTTCCAATGTATTCACTAAGACAAAATTAAACAGGTTACACAATATTGAGGAAAAGTTAAAAGGTGAGAAGGTATAACATCTTCCAGGTAACAGGATTCAGGTAATATTTTGACAATGTCTTGATATGAATACCTTCACTTTCAGTTTTCTCCTTCCTAAGTTTTGCTTCCTTTTCTCCCTCCAATCCTTTCAGCAGTAATGTTGTAGCCTTGATACTGGTATTTATCTTAGCTAATGCAGCCTGTAAAATATCATATAAAATTATTATAAGAAAGAAGATATGGCATGATTGTCAATGAGACAACTTTCCACCAGAGACCAAAGGATGAGATCTTAGCATCTATAGGTCACAGAACTACGTTCAACAATGAGAAAAACCCATGTCTATTATGTCTACCTACTATTAAACAAAACCTGGCTTTATGAACACTTTGCAAGAAGTGTCATAATAAGCTAGTTGTTAAAATGAACATGCATTAAAAGCCATTATTACATTGGTTGCAATGAATTACATTGATTTCCCAGTGAAATAAAAACCGATAATTCAACATGTGAAATAAACGTGGTTATTTCACTCCTCTGACGTCATACAACAATAGGCGTTGTCAAGACGTCGATAACGTCGGATCAAAACAAATTGCGAATGCGTAGAAACGATATAGTTCCTTACATTTTCTACTTTAATTTCACAAAAAAGTCATTTTCCAATGTAATAAAAAGAATAACTAATCAAAGAATTCAAATATCGAAAAATATTCAACTCATGACCGAACAACACTGATAATTAACTCATGCGCTACGCGCATTCGTGAATTAATGTGTTGTTCGGTCACTCGTTGAATATTTTTCTCTATTTGAATTCTTTGATTAGTTATTCTATAATTAAAAGCAAGTTTTACTTAGCTTGCAGATGAAGTTTTATATATGAAATTTCTTTTACACAAAACTGTCCGGTATTAAGTAATTCAATGGAAGAAAATAAAAAGTCAACATCTGTCCATACAACTTTCAATGTACAATCTCAATATCCATACAAATGACATCTTGTTCAATAATATATGACTGTCTAAAAAAAATGGCATTCCTATTACAATTACTTGGTCCATTAGTTCAAATATTCATTCAAAATAACAATGTTAGATATGAAAAGATTTCTACAAACCTCTAGCTTATCTTTGGTGCCATTTTCCATTTCCTTTAAAGCTCCCTCTATTGTCTCAGTCATCTGTACTTGAGTAGCTAAGTATACTACTTCAGCCACATGGTCTAAGGTCCAAGAGCTCTGAGAATCTTTGTTTTCTTCCGTTAATAACTGATCAGCTACCGAGGATGCTCGACTTTGCTCCTCTGCTTGTTTCTTACTCTGTCTACTGGCCTGTCTGCTACCAGTTCTACTTGAGGCTCTATCTGTTTAATAATAGGAACATTCATATATTATTTTTTTTTTTATAAATCTATATCTATATACATTTGACAAACTAAAAGAGGTAGTTAAATTCTATACAAAACTCCATCTTGATCGAAAGATATTCATTCTCCAAAATAGTACAACGATACAACTATTCATATATAGAAATGAACTTCAATCAAAACCAGCTTTCCAAATGGAAATACAATTGATTTGACATATAGACAAAATTTTGGATGGCAAGTTGGACAAGGTTAACACAGCCCTCTCTTAACCCATGGACAGGATATACATATCCTTCCATGAATATAAATGTCTTTGTTTAATTGATTCTAACTGTATCATTTGACATATCTTTAATTGAACACAGATGTCACTGTTAAAATAATTTTAACTGCATAAAATGAACACTGTTTAAGTGATAAAGTAAATCAAGAAATTGTACCTTTGGCATTTTGTTTAGTAGCTGATCCTGATTTTTTAATGGTTACTTTACGAGATCCAGCACTTCTAATCTGTCTTGTTTTAGGTCCTGCTTTCTCATGTCCTAATGCTGTAGCCATCTGGTACTGTAAAGCATTCTTAAGACCTTGAATAAAACTTGTCAGCCATGTTTCTATTTGTCCTTCACATGGTACAGGCTAAAAAAAACAATAACAAACATATCAGTAAAAAAACAAATAAAATAGATATATTTAAAAAAAAAAAAAAAAAAACATCTTTCCAATTTTAATGACAGATGTGGAATTCAGATCTAATAAGATTTGAGTATAATTTTTTTTACACTGCTTTTGTTTCTTACCAGGTGATCACCTGGTAGGGATGAAGTCAAACTGCAATTGGGTAAAACATTTAAGAAATTGGTACTGTGAAAGGACAAAGCCTTTAGGATATGCACAGTAAGACAGATTCTAAGCATGAACACATCAAGTTTTATACATTACATGAATCTGAAATATTTGAAACTGGAAAAATATTTTGTGAACATCCAAATTATCATATCTTACATTTTTTTGAATCTTCAAAAATAAGAACTTCACATTAAGAGTTATATTTACATTTATACTGTTCAATTGTCTTAGAAATTTTATCAACAGCACAAACACTTAATCTTAATGCTGAAAATAATTAAAATGATCAAACTAAAATATTCTAAACTGAATGTGGTCATGTGACATACCTGTAGGAATTCTAGCCTCTCTCCCAAAACACTGTTAACACCAGTTATGATGTAGTGATATTTCTCATTGTCTTCTACTTCTTCAAACAACAAACTGCCAACATTCTCAAACACTTTACCAATATAAACATTCACTTGGTTTAAGTCATAACCTGAAACACAATAGAATAACTGATCAGATGGTCAAATATATTATACTGTAATAGACAGCTGTTACGAGCTCTGGTCCTGCTTTTTCTACATGCTCAATTAAGATTTACCATAAATATCATTCGCCAATTTTACATCTTCTGACTCTTGTGATTCTTACAATTTTTCAAAATTTCAATCACAGTAATGTGAAATTCCTGCTTGATTCTGAATCTTAGATGAAAAAAACCAGGCCTTAACAGATTCAAAGGTAATCTAGGAATCCATCAGACTAATTGATCAATAGCATACATCTGATAGCTTGATAGCCTTCTGGTTTTTTTTAAATGAAGCACTGAAAATTTATAGTAAGAATTAAGAAAATTATTTGTTCAATATCTATGCAAGAGGTCAATTGATACAGGTAAAAAAGTTACAGATGTATCACAGACGTGGTATTATACGTCCGTACGTACATTTTACATCCGTAGCTATTTTACCTGTGTATAATGTATCAATCTCAGAAGTTACGATGAATTTTAATATTTACCATTACAGACTATATGTAAGACATCTTCCATTGACAGGAAGTAAAACCTTGGAAAAATCTGTCTTCTCCTTTCTAAATGGTTCAACAATGATCTTCTACACTGCTCCAAACTATGGTTCATGTGTTCTAATATTACCAAAATATCTAAAAGAAAAAGAAATAAATTCATTAAAACAAATTCATTATTCATGGTTTTTACAAAGTCAGCATACAAGCCTATAGAAAATTTTTACTTTATGGAACATTTAAATTGTTGGTTAACCTATACTGGCAAAATTAACGAAAATTTGACCTTGGCATTTTTAAAAAGCCTACTTTCATAGGATCAGATTTATAGTAGAAGGCTGTAAGGTAGTAGCTATTCTTTAGTTACCTTTTTTCATACAGAGGTTTTAAAAAGTGTTAGTTGCTGAAGAGGAAACTGCTCAAGTGAAACAGCCTCATTCTGTTAATGTTGAACCATCTGACTAATTTTGATATCAATAGCTTATATTTTAAAGAAGCTCTGTAACAGGCAATTAGTATTTAATACTCATGATTTACCATGGATATTCAAACTTTTTTTTATACTAAACTAAATTTTTTTGTTTCTCAACATTACCTACCAAAGTATGTCTATAAGCTTCACTTACATTTTCCCCATAAAACTTTCTAACATCAGTTTTTTTATATGTAAAACTTACTTTTCCTCTCACAGCACTGTCTAACATTAGGATTTTTCTCTGTAGCTCTCATCAAAAGTCTGAAGTCTCTATTTACAACAGCAAATCTATTGGCATCATGTGACAAAGATGTTCTAACATCAGCCCCAGAAAATATCTGTCAACAAATTCATACAAATTAATTTCTAATTGAACTACCTCCATCATGGAAAAAGTAAAATGTATTTTCAATCATTTGTGTATTTTCATGATAAACATCTGCAGATCTATTTTTTTTCTTAACACAATGGGATTATCTCCCCTGTCTACTCTAGTCTCCGGAAGGTTATTCAAGAAAGACATGTTAACAGTCTTCACGCTCAACTACAGGCCCACCAGCCAAGACTTGTAAAAATGCTTTAGGGCCTGTAAAAATCATCTCTACATGCCAATAGTTCAAGAATCTAACTAAAAGTTTTGTAAAATTCAGCTTTTGGCCTATAGATTCAAAAGTTTATCGTGAAGGCTGCATGTAATGCAAATAGAATCAGTACCATATAAGATATTTTTCTAGTAGATATATAAACGTAACTAATTATTGCAGTTCTTACTGAATGTTTGTTTGAGTTACACCTACTAAGGTATATCTTTAAAGAATAGCAATGTTAACTAATAAAACTTCTACTGAATTATACTCCTTCATGTACTTCTGCATTAGACTTAATGTACTTCTTCATTAGATTTAATGTACTTCTTCATTAGATTTAATGTACTTCTTCATTAGACTTAATGTACTTCCTCATTAGACTTAATGTACTTCTTCATTAGACTTAATTTACTTACATCGAGTCAAGTTTCCATAAAATCCATAGCAATAAGGAGTATATAACAATTGAGCAGAGAAGCAAACAATTAAGCTGATTCTTAAAAATTCCAACTTCAGTTATTGGTAATAATAAAGCAAAAAAACACCTGTCATAACCCCTTAAATATTTACTGTCATAATCCCTTAAATATTTGTCCAATTTTGTAGACTTACTGTATTGAGACTTATAGACCAGTACTTTCATCATAGAATATAGGATTTTTCCATGCTGAATCAAAGGCTAAATTTATTGGAAACAACCTTTTATGGCCTCATATTTATTCAGCTCACTTAAAATTATGGAAATAAGATATAACTTTAACTTATTTTCAAGGATCTATGTATGCCCATACCTCTTCTAGTTCAATCCATTTATCCTGAACTTCTAACCACATTACAAGGACAGCTTCTATCTGTTGTAATTTCTTCTGCCATTTGATAATATCATCCAGGAATGATCCAGCAGAACTTTGCATTGCTTGCAATGCCACCTGGTGGTTTTCTAACTCTTCAAATATTGGTCCACTTTTGTTCAGTAAGAATATTTGCCCTGTGTCCTGTATATAATATGTCAAATGCATTTCAATTTCATTTAATTGATGTTAATGTAAAATAAAGTGAAATAAATGAAAATATGGAAACTGAAATGTATGTTTAATATCAAAATTACTTGTATCATAAAGAATTCAAGATTTTTATGCATGCAACTTCCAGGGATGGAAGCTCTGAATACACATCATTATCATTACAAAGTGACACTATTCACAAATATGAAATGTTTCAAGTTGCTGTAGTATTTTTACAATTTTTTAAAGGAATAATGTGTATATTTATCTACATACTTTAAACATTTGAGTTATTTTCACTATTTTATGAAAAATCAAAGATCATCAACAAACTGTGTTACTTCAAATAACCATCAAACCCAAAATCTCATGCTCCACACACACAAACATATGAATGGCTTACATTATCAAAAATTTCAATTTCAAAACTTATCAAGTTTTACTCTCGACACAGACCTTTATGTAAAAAATGCTTAGAAAAAAAACATTGTACTGTATGATAGTGCATTACTATTAACTTTCTACTTTGACAATGTCAGATTGATAGGCTCAAAATGAGTTATAAAAAAAATATTTACACCACATGTAGTATTAAAGTGTATCCTGTTGCTAACATATACCAGAAATCAATAAATAAACAAGAATTTTGTGTGTTTGACACCTTTCTTAGATGTGGTAGCCGTTTCGCATGTTTACTCTCCAGAATCGAACAAAAAAAGTCTTAAATTTTGCTAATATTACATGTTTAATCATGAACCTAGCATACCCATGGTTCATAAGTCACTGACCACTTCAACAGTGTTTTAATAAATGTATTTATCCCATTAACAAGCAAGCAGATCTATTTATATTTCCCATAATGTTGATATGATATACATTATCGATTGAAAAATGTGTAATTGATGAAAATGATGTCACTTTGAATTTCCACAGTGATCATATTTATGCTGATAAAATAATCTTATGGTATCTGCTTTTGCTATAGATAAAAATCTAAAGTTAACTTAACTTGGGACATATTAAAATAGCAGACTGTCATTTCTTAATGGGCGACTTAAAAGATATATTCATTACTGCAAATGTCAGGAAGGATCTGATTCTGTTAACTTGGGACATATTAAAATAGCAGACTGTCATTTCTTAAGGGCAACTTAAAAGATATATTCATTACTGCAAATGTCAGGAAGGATCTGATTCTGTTAACTTGGGACATATTAAAATAGCAGACTGTCATTTCTTAAGGGCGACTTAAAAGATATATTCATTACTGCAAATGTCAGGAAGGATCTGATTCTGTTAACTTGGGACATATTAAAATAGCAGACTGTCATTTCTTAAGGGCGACTTAAAAGATATATTCATTACTGCAAATGTCAGGAAGAATCTGATTCTGTTAACTTGGGACATATTAAAATAGCAGACTGTCATTTCTTAAGGGCGACTTAAAAGATATATTCATTACTGCAAATGTCAGGAAGGATCTGATTCTGTTAACTTGTGACATATTAAAATATCAGACTATCATTTCTTAAGGGCGACTTAAAAGATATATTCATTACTGCAAATGTCAGGAAGGATCTGATTCTGTTAACTTGGGACATATTAAAATAGCAGACTGTCATTTCTTAAGGGCAACTTAAAAGATATATTCATTACTGCAAATGTCAGGAGGAAGCTGATTCTGAATTACATAGTTACAGTTTGGTGGTATGCAATAAAACTACATTACAAGCTGGAACATCTATTTTTAGAATAATTTTTATTAACACCAGTCCTATTCAAAAATGGTTTGTAAAAATACCCCATGTTAATCATTTAAGTTTCAAAGATGTTTTTGTCTGTTAGTTTGTTTCAAATATTCTGTTTTTCTTTTATTTATACATGATGTGCACTTATAAATACTATTGCGAACCAAATGAAACTTTTTCACAGATTCATCTCCTATTGGTCAATCTATTTAACTTTTGTCAGTTCTATTGTCCCATTTAATAAATACAATAGCTATTGTTCTCTGTGTAGTTTATTCACTGGGACCTTTAAATTTCTTCTAAGAGAAATCCATCACTCATTGATTAATTTACCTGAGTAAAAAAAGTATCTTCTAAAATATGAAAATACATGTTTTATACTCACAAAACTGCATGTGATGTGTATTTATTCAATATTGATAATATATTTTCAATCTGTTTAATATAAACAGTGATTCAGTTGATTTCTGACAAAATTTTCAACATTGTTCCTATTTAATTTTTTTATGTGTTTGACAAATAAAAACTGGAAAATGATGATGTTTAAATTAAGGCTTTCTTAAATGTATTCTAACACTAAACAAAAACAAAAAAATGAAAATTTCAATAGAACAATGCTAAAAATGTTGCCATAAAGCAACTTTTTATGATTAAATCAGTGTTTATATTAAACAGATCGAAAATATATTATTAATATTGAATAAATACAACATCACATGCAGTTTTGTGAGTATAAAACATGTATTTTCATCTATTAAGAAGATAATTTTTTTACTCAGGTAAATTAATCAAAGAGTGATGGATTTCTCTTAGAAGAAATTTAAAGGTCCCAGTGAATAAACTACACAGAGAACAATAGCTATTGTATTTATTCAATGGGACAATAGAACTGACAAAAGTTTAAATAGATTGACCAATAAGAGATGAATCTGTGGAAAAGTTTCATTTGGTTCGCAATAAAATAGTGTTTGATATAGAAGTCTGAATGCTTGCTGAGTGAAAAGCAGAATAATAAATGTGATAAAATTAACTAAAATTTATGACAATCTTTTTACTGATGATTTTTATTCATTATGAAGAACGGTACTGTATCAAAAATATAATCTTAAATAATTCATTAAAATTAGTACAAGTAAAAAATGGTAAGGCTAATATTAGCATGTCTAAAAATTCAATAAAATACTACTGACTCAGTTAATGACAAACAAATATAAAAAGCATTTATTTAACAACAAATGATTATAAAAACTGAAAATCAAATCTGCTATTCATTACAAAAATTCTACAAAATTTTTATCTTGTTAATAGTAATATGAAAATGCAAATTGAAAGATTTATATTTAAACTCTCTAACATGAATGAAAATGTGTAACTAAAATCAGTCCCATAATCTTGCAAAATTGCTAGCTACTGTAAAGATTAGATAAACTGAAAGATGAAGCAGACCACACACATTCTATACCTTAATTACACTATCCTTCATCTGTAAAAGTAGTCCATACAAATTATATACCAGGGAAAATTAAACTTATAATTTGTGGTTTCAGAATCTGAAGAATTCTGGCTGACATTTTAAAAAGGCATTCATCAAAACTTTAACTGGTTGACAATGTCCTCAACAATGGATATTCAACTAATAATGGCAATCTAATTATCATTTTAGTGCAAGAACAATGAAATAACCAACACTTTTTTTTAATCTGAAACAGTAAATTCACCAATAATCATTTTCAATTTAAGATTGAATGCTTCATATGTTGCTGTAACAGCTCACATTGTTTATAATAGCTTTTCTATTGTTTGATGGGCCATCTTAAAACAAAAAGAATGATGAGGGATCAGGAATGTAATCATAGTCAAGTTTGATACAGGATACCAGATTCTACTTTAAATTACTATAACTTATATATGTATAAATTGTATATTGTCTATATCATGCAAATATAAATATATATCATGAGTCAAATTTTCTGTCACACTCTTAAGAGTAACTAGTTCCCAAATAAAAGTAAAGCTCCATGCTCTAACAGCTATACTGATATAAACAACTACTTATATATAATTTTAAAACACCTTTTTCTTTCCCTGTAATGAAGTAATTAATTAATTATTAACTAGAAGACAGATAAAATTTACTAATTTATATATATTCAAATTCTTCTTTTTTTTCGTTTGACACCAGTTCAAGATCCCAACAGTTATATCCTTTCAATACTTTAAAAATTGCTTTAAGGAAAAAGAATGGTTTGTATTCTTAATTACTGCGAGGTCTTAAATTGGAACGGCCAAAGATATAAACTTTTTAAGAAAGCCTGTGTACTTTTTTAAAATGAGAGATAAAAATAATCCTTGGCAGTAATACATATTTCTTTGTTAGCTTTTATAAATAGTCATTCCATGACAGCTAATAGCAATTGCTAATTTTGATAAAGATATACACTATGTGATATTACAAACTTTGGAATACATTTAAAGTAGTAGAAAAAATGATTGAATTAAAGCTAGCATTGAATACAAATGTGATATCATGCAAATGATGTGTGATATGTATATTTAAATATTTTCTTGCTTTTTAAAAAAAACTCTTGTCTCTCTGAAAAACTAACATTTGCACAATGCTTAAGCACAAACTTTTAACACCCAATCCCAACTGGTCTCCTCAATAACTTTATATAACTACTAGTAAAATGTTGAATGATGCAGTATGATTAAGAAAAAGTTTCCAAAATTTCATATTTGGAAAATATTGAAAACCCCCTCAATGTGTGCTTTCTACACTGTACAAATGCCTTTGATGTTGATTTTTGTATTTGTTAATTATTACCTGTCCAAGGTTAAGTAAAGATGATGGCAGTGAAGCTATACTGCTACGTTTATTTTTGCCTGTTGAGCTCTGGTTAGAGATACGACTAGTTGTTCTAGCCTGACTACGACTTGTTATAGGCAGGGGAGGTTGAGATCCTCCTTCACTCTGAGATTCACTGTGTTGATCCTGTAACACAATCAATTATTCTTGTGTGATACAAGTTATTACTCCTCGTTAAAGGTTATATACAGGTTCAACATGAAGAAAAGAAAGAAAAGTGCTGTTCCTTCAATTAAAACTACTCAATATATGACACAAATATGTCAAACCATAAAATATAATTCAAGTTCCAGAAAACATTCACTTGATATTTCAATAAACTAAAGAAATGAATTTGATGATTATAACTATTAAGACTTGATTCTGGCTAGTTGCAAAATTTATATTTTCATTAGGTGACATAATATATTTGTGTACATCTGATGTATTACCGATTTTTTTCCAGAAATACACTGAGGTATTATTATATATATGAAAAAATAAACTTCAAATTCTGACCCTATACTATACCTAAGAAATCTATTCTAATTAATTTAATTCTCCTATAATTTCTACACAGAAGAATAAACTATTCATTAACTGGGGAGAAAGACTTTAACTAATCAAAGATGTCAAAAAAATCTTGTTCAATGCATTGTAACTTACAGGAGCAGCAATGAGTTCTTGTTCAGTTCTAACTCTGGTGTGAAGTCTCAGTTTGAATAATTTACTGGTCCATATCTCATCATAAGTCTTCAATGACTGGTCTATAGCTAAATCTTTCACTGCTTTTTGAACAATAGCTCTTACATCATCAATATGTTCTAAAAAAATAAACATGATTTACTGAATACTGTACCAAATATCAACAAAATAAGGTTGGGTATTGAAAACATATTATTGGACAGAAGGTTAGTAATTCAATATACAAGATCATATTCCCTAACGTTCATTCAGGTATTTCAAAATGAGTAAGTGTAGATAGAAAATATCAAATCAGCTGCATGGGATAAAAATCGACGTTATGCAAATGAATATCAATACATCTGTTAACCTATTTCTGGTTGAAAAAATCTCTACTGAAAGTTTGTAACTGTTGGAAAAATGAGTTGTTATAAGAACCTGACAAAACAGATCAAAATTGATCTTTCACTTCGTATTTGAATGTTCCAAAATCAATCAAAGTCTTATACATGTACATGTATATGTGCACTTGCATTAAAGGTCAATTTCTATCCGATGCAGCTCAAATACAAATATCAGTGTCCAGATGGGTACTTCTTAGATATGATAATTTTTTGGTAACTTTTGTGTCTGGATTGCATTTTAGGAATAATTTGAGTTTCATTTTGGCTGATAGACTGTAGATTCATAATTCATATTACGACGCATTTCAATACTTACTTTGAAGACCAAGGCCAATGAACTCTTTGAGGGTCATTCGTTTGAGAGTGTCATTGTCAATATTGACAGTGCCACCTGTGACTCGTACAAGTAACTTCAGATGTCTTGTTCTCATTGCAGGGTTACTGAGATCGTCTATCAAAGGCAGACAGGCCTGCAAAGAAAACACAAAACCTAGGTTTATACTTTATTATAAATCAAACTATTCTCATATTATTCATAACATTTTGTTCTTTACATAAAATTTCTTTAAGAACTTTACATAGGCGTAACATTTAATCATAATAAATGGCTAATACCAACACTGTGCAGAAGTTTTCAAATGTACATACTGTCGATTAATTTATTTTCCTTGTTCTAATTTTCGAGGATCGAGATAGTGTATTTTCATGTATATTTTGTTTTGTAGTTTTGCCAAAGTCTGCTTACAAGCCAAATTGACACCAAAGAATCATAACAAATATACAGAAAAGCTTACAAAATTTTGGCTTTAGACAACAGCTTCACCTGAGACCAAAAAAAATCATATATAAAAATTGAAAACTTCCTAAATTCAATTAAGTTACTGTAACATTTTTTTCCATCATTTTTGGCTTATTTCAACAAAAATGTTGTTTCTACAATTGTTTTAAGTTTTAAATATCTGAACAAAGAAAAAAAATGCATTGGCACTCTGAGATTCATCTGTGCATTCCTTTGTACATTTTCATATTGTATTACCTGTATTGTAGTAATAGACTCATGTAATCCCATATAGACATCCCACGTAAACACATTCTCAGGTAAAGCTCTAACAATGATTGTATTACCTGTATTGTAGTAATAGACTCATGTAATCCCATATAGACATCCCACGTAAACACATTCTCAGGTAAAGCTCTTACAATGATTGTATTACCTGTATTGTAGTAATAGACTCATGTAATCCCATATAGACATCCCACGTAAACACATCCTCAGATAAAGCTCTAACAATGATTGTATTACCTGTATTGTAGTAATAGACTCATGTAATCCCATATAGACATCCCACGTAAACACATTCTCAGGTAAAGCTCTAACAATGATTGTATTACCTGTATTGTAGTAATAGACTCATGTAATCCCATATAGACATCCCACGTAAACACATTCTCAGGTAAAGCTCTTACAATGATTGTATTACCTGTATTGTAGTAATAGACTCATGTAATCCCATATAGACATCCCACGTAAACACATCCTCAGATAAAGCTCTAACAATGATTGTATTACCTGTTTTCTAGTAATAGACTCATGTAATCCAATATAGACAATACCTGTATTGTAGTAATAGACTCATGTAATCCCATATAAACATCCCATGTAAACACATCCTCGGGTAAAGCTCTAACAATGTCTAACTGTTTATTTGTTTCCTCTCGTAAAAATTTTGTGTTCATCTTCTGCCAGCGATGTCGTTTCCATTCTGCTTGTTGATCATCAATAACTCTGTAACATTAAGAAATTATATATTTCAATAAACATGCACAGATGTAAATTATCTTCCTTGAACATCAATTTTCTATCTAAGAAAGTTAATACTGTGTAAGGTTAAGCAGAATGAATGTAAATAACTCATACAAAACAGATATATCTATGTTAAACATTATGAATAATTTGATATCATTGTTTAAGTAATTTTATCATGAAAAACTGTGTATTTGTTGCTAGTCTTACAGTCTGTTGATCTTCCGAATAAAATTTTACAGGTTCTAAAAGTCCATCTACTGATGATTCAATTATTTTCGTAAGAACCAATTTTCTTGGATTGCGGAACAATTGTATTTTCGTGGACTTTTGATTTTGTGGTTTTGAAAAATTTTGCTATTAATCCTATAGAATATTTATACTTTGTTGAACATTTAAATTTGTGGTTTACCAAAACCCACAAATCCCCAGAAATTAGTATCCCACGAATAATAATGAATCTGCAGTATTCAAATTAAAGGATCATTCATATTATAGAATTTATTATGTGTGAGAAGTTTAACCAATTAAACTAATATGAATATCAAGAATGATATTTATGTTGGATCTATATGTAAAAGAACTGCTCTATGTATTACCTGACGGTCTCCCATACTTGTTTAAGGTTGTTCAGCTCATGTCTACATCTGTAAATTAAGTAAACAATATTACACCAATATTCATTATTAATTTTAAAGAATTAATATTTTTACAAGCTCTATTTGAATATTCAAAATAAAGATGTTTTCAGGTAAAATTGCTGAAAAGATATTTTAATTTTTTTTTCTCATACTCACTACCTTTTAAATAGAAATTCTTAAGGCTATTCATGTTTTGAATAATAAGCTACAGTCCATGGCTATTCAAAAATAAGCTACAGTCAACCTTCCACAGTTTGAAAACACATCAATAACAAATAAAATGTTCTGTGTAACAGTTGTATGAAAATCATTAAAAAACATTGAATTATAAAGAGTCTGTAAAAATAGTGTTTGTCAGAACTAAAAAATTTTAATCTTAAAAAATATTTTCTTATGAGTTTAGGCATCTGTTGCCATTGTGAATGTGCTAATCTGATGAATAAAAAAATTGAAATAAGTCCATTGTAATCACAATATTTGTGTTGCTTTTGTGTACTTAGTGATACAGTGAAAAATGCATAAGTAAAAATTGTACTGAATTTAAAATTTTAGAATAAAAAAGATAAATATATCGTAAAAAATTAATGTGTATTAAAATTTAAATTAAAGAAAAAAAAAACAGCACGGTAAATAGTAAAATACTATTCTATCATCATTTTTTTTACAAATAAACAAACATGCAAAAAAAAAAACAAAGATTTCATCATACTAAGTAAATTTAGCTGTCTGAAAAAAAAGTATCTGTAATAAAAACATGCAATATATTATACTTTGTCTGTTCCTACTTACTCCTAAAACATGCTCAATAATCATGATAATGGTAAGGGGGCTATCTAAATTTCACTAAAATAAATGGTTAAGAAGTATTATGAAATTTTAAAATTAAGGAATCTATTGGACGAGTGTGACTTACAAATTCATATTCTCCGGACTGCAATAGGCATAGACAATAAACAAAAATATATTATTTTATGATTTAAACAAAATAATTTTCTGCAGCTAAGCTATTTTCTAATATGTCTATTTACAACTTAAAATCAACATAATGTAAATATATAACACTAATGTATTGTGTTCTGGGTTGCTGTCTCAATGACTACTTTTGCATGTGTTCTTTTTCAATACTATAAATTTGCAGTGGAAAAAGTGTTCATAAATAACTTAGTTCAGTTTTAGTACATCCAAATTATTGTACTATTTCAGTGGGTTTTTTCTGATCAGTTTTATAGTTTTACATTTTTTTTTAAATGTTTATAATATAGTTTTAGTGTTTTTTTTCTCCATCTGTTTAGTTTAGCAGTTTTCATTATGTTTAGTTATAGTGGTTTCATTCTGTCAGATCTGTTTAAATAGTTGAGCAGTTCTTTAAAATGTTTGATCTGTTTAGTTTTAAGCAGATTTTTTAAATCATATTAGGTTTAGGAATTCTTATGATCATGTTTAGTTGAAACCGCATTTATTTTTTTTAAACTGTCTGGATACATATCAGCCAGTAGTGTTTAATTCTCTGTTTTTATCATTATATGAGCCAGAACAGTTACCACGACAATACTGATACTTACTGAGGAATAATAGCAAAATTAACAACTGATGTCTCAAGCAGTTCTTGTAATTCTATCAAATCCTGAAATTACAAAGTAAAGTTTTTAAACATACTGCATCTTGTAATGAACATTATCCTTTCTGGTAATGTCTTAGTCTGGTAACTGTTTCTTTGAAAATAAATATAACTTATACTAATACACAAAAATCACATTCAGGACTCTACTACAAGTGAACTTGGTTTTTCCTTAGATAACCCGGTGATCTCAGAAAAATAATAACTTTTTTTTTTTATCTAAGACTTCTATTTCATTTCTTGCGATGAATTTTTTTTTCAAGGTAAATGTTTTATTTCTTTAAATTACTTTTTTCTATGATTTTACAAGGCATAACACTGTTTGCTTAATTAAGCATCAATTACCTGTGCTTCATTCTCTAAGACTGTGAGTTTCTTTGAGAATTTATCAATGATGACCCAGGCTTCGTCAATGTTACATTCTCTGTTATAAACGTCTGAGTTCTCCAGTTCCTTGGCTAATGTATTCACTCTGTATCCAAAGGCTTCAAGATCCTACAAGTTAAATAACATAGTTACAAATAAAATATTATCAAGCCTCTGACCAAAGGTTTAGCAGATTTACCTCTATTTTTTCAATACACAAGCATAAAATGAAGGGGTGTAGTTGATGAACCATCATAGCCAATGTAATACAAAACATCAAACTCAGTTTAGTGCCAGTAAAAATGTATTCATACATCATGATCATTAAAATTATTTTTAGCGTTTTTACTGAAGGTCATTGGAGAATCCCTTACATCTGATTCTAAGAATTGATACCTGTGTAATTCTGACAGACTCTTCCTGTATCCTGGGACCAAGTCTCTGTTTTGCCAGTGATACTTTGGTCTTCAGATTGTTCCATCGACCTGGTGCTGCAGTAAATAACTGCTGAGTTTTATCTGGTAACTTCTGTCCATATTTCTTTAGTAATTGTACTGTACGTCTCATCTCAGTAAACTTTCCATCCATCTCAGATTGTTGGGCTGATACCTATAATTATCATTATAAATGTTGTAAATTTGTGTAAAAGCAAACTATGATACTAAGTAGGGATTTAAAAATCTTCTGCTGTTATAACTGTAAAATTACATGCAATTTTTAAATTCAGGCATGGTTTCTCTCCAAAAATAACATTTGTGCATCAATGTTCCTTCCCTGGTCTTGCTAATGAAAATGATATCAAATTCTACTGGTTGGCTGATAGCTCACACAGAACATGAAAAGTCACTTACCTCATTGAACAATCTCATCATTTTCATGAAGGAGGCAGTATCTCGTTCTTCTCCAGTAATACTTTCTATTTCTGGTTCTGTTCTCTTCAAGAATCTATCGAGATTCTCCAACATGTTGGTTACCTTAAATCATAAAAGTTAATTTGTTAAAAACATACTTCTATATTTAGTTAATAACTCACTGTATATCTATATAAAAATAAGGAGATGTGGTGTGGTTGACAATGAAACAATTATCCATCTGAGTTCAATGACATGGATATAAGCAATTCATACTTTATTATTTTAAAACTTCACCTCAGATATTTTATAGTAATTTTTCCTCTGTTATCTTCAACCCTTTCATATGCTTAGCCTCTTTTTTTGGTGGTCAAAAGTAGATAGCAAAGAACTTTAAAGTTATGGAGGTTTACAAAATATTACCTGATCAGACAAATATTTGGTATATGTCCACATCCACTTAGAAGCGTAAGTGGTGAGTACTTGTTTGATGGGTTGTAAATCCACTCGTAACCATCCAACATTATGGTAGTCTTCTAAACTCTGTAACTCATCTCTTGCAGTCTGAAATACACATACATGTCTGACATTAACAATAGATCTGTCTTTGTAGAGCAATAGAAACAAGGGCACCTCAAAACAAGGGCTTCCAGTAGCAATGACACATAACTTGAACAGTTGGGTTTTTCCATTTGATATCAGGTAATCTTAACTTATGACCTAATATTAAAAAAGATTTATTTCATTTTCATGGAAAACTATTACATGAAGTTTGATAAAGATGGGAAGCAACATGCAACCTTTGCAGTGCCAAAAACATTTCCATAGCACAATCAGATATCCTTGATCTAAGACCCCTGACCTTGGTATGAAAAAAGGTTCCTGCCTAAGTAAGGAAATATCATTAATATACGGTACCATCAATTGTTTCTACAAAATATATTTGAAACATTGAATTTAACCAAATCCACATGAATATTAAATTAAGAAAAGTTCTAAATCCAGTAGTGAAACAGAACATTACCCTGTAGATGTTAATTTCAGCATCAAATTCATCCAATGCAGGAATTTCTGCCTTCTCCATCTCCTCACTGAAGTTCTTGGGTGTCAAGAAAGCTCTTCTTTCACTCATTCCTGCCATGGAGTTCAAACTACTGGCAACTGAAGATCTGAAAAATAGTAAAAGTTCTCAATATCCAAATCCATGAATTCACCAAATATATACATACATATAAAGCTTTCAATTCTTATAAATATGAATACATGTACATAGTTTATTTGATTAACACAACTTATTTCCCTTTTTGTCGTCATGATGGAGGTAAAATGTGTGCAAAATCTTTCATAAATCAGCTAAATTCTGACCTCTCTACTTTAATAAGGTTTTCTGAACAACTTTGACTTCATGAAGCCTTGCATAATTCATCGCTAAAATTTAGTAAGGATATTTTTTCACACCTGTTTGTACCACATGTTTCAATTTTGGTACGTCTAATAAGGAAATCAGCCAGTTACACCTCCAACATGGTGGCCAAGGGAAATAACTCTAACTCAAATAAGGACATATACAGAAATCTATAAAATAAACTTAATTTTCTCATTTTCAATTAAAAAGTATCTGAAAATATCATTTTGTTTCACAATCACTGTAGGTGCATTAAAACCAAAGTACATTTTAAAATCTTTTAAAAATAAATCACACTAAATCTCTTTTCAATACTGTAAATTTAGAAATTATTCTGAGGTTTTATTAATACAAATAATGCGATTAGATGAGTATCGCAATAATATGAACTCGCATTCATATATCCATGATATCCAACACATATATCTTAATGCAGATTTTACTGATATTGCAATAATTTATCTTTGTTTGTTAATTCTTCAAAAATCACAATAATAAATGAACGCAATAATTTCTGATTTTATAGCCCTTGAATTATAATTGTGTTTACCTTGACTCTGACCTCTCTGTTACTAGAGCTTTAACATTTCCACCAAAGTTTCTGTTTGGACTTCTTAATGGATTAGGTGACAACTTTCCTCTGAGGAATTCATCAAAGGTATAGTTTACATCTTGAAGCCATAAGAAGGAATAGTCTCCAAATATTTCTATCAATTTCTGAAAAAAAAAAAAAAAAAAAAAAAAATTATAATACTATCAAATTTTCATGTCATCTTCTTGCTACTGTACATGTGCTGATACAAAAGTATTTACCCTTTCATAATAACAAATGGGCCAATTTTTTTTTCAAATTGCAATTTAAATTCATCTTTTGAAATTGAACAAGTTTAAGGAAGTACATAACAACACATAACTTTGGGATTCAAAATCAAAGAACTACAATGGAATACTTCATCAATTGAAAGTTACAGTCCTCACTGGAAGAAAGAGTAGATTATATATGTTTCATACAGATCTCTGAAAAAATGAAATTGTTGCCAAATAAATAAATAAACATCCCTCCTCTTGATTTTTTTTTTTTAGATGGACTCACTAAGAATTTTAAGTATTACATATACTTACTTATTTCAAAGTAATGAAAGGACATTATTGTAAGGTTAAAGCTTACCTTGCACTCATCACTGTTTTCTTCTACAAGTCTGTTGATGTTATGCAGAAGTTGTTTGACCTCATCATCAGCAGAAATATAATCCTGGTATGTTCCCTGAATCAAAACACAAACATATGTAATTATAAATTACGAAATCAATTTGTCATATACTGTTAATTCAGAAATTATTGTCTGCATTTATTATTGCAATTTTTGGAGAATGAACAAAAGTGTTTAATTGTTGTGATTTTAGGAAGAGCTACATACAAATACATGTATCAGATATCAGAATGCAAGTTCTTATTACTGCATTACTCAAGGAGTTGCATAATTCATGTTAATAAAAACTTCACAATAATTTTTGAATCTACAGTAGTTACTTTTTTAATCAAAATGAGTGTTTAAAATTAAAATGCATATCAACTAACAATTTTTCATTTACAATTACTTCAAGCTTTTCATTAAAAGTAATATCAAGTTGTCTTTTTTTAAAAGCATCATTATATTTTACAAAACTTGTAGATGTAAAAACCTTGACACATCAATGGCATCTGCTAGGTAGAATCAATGAACAAATAAAAAGCTTAAACTAAGATTTAATATTACCTTTGGTCCTAACATTTTGACAAGTTTTCCCCTGGCTAGGTAACCATCTAACCATTGTTGTACCAGTTCTTGGACACTGATGACTGAGGTGGATTGGTCCAATGGAGGTCTGAATGCCACTCTATTGTCTATCAATTCCAATCTTATGGTCAATACAGGCATCAGTGTATCATCATCCTGTAATGTTATAAAACTAGGAAATCAATTATAATTTATTACAGCATCACTTTTTGGCTATTTGCTTTTAACTAAAATTTCTTCTTAATTTAGTGAATTACTTAATCTCTCACAATGAAAAAGATGAACTCCAGCAGGAAGGGGTTAAAATATATGTAGGTCTGCAGTAAGGCTTCCAAAACGGTCATATATTCCGGACATTTGTATAATGTCCGGTAAAAGTCTGGCTGGGCAAAGCATGAAACGGTCATCTTTTTAGTTTTCAAGGCTTTCTTAAGAGACAGTCATTTTAACATAATTCGCGATCTTTTTGACCCAACCTTATGCCTTTAACATCCACACATTTCCAGTCATAAAAGTGACATGATCATTAAGTACTATCAAAACAACCTCTACTTTAATACCTTCTCATTTTAATCAAGGCTAATTAGTTGTCGAACAGCTGAAATTTACCTGTTCAGGTGACAGGTAAACTATTTTGAACCGGACATTGATCGGTCTATTCAAAGTTATTTCCTTACATTTCAGCGGTTTGCATCTAATTAATTTAGTCAAAAAGAATTAAATTATCAGAAATACGTTTACAAATATGATTTGATGAAAAAATTAAAAAGGTGAAAATGAAAAATCGTCATAACCATGTTCTTTGAACCAGAGACATGTCTCTGTTTGAACTAGTACACGTGTGCGCGTGTGCGCATGTGCGCAGGTGTGAAATTTAATTATGCATCCTAATTTCTTCAAAAAATGCTTAAATTGTCATTATACCTTTATCTCATTTATTTCGAATATTTTCTTGAAGAAATAACGTAGAAAGAGCTACGTACACTCATTCATGCTTTGCAAACGTACACCGAATTTACGTTTCCGTCTCTGGTTCATGTTTTACCATTGTCAAGATAACATCCGGTATTAGATTTAAAAACGAAAGTAAAGTTTTTGACAACGTTATTTTGCACAAATAAAGAGTCTAAGGCAGATATAAGTACGCTGATGTTGCACACTTCGAATGATGCACTGCCAATCTAACAGTTTACGTCAGAACTTCGAATTTGAATCAAAGAAAGTTCAATATCGCTTTTTTTTTAATGTCAATCATTGGGATGGCCAACTCAGCAACTGATTACCATAATTGCCTTTTGTTTATTTAGTCTTAAGGGATTAAAATCGGGATAATATATAAAATGTCCGGCTGGCTAAAAATTATTTTGGAAGCCCTGGTCTGCAGTGTATGAGAATGAGAATGTATAATCTCCTTTCAAAATTTACCTCCAATGTCCTATGGACCTTTCATCTACCTTGAATTGTAAAAACAAACATTGCTATACTGCTGTAAACATGACAATTTTCATGAGTAGGTTATTGTTTTTGCAATCACATAAAATGTGGGAAAGGTTTTTAGAAATTTTTAAAAGCAAATTTATTGGTGATGCACCAATTCAACCCCCATGCAAAATAATTATTCAATGAAATTGTAAAAATGACAATCTGTAAAAATATGCAAGTTTACAGTTTTGCCTTTTGACAAGTTGTGATGTTCTCCTGACCTTTCTTTATAGAAGATTGACCTATAACAATTACAGTAGGAAATGTTGGAGCCTTCAATCAGTAGGCAACAATTTTACTTTCCTCAGATGTCTAAAAATTACAACTAAAATCATATATTCAATTTATTACTTTCAAAGTAAATTAAATTAAGGTTTAGGACATCACATTGTGAAAATCTATTAGTATTAGTATATTTAGAAAAGTGGGAACAATAATATCCACCTGAACAAGAAAATAGAATAGTCAAATAGAGTCAGCTATTTTTTATAATTTTTCAAAGATATGTTCAAGCAGTGTTAATTTACTGAAATTAATCTGATTAAAGAAATAGTTATTCAGAAAATCAACCTATGAAAACTTTCCAGAAGAAAAAAAATTTACTAAATTTTCATATTAGCCACACCATGTTCTATGTTGATATTTTATAACTAGCTGCAAAATTGTCCTATAATTGGGAACAAATACTAAATGTTCATTTCAATATCAAACCATGAATATAAGCAAAAATATGATATGGTTGTGAACTTGTCATTAAAAAGTGACAAGAAACTGATGTAAAAATTTACTGTACAAAGAAATATATTTCAATTTATATTTCCTTCAAGGAAAGAAGAACATAAGACTTTAATTGATCTAGAATTATTAATTCAAATATTTAACAAGAATATAAAATGATAAATCAAAGGCCAGCTTAATAAGTACAAGTTGTATATAAATAAGAAGCTGTGGTATGAGTGCCAACGAGACAACTCTCCATCCAAGTCACAATGTATAAAAAGTAAACAATTATAGGTCAAAGTACGGCCTTCAACACAGAGCCTTGGCTCACACCGAACACCAAGCTATAAAGAGCCCCAAAATGACTAGTGTAAAACCATTCAAACAGGAAAACCAACGGTCTAATCTATATAAAAAACGAGAAACACCTATGAACCACACAAACACACGACAACCACTGAACAACAGGCTCCTGACTTAGGACAGGTGCATAAAAATGCAGCGGGTTTAAACGTTTTAACAGGTGCCAACCTTCACCCTAACCTGAGACAGTAGTGTAACATTACAACATAAAAAGACACACTATAAAATATCAATTAAAATGACTAAACTTGATCAAAAAGACATTTAAACTAAAATAAGTAAACATACACTGAATAGTACATAAAGACTGACTAAAAGTTACTATATCAAATGATGTAAACCTTCCTTAAGAATTCATCCATCACCAAATCTAAATTGAACTAGACATAGTAAAGATATTAGGGCTATTCCAGAAAAAAATGTATGGAGGGGGGGGGGGGGGGGGGGGTTGGTGGATTGGAAGGCACTTTATATTAATAATACATATATAATATGTCTGGGTGGTGGGTGCTGACAAAAACTGCCTTCCAACCCCCCAAACCCCCATACATTTTTTTCTGGAATAGCCCTTATAATTTTTGTATGTGGTTGTTATCTGAACAATAAATTACTCACTGATTTTTCCTGTATATAAAAACACAAATAAAAGTAAAATACCTATTCAGTCGAAATCATAGGTACAACTTAACTTTAAAGATACATTACAAAACATATCCTTTAAAGATTAGAAAAAACCTCTGACTAGTCCAACAACATCAAGTCATAAAAATGAGCAATTTCTTCTAAAAGACTTAATTATATCAGATGAATTGTGTGTAATATGAGAATTAGGATAAACAAACCTCAGCCATATTAGCTTGCACCAGATTATTCAACATAGATTTAAGGCTGGTCAATGTTGCTTGTTTCAATCCGTCTAGTACAATGGCATCTATATAGTCAATGTAGTCCTGCCATGCTGGTGAGGCCTGACTTATCTGTACAGCCTCAAATGACATCTGGACCAGTGAATGTATCCTATATCCTGATGGTACTACTATACCTTCATGTTCTTCTGTTAACATCCTAAAAATTTAAAAAAAAAGTCATTTTGTCTTTCTGTTATGTAAGGCTTCAACTATTTGTATCTATCCTGCCTCAAATGAATTATATACCTATGTATGTAAATTGTAACTTAAAGGAATCACTTAAACATTCTTGCTCTTCAATAAACCACATTGAGATTAAAGAAAAGAAAGAATTTGCCTAGAAATTTAGCAATCAAAACTGGTTTGGGGGAGGGTTGGCACCCTGGTTGTTTTTTTTTCCTTGAAACTCCAATTATAATTGCAAACAAGAATGTGTCCATAGTATATGGATGCCCCACTCACACTATCATTTTCTATGTTCAGTGGACCGTGAATCTGGGGTCAAAACTCTAATTTGGCATTAAAATTAGAAAGATCATATCATAGGAAACATGTGTACTAAGTTTCAAGTTGATTGGAATTCAACTTCATCAAAAACTACCTTGACCAAAAACTTTAACCTGAAGCGGGACAGACAGACCAACGAACGGACGGACAAATGACCAGACGCAGAGACCTAAAAACATAATGCCCCTCTACTATCGTAGGTGGGGCATAAAAATTACCTGTGCAAAGCTTTATAATGTGTGTTAATAAATATCTGCATATTTTTTGTTTTGGTTTATTGGTATATCTTTTTCAACTTTTAGGTCACTCATATTTTCTTTTTACCACACTTCTAATTGAAACCTACTTTTGCATAGAAAGTAACTCCTCCATGGAATAAGATGTATCTTTGGCCCTGCCAGCAAACACATCTAACATTCCTGTAGACCAAGAGATAGTGATCTCTGCTATCTCATGACAGTTTGTCTGTACCATGTCAAGGTTCTGGAATACATCCATACAAACTAAAGCCATAGCTTGTTCTATAAAGTCACCTGATTCCTTCATCTTCCACGTAAACTGCTGTAATCCTGATTCAAATAACTGAAATAAATTTACACATATATCTAATGTTAGACATATTGAAGATAAAAAATGCTAAGTATAGGATCAAGAAAAATATGTATAAGTAGACAAAATAAAACCTATAATATTTGAAGCTCTACTTGTGCCATAAATTTCTTTTTATGCATAAGATTATTTTGGGAAATTAAAGCATAGCAATTATTTATTGATGCTATTAGTATTGGAATGTAAACCTAGAACTGGACATTTCCAATAGGCAAGCTTAGCTGTTATGTAGTTAATTCCAAAGTAATTATGTCCATAGACGCAGCATGTTGGAACTGATATCAATGTTCAGAAACATACAATAATGTAGAAATTTCAACTACCGGTACATCCTGCACCCTGTAAATACTGTTTACTGATATTTATATTTTAGCATTGCACAAGGATGTGCATTTCTCAAATTGTTCTTTACACTAAATCTGTTGAATGTGAATCCATTGATACTTTTGTCTGAGAGAACATGATTTATTTATTAGTTGCAATTGGATTTGAGCTAGCTTTTTGTAACTGTGAGTACTTTCAAATTTGTGCTTTGTGTCTGTTGTTTTTATGTTAGTTGTTCTTTATGCTTCGTACTAATCAATTGAGTTAAGCTATTTGCAACTAATTCTCACAGTTGGTTCCTATGTTGTACTGTTACACCACTGTACAAAGGTTAGAGGGATGGTTGAGAGCTCACAAACATGTTTAATCCTTTCCCAAGTCAAGAGCCTATAATTCAGTGGTTGTTGTTGGTTCATGTCTGTCATATTTGTTTTTCTTTAATTGTATTGTTATTAATTAGGCCGTTGGTTATCTTGTTTGAATTATTTCATATTTTTTATGTTGGGAACTTTATAGCCGACTATACGATATGGGTTATCTCATTGTTGAAGGCCATACAGAGACCTATAATCAATTACATCCAAGTCATCTGAACTCTGTTCAATAGTTTTCTCATTGGCAATCATATCACATCTATTCATAAAAAATCTCATTCATCCTAAAGACCTCTCAAATAGTTTACATAAGTAAATTAATGCCAGTATAAAGCAAAAACAAATTGCAATGGGTGATCACTGTATATTGTTAGAAAGACTTACTAAATCAATTTTCAGAAGTTTCCTCTCAAACAATGGTTTCTCAAATTCTGTAATTGTTCTCATTATGGTATTGTACTTAGATACAATTGTCTCTAATCTGGTTGCAGTAACTCTCAGTTCAAATGAATCAGTGTTCCTAAGAATCTCTTTAGCTGAGGAAGGCAATGATATATCAAATGGTGCTTGACTGAGGTAGTGAATTTCACGTAGTATCAGCGGTAACTGTGAATCCAGATTGACGTGGATCACTTGAGGTCTCACTTCTACCTCCTCGTCAAACTCTTCAGCAATCTGAAATAAAGACGCATGTAAAACTTTCAATAGCAGCTATTTCTTCTCTTTTAATTTCGGAATAAAGGAAGAATGTGTCCATGCTTGTATTCTGCGTCTTTTATAGCTGACTATGCGGTATGGGCTTTGCTCATTATTGAAGGCTGTATGGTGACCTATAGTTGTTAATTTCTGTGTCATTTGGTATATTGTGGAGAGTTGTCTCATTGGCAATCATACCACATCTTCTTTTTATATTGTAAATATGCAAGAGTTAATGAACTAATTCAAACCTATTTCTTTTTTGCTTTCTTTGAAACTTAATAACATTTGTTTCTGTATGATGTCATTAGTGATTGCTTGGGGTTTGAGTGCTCTAATTATTCAATAACAAACAGTAATGGAGGGAAAGTAAAGTAAGAGTGCGGCAACAGCAAATTTTTCCACTATAAAGGGACATAACTTGAGAACAGTGAAAGTGATGCCACCCAATTCGATCTTGATCTCTATTTGTTGGTAATAGGCATTGTGTAAAAGTTTCATAACATTTGATTGAGACAAAGTAGAGTTGGAGTGCAGAAAGGACAAAATCTAAAAATTTTCCATTTATAAAGGGACATAACTCACCAGTAAGGCTTGTTTTAGTTTCATGGTAAGTTCTGCTGTTATGTTACTCTGCCATTCTGCTATGATCTGTGTTTGGTAGTTCTCTAACATCTTCATACAATTATTATAACTATGTCTCATCTGCCACCCGTTTTCGCCTTCCATGGAATGAGGACTCACTTGACGAATCTTATCCATTGGTCTCTGTAAAATTATTATACAGGTATAATATAGAAAGTTAGTTCTTGTATTGTTTGTATTAGGATTGCAGATGGAAAATTTGGAAATTTACATATACCTCAATATTCTTTGTTATTGAAATTTTTGAGGAAGGTTATACAGATTTTGTATACTCATTTAATATGTAAATGATCGTTAATTTGCTGGTTTAGACATACACCTGTTTCGTGATATTTGAAGTAGAGACAGTGAAAACAACAATGACTTATACATTCAATTAATTCTGCCTGCTTAATGTCTTCAAAATGGAATGTGACTGCTTCTATAGGTGTAAAATAATTATAGGGATATGGTATATTTGTTGTTAGTAAGAATAGTACTGTGGATTCATTATTATTCATGGGATACCAATTTTCGTTGATGTCCATTTTTTGTTGATTTCATAGGTACAAGTGAACCACAAATTCAAATATACACAATTTACAAATTTTCTATAGGCTTGAATGCAGACTTTTGCAAAACCATGAAATCAAATATCAACCAAAATACAAGTTTTCCTCAATCCACGAAAATTGGTAACCACGAAAATAAATGAATCCACAGTATGCAGAATAAAATTTACCCTCCTCCTCTATGAAATGGTAATATATAACTAAAGCATAATACAAGCAGATAATCCCCGATACAATTTCATTCTGGAGTAACTTCCCTTTCTATTTTACAAGAGTTGTCTCTCTTAGGAGAAGGTATTCTTTATAAATCTTTTGTGGGGAAATATACATTTTAATAAATGTGCAAATAATTTATTTCCTACTTATAGAAAAGAAATGTTAAAATAGACATGGATTTATTAAATTTTACTTCTGTTAATGAACAGGTTTGGGTCTTGAATACATATTTAAAAGTGGAAAAAATGAGGATTAGCAAGAATACCTGTCAAAATTGGAGACAACTTTTGTAAAGCATTTGACATGAAGAGATCCATATAATAAATATAGTTATGCTATGGCTACCTGTAAAAAAAATCCATTAAAACTGTCAACCCCTATAGTAATATTGCATTTTTTTTCTTTCTTTTTTTTTTAAATGTATTTCGGATAACTGTATTTTATTTATTACACTCAGTCAGTCAAAGTTATTTTAATGTATAAAATACCTAAGTGTAATAACCTAAGTTAAAACTAAGAGAACCTTGAACAAATTACACTCAACAATAAAAGATAAAAACATAAAATTTAAGCCCAATATATTAATCTATAAGGTCTTTGTCAAAATATACTATAAAATTGTGAACAGGGAGTAAAATAAAAACATTTCAAGAATAAATATGATCAGACTAACAAAGTCCCGATAACAGACAAACAGAGTAAAAAACACATGACGATTTAGAAAGTTTGATAATATGCCTAACACTGTTGACTTCCATAATTTTTTCCAGTATAATATTTTTAAGCAAAGTCCATATTCCATAATATATAAACTAGAAGCAACACATGCAATAATTATCAATATTTGACTATTTCCTGCATATTTTAATACCCTATCTACTTTTCCTTTCCCAAAAGAGGAAAAACATACTTGGTCCACTTTCTCCATTGTATTCTGTTAATTACACATCAAATAGCTATATATGGTTAAATCCATTGTATTCTGTTAATTACATATCAAATAGCTATACATCGATAAACTGTCGTATTGTTATGTGCAGCATTGTTAACTGATCATTTTTTTTATGATAATTATTTGGAGTTAAACCTAAAACAAAAACATGTCTCAAAATAACTAATAGCTGGTTTGTAGATATAATCAGGATGTTACAAGAGCTATCTAAATAAAAGAACAGAGTTCCAATGTCCCCCCGAGTTGCATATATTTTGTCTATCCAAGGGCAATAACTAAAAAAAAATAATTTTTTTTGTTCTTTTAAACTTTTTACAATATCTTGGAGAAATGGAGGCTTGAGAGCAAATACAATGCAATTTTCAATATAGTTAATATTTTCAAGGGGCATAACTCTTTTTAAACATATTTGATCAGCACTGATTTTTGAACTTGTCCAAAACATTGCTAATATAAATTTGATAAAAATCTGGCAAAAATTGTACACATGAGAGCGCTTAAAATGCAATTATCCATATAATTAATATTTCCAAGGAGCAAAACTCTTTTTAAAATATTTGATTGACACTAATTTTCGAACTTGTCCGAGACATTGCTGATATAAATTTGATAAAAATCTGCCAAGAATTGTACACATGAGAGCGCTAACAATCTAGCATGAAAAAGGTACATATTTAGTATTTAAGTTTACAGAACAAAAAGAAAAAAACTTCGTCCTGGGGAAAACAGTCATGCATTCAAAAATAAATGTTTGAATGGTCAATACAACATTCTAATTATTTCTTTGGTTGCTTAAATTAGATGGAATACATCAAAAAAATTTTGTCCATATATGTTGGCCTACTTAAGTTCATATTGGACTACTTATCTTTCAACACAAAACAGCTCAGTTGGTCTTATAGAGAAAAATTTTTTTTTTTTGCTGGCAATAAAGTTTTTCTATAATGGATGAAAACTGGAAGGAAAATTTGCGTTTACAAACTATATACTGTATATAAGTTATTTTCTAAGTTACAAAGAGTCAAAATTGTTGTAAATATGAAACAATCAAAACGAATGCACAATTTAATATAAAAACTAGAGGCTCTAAAGAGCCTGTGTTGCTCACCTTGGTCTATGTGCATATTAAACAAAGGACACAGATGGATTCATGACAAAATTGTGTTTTGGTGATTGTGATGTGTTTGTAGATCTTACTTTACTGAACATTCTTGCTGCTTACAATTATCTCTATCTATAATGAACTTGGCCCAGTAGTTACATTGGAAAATATTTTGTAAAAATTTACAAAAATTTACAAAATTTATGAAAATTGTAAAAAATTGACTATAAAGGGCAATAACTCCTTAAGGGGTCAATTGATAATTTTGGTCATGCAGACTTATTTGTAGATCTTACTTTGCTGTACATTATTGCTGTTTACAGTTTATCTCTATCTATAATAATATTCAAGATAATAACCAAAAGCTGCAAAATTTTCTTAAAATTACCAATTCAGGGGCAGCAACCCAACAAAGTGTTGCCTGATTGGTCTGAAAATTTCAGGCCAGATAGATCTTGACCTAATGAACAATTTTATACCATCAGATTTCCTCTAAAGGCTTTGGTTTCACAGATATGAGCCAAAAACTGCCTTTTTCCCTATGTACTATTTTTTAGCCATGTCGGCCATCTTGTTTCGTGGGCGGGGTCATCGGACATATTTTTTAAACTAGATACCCTAATGATGATTGTGGACAAGTTTGGTTAAATTTGTCTTAGTAGTTTCAGAGGAGAAGATTTTTGTAAAAGATTACAAAAATTTACGAAAAATGGTTAAAAATTGACTATAAAGGGCAATAACTCCTTAAGGGGTCAACTGACCATTTTGGTCAAGTTGACTTATTTGTAGATCTTACTTTGCTGAACATTATTGCTGTTTACAGTTTATCTCTATCTAAAATAATATTCAAGATAATAACCAAAAACGGCAAAATTTCCTTAAAATTACCAATTTGGGGCAGCAACCCAACAACGGGCTGTCAGATTCATCTGAAAATTTCAGGGCAGATAGATCTTGAACTGATAAACAATTTTACCCCGTCAGATTTGCTCTAAATGCTTTGGTTTCAGAGATACAAGCCAAAATCTACATTTTACCCCTTTGTTCTATTTTTAGCCATGGTGGCCATCTTGGTTGGTTGGCCGGGTCACCGGACACATTTTAAACTAGATACCCCAATGATGATTGTGGCCAAGTTTGGTTTAATTTGGCCAAGTAGTTTCAGAGGAGAAGATTTTTTTGTAAAAGTTAACGATGACGGACGAAGACGGACGACGACGACGGACGCCAAGTGATGAGAAAAGCTCACTTGGCCCTTTGGGCCAGGTGAGCTTAAAAGGAGATGTGGTATGATTGCCAATGATACAACGATCCACCAAAGTTCAAATGAAGTGGATGTAAGCAAATGTTAAGCATTTATTTTATTCCAATGCAAAGTGTACTGTAAGAGATTTCATATAAATATTTTTTTGTGACAGGTAGACTTATTCTTAGAAATGGGGAGGAAGTCATAAAGATCAAATTATCGGGCCAAATTATAGAGTGATATAATGCAGGTTAATAATTAACAAAAAAGTATACAACAACTTTTAGATATGATTCAAACAGGAATAAAATAAATACATATTTTTTTTTTAATGACATACTTTAATTCTGTCAATAAGGGCGGTAACCCATAGGACTTTACTGACAATTGGTGGCATGTTCAAATGTCTCGGAGGATTATGTTGATTAGCCTCAAACATATTCTGAACAGTTTGTAATTCCTCTGTAAATACAGTTACTATTTGTTCATCTTTGTCTTTCAAATGTGCCTGAAAACAAAATTCAAAATTCAAATAAGATAAACCCATATTTAAAATGTTATTACATTATTTTAAAGTTTTCATAATAACATTGAAATTTTTGTTAATTTTTCTTTTATAAGAAGAATGTCAAATTTAACAACTTTTAGAAGCAACAGTATACCCTAATATATTATTTTTCTTGCAACCAGTCATCATACTAAATAAATATAGCTGTTGTACAAATAAACTTTTGCGATATTTGTACAATATACAAATATCATCTCCTGGTATCCCGCTTCTAATTTGAGCAAATGTTAATAATTTAAACTCCAGTTGAGGTGAAGTAAATTTTGGTGACATGTCCTCTCTCAATATAAACTCAACAGATCCATATATAACATATTGACCTTGTCAAAAGTCCATAATAGATAAATATCCAATTATCACTCGTTATGAAACTTATAAATATATATGGTATAGTCAAACAACATCATGAGGGCAGCTGGTATTTTTACATAAATACCTGTACAAGTTCCCTGCCACTGATTCCTTCAAACACTTCCAGTAACCTTAATTGGGCCTCAACTGTTGGACATTGGTTAAACGAGATCCTTAATATCTGTGCCAGTTTTCCTTCTAATGTCTGAAACACACAAGTATTCAATAAAACTTTTATAAAATGTTATAAAAATGTATACTGATCATTTTAAATGGGATTGTAATTGTTTCATAAAATAAGAGTCTTAAAATACAGTTACTGGACTGATACAGCTCAGTTATAATATTTTGCTATTAATTTTGGCACATTTTACAGTAAGTGAAAAAAGAAACTATCTTAAGATAAGTATTTTTGCAGATATGGTTCATTTAAGTTTTGTAGGGAATGTCTACACATGATGTTTGTTTGAAGACAAAAATATGAACTGCTTTCTTTGAATGATTCAATATTAATGATAATACTGTGGATTCATTATTATCTGTTGGATACCAATTTTGTTGAATTTGGTAGGTACGGGTTTACCACTAATGTAAATGTTCAACAAAGTACAAACTTTCTATAGGGTTGTATGTAGACTTTGGTAAAACCATTAAATCAAATACAATTTTTCATAAATCAAGGAAAATAAATAAGGGCTATTCCATTAAAATGTCTGTGGGAGGGTAGGAAGGGACTTTCAAAATATCCCTACAACCAAGAACCATTTTTAGATAATTTTGCATAATGGTAATAGACGCATACTGAAAAAAGACCCATGACCCACATTCAATAATTAAACTTCCCTTCCTACCCTCCCACATACATTTTAATGGAATAGCCCTAATTCACAGTTGCCGTTTTTCTTAGTATCATTCTCTGAACTAAAGGCAACCTGGATTTTTTTCAAAATGCAAAGTATTAAAACTCCCCAAATCATCCAAGAAGAATGGTACATACCTTTACTACAGTTCTAAATTTAAAGAATGCTCGTTCAAAGTTCTGAGATCCATCAATACTAAGTACATTTTCTACGACGGAGAAGAAATCTTTCATCACTTGACTATATTTCAGATGAATTTCCTTCACTAAAGCATCTAAACTCATACTACCAGCGCCACCTATCTCAGCGGCATCTGCTAACAACCTGAAGTGACGAGTTGTCTCTACTAGCTCTAATACATCATTGCATCTGAAATTGAATATAAATAAAGGGCTTTAACTCTTGAATGGTCAACTTTAAATCAACAAAAACAAAAATTTTTGTGTCACTGTATCAAAATTTCAAAAGATTTGGTTTGGTCAAGAGAAACTTTGTCACCTGGGAGCTAAACATGTACGTGACAGACATAAGAACAGGCATACAGATAAAAATTTATCGGCAACACCTTTGGCCAAGGTTATCATATATATAATGTTATAGTATTAATATGGAATAAATATGTATCACAGCAATATTTAAGCTAATCACAACATGCTTATTAGTTTCTGGTCAATTAAATCCTAGTAGAAATGGTTAACTGTTTTGTCCTTTTTATATCTCCATAGAAACAGATATAGATTTTGCAAAAATTGTACAAATTTCATTTCAAAACATGTGAATTATGAATAAATATAGGCAGATGATAGGGCAAAAATCAATGCTTAAGCAACCATTCAACAATATAAACCAATTATCAAACAAACCTACTATAATTTTATTTGTCTGGATTTGGCTATACTTATGTCCTTTTTTGATCATATCTTCAATGTTTGTATAAGTCTTGTTTTTCAAATATTTTGGCCTCGAGCATCACTGAAGAGACATTTATTGTCAAAATGCACATCTAGTGCAGTAAAATTAGTACAGTCAATGTTATTACTTGGTATTGAATTAAAAAAAGACAATAACAGAGATATTTTTACCTTTCCATAAAACTATTTAGAAGGTCAAAACAAGGAGCATTTCTTGGTGGCCAAGGGCTGTCAGTCCATAATTCATCCTCATTCAGTGTTGAAGTACTCCCAGTATCTCCTGTTCTCAAACCATACCGTGGGGTGTAGGCATGAGGACCATACATCTTTGTCAAAAACAATGTTCCTTGAGGCTTTGATGCCCTATTTAACATAAAACAAATAAGTTACTCAATCTACTTATAGCTGCCTATGGCAAACACAATTAAATTCAATAATAACAATATTTTTCTTTCTTTTTGGGATGAAATATGTGTAAACAAGGGCAAAGTATTCTTACAATGTCTATATTCCTTTTTTCAGGCTCTTTATTTAAACCTGTATATTGATATTTCTTTATTCAAAAAATTATTTAAACAGTGAATTCAATGTTTTTCTGCATTAGCGAGGTTAACCCAAAAAAGCAACATCTTACAATCTTTCAGCATTTTCTACAATGTTTTGGTGGTTTTGTTCATCAGCTTTGTCTTTGAAATCCAAGTAGGTTCCACGGAATGCTGCACATACTCTTAAAGCTTCCTTCAACTTGGAATAGGACTAAAATAAATAACATAGATAAATTATAGTTATCACAATTATCATATACATACTCTTAATGCTTCCTTCAACTTGGAATAGGACTAAAATAAATAACATAGATAAATCATAGTAATCACAATTATCATATACATACTCTTTATAATTTCCTTCAACTTTGAATATGATTAAAATAAATATAATAGATAAATTGGTTGTGTAAATTTCCACACCATACAACACAATTTAATAAATTCAACAGAGTTAGTCTTTTAAAATGAATATGGGAGGGTAAGACTAAGGAGGGGAAATTTTATTTTTGGACATCATTGGTTCAGGATTCTTTAGAGATGTATGTTCATTAAACATATGCAAATCACTCAAAGCATGTTTGTTGTTGCTTACTGCTACATCATTTGGTCTCTGGTGGAAAGTTTTCTCATTGGCAATCATACCACATCTACTTATTTTATATGTTCTTGGTGAAGGTATAAATATCTTATTGAACAACGATTCATGATAGTGACAGAGTTTCAATTTGACATTCAATAATATATGATAATCTACCTGTAATGGTTCTCTCAGTATATTTTCTCCCACTAATGATATAGCTCTGTGTACCACTTCATTGGATAACAGTCTCAATAAGTTGTGAAATTTATCCATCTGATGATAATATCTGCAGATAAATAATCATAAATGTAAAGTTGGTTAAAACTTTTTATTTATTGTTATTGCTGTAAGCATATATTAAGCTTTATAAAATAGCATCATAAACCCAATAAACGGAAAATTAAGTCAAGTTTTTTTTAAATCAAACAAATGCAGATAAATCTATCACATCTCCTAAAAATACAAATAAAAAATTGCATCCTACCTAGCTGTAGTCCTATGTGAAAATATTTTAAAAGACGAAAAATGACTATTAACTTTATATTTCTGTTTTCTACTTGTCAATGACAAGGATGAAAATTTTGACCTGTTACTCCTCTACATTTGAGTAAAGAATGTATAGTTCATGGATGGATACCCCATATCCTTTGCTATAGTTCAATAGTTAGTTCCTATTCCCTGCAAATGATAACTAAAGAGTCTGAAAAGTTGTGTGTTGTTTAAATGTTTTCGGACTGTTATCAAGATTCTGAAATTCTGCTATTCAAAGGGAATCATGAAGAATAAAGATTACTTACACTGAATGTTGCCATACAAGGAATAAAACTTGCATCATGGGTTTGAACAGTTCCAGCATGTGTTTAGGATCCATGGTGTCATGGAAGTCTTCAAATAACCACCTCATGGTTGTAAGAAATTTCAGGGTTCTATTGGTTTCTTGTACTGCCTAAATATTAACAAGAAATGATTGTAACAGGATGCTGTTACGAAGTCTCCCAAACGAAGCTCCCATAATTCGTAATTCCCAGGGTCGCCTGACATTGGGCAACGTCCAGTGAAAATTGGTTTGGTCCAGTCAAGTTATATGCATTAGTGATGCCTGGGGACTAACCTTGTATATCATTCAAATCATCTTGGCATGACAAACCAGAATATATATGGTTTAGGGGTGGGGATCTCGACCATTTACAAGATACTAGAACATTGGGGGTGGGGAGGAACCCCTGGGGACTGGCCCTATACGTCATTCAAATGTTCATTACATGACGAACAGGAATATATATGGTTTAGGGGTGGGGATCTCAACCATTTACAAGATATTAGAACATTGGGGGTGGGGGAACCCCTGGGGACTGACCATATACGTCATTCAAATGTTCAACACATGACAAATAGGAATATATATGGTTTAGAGGTGGGGATCTCGACCATTTACAAGATATTAGAACTTTCTCAAATGGCAGGGGGTCCGGATGACCCCTGGGGACTAACCCTGTATATCATTCAAACCATCTTAGCATGACAAACCAGAATATATATGGTTTAAGGGTGGGGATCTTGACCACTTACAAGATATTAGAACTTTCTAAAATGGCAGGGGGTCGGGATGACCCCTGGGGACTAACCCTGTATATCATTCAAACCATCTTAGCATGACAAACCAGAATATATATGGTTTAGGGGTGGGGATCTTGACCACTTACAAGATATTAGAACTTTCTTAAATGGCAGGGGGTGGGGGTGACTCCTGGGGACTAACCCTGTATTTCATTTGATGTGCTTTATCATGACAAACCAGAATATATATGGTTTAGGGGTGGGGATCTCGACCATTTACAAGATGTTAGAACTTTCTCAAATGGCAGGGGGTCGGGATGACCCCTGGGGACTAACCCTGTATATCATTCAAACCATCTTAGCATGACAAACCAGAATATATATGGTTTAGGGGTGGGGATCTTGACCACTTACAAAATGGCAGGGGGTGGGGGGTGACCCATGGGGACTAACCCTGTATTTCATTTGATGTGCTTTATCATGACAAACCAGAATATATATGGTTTAGGGGTGGGGATCTCGACCATTTACAAGATATTAGAACTTTCTAAAATGGCAGGGGGTCGGGATGACCCCTGGGGACTAACCCTGTATATCATTCAAACCATCTTAGCATGACAAACCAGAATATATATGGTTTAGGGGTGGGGATCTTGACCACTTACAAGATATTAGAACTTTCTTAAATGGCAGGGGGTGGGGGTGACTCCTGGGGACTAACCCTGTATTTCATTTGATGTGCTTTATCATGACAAACCAGAATATATATGGTTTAGGGGTGGGGATCTCGGCCATTTACAAGATATTAGAACTTTCTCAAATGGCAGGGGGTCGGGATGACCCCTGGGGACTAACCCTGTATATCATTCAAACCATCTTAGCATGACAAACCAGAATATATATGGTTTAGGGGTGGGGATCTTGACCACTTACAAGGTATTAGAACTTTCTTAAATGGCAGGGGGTGGGGGTGACCCCTGGGGACTAACCTTGTATTTCATTTAATGGGCTTTATCATTTAGATCATTTTCAATTAAAAAGATTGTGTCTATCACAAACGGTTTTCAATTTATAATCATTTGAAAATTTTAAAAAATAAAATCCCATAGGGTTCTATAGTAAAACCCTCTTTTCTTTTTGCCCCTCAAAGTACCCTTTTATTAACCCCATTGCACAAACAAAACCCTGATTGCACCACTAGACATGTTAGTCTAACATATTCTGAAACCCTAAGTTAATCTGACAAGCGGTTTTGGAGAACGGGTGCGGACAAGTTCAAATTTAAAAGCGGCGGAAGAAGAAGAAGAAGAAGAAGAAGAAGAAGAATAATAATAATAATAAGAACTGAGCAAAAACAATAAGTCTTCCCAAACTTCGTTTGGGAGACTTAATTAACAAATAGAACTTGAAATTACTAGTGTTTAAAAGAAGGATTTAAGTATATATTGAATACATAATTATAGATTCTGTTACACGTTAACATTTTTCTTAGACAATACACTTTTTAAAGATGACTAATTGATAGCTGTCATCACACATGGACTATTTTGTGTAGAAACTTACTCAAAATGAAGCATTGGTACTTTCTATAATGAAAAGAATTGTCACACTAATACTCAAACTATAAAGAATTAGAATATGAGTCTCCTATTGCTAGAAGCTGATTTGTGTAATTTGAGAATTTAGAATTTGAGATAATTCACTACCAACTTGACATTTGTAAATTTAATTGAATTAAAGATACATGTAAACCATTTAACAATGTTTGGTCCACAGTGAAATCTATGAAATAGTTACTTAACAAATAATAGCAACTTCTATTATGCTGATATTCAGATGGTCAAATTTGTAACCATCTTGGATAGCTAAAGGTTATTTTCTTTACTGGTGTTAGGGTAAAGAAAACAGATTGTAATAGTTGAATACCAAAGATGATCTACAAAATGAAATCCTTATAATGTGGCTAATAAACTTGTATAATTTATTGATTCTTCTCCTACCTTGTTCACGTCTCTTCTGACATGGTTGAACGAACTTGAGTACTGGCTCTGTGCTGAGTCTAAGTTCTGTAGAATATCTTTAGCTACTGGTGATTCTAACTGTTTAAGAATGGAATGTAGTCTTCCTAACTGACGTTCCCACATTTTAATCTCATCTAAAGGTCCTGGCTCTGGTCCAAAGTGGCCAAACAAGTCAGTGACTGGATCATGACGTAGTACACCCTAAATAAAATAAACTGTAAATCTTAATTACTGTTCAGAATTATTCGAGAAAAAATCACTTCAAAAATATGAGTAATGATTTTCTTAAGGATTATCAAATTTTTTATAATGGGCCTGTTCTCAACTATTTCAATGACCTTGGTGGTTTCATGGTAACCATGCTAGCCTCAAGTTCAATTGGTTGTAGGTTTGATCCCTGGCTAGGTCAAATCAAAGACTTTAAAGCTGGTATTTGCCACTTCTTGGTCAAACGTGTGGTTTTTCAGAGTAACAGCACAGACTAGTCAGTTCATACTTAAGAGTGATCATCCTGAATACACATTTTATATTTGTCCTTAGGGTGTTAAGCAGCCATCAATCAATCCATCAATCAATTAAATAATATTAGAGACAAACAACAGTTTAAAAACTTTGAGAGCATCAGGAAAATTCTCCCTCTAGAAGCCAAATGGAAGAAATAAGCAACGATACAGGAAATATTTTAGCCCCATCCGCCTCTTAATTATAAGGCACTGATTATCTAGTGTTATAAAAACTCTTTTGAGAGAACTGTAGGATGACTTTTATTTTAAAATCTTTTTTAATCTTTATATTAGTCCCATTGTATCACTTTTATCTTGTGTATGATCAGGCAGAATTGTCAAAAGTGAGTTTTTTATATATCTTCAATCAAATCAGTTGATATACCCTCAAGTGTTGTAATTGCATTTATCTGGCAACAGATGGACTTACCAGACCAGCCAGCTTTGTCTTATTACCTTAATCTGTTTAATCCAAGCTAACACAGTGGTTTCTAGGACATGTAATACAGCACCTCTCCTGTTTACAGCTGCTGCAGCTTCAGCTAGTACCTCTATAGATGGTAAACTTAGTATTATCCTTCCCTTAAAAAATAAAACACTTCTTTAAAAATAATTAACATTTTGTAACTAAGAATAAATGTTTTATAAAATGTCCAGCAATCCCATTCAAAATGACAAAAAAACATATTTTTTTCTTAATTCTTGTCATAGAATTCCAAGTCAGATCTCATGGAAACATAATTTAAAATTCCCCCAAAACTGAGGGTTCTTCTTCCCCCAAAATACCCAGGCAAAACCATGCAAATTAGAATTTTCATTACCCATTAGTTGTGAACTTTAACATAAACAAGAATATATTTAAGATTCAAAAAATTTATTTAAGCATATTTAAAAAGTTGGAATCATCTTTTTACAATTTCTGAAAATGTTGTGCTTTATTTTTTATCATGTGACAATCCATTTTATATATATATGCAAATTTGAAGAGGTTCTGAGTTTATGACAGAATATTTTCACTGACCTCTGCATGTCCTTGTGAGACTTCCACAACTGACATCAAACGATGTAAGACATCCATAACTTTATCTCCTCCTGTAGTGGTAAGATTTTGTTGATTGGTGCACAACAAAGGGAGATAAACCTCTCTAATAATTAGCTCCAAATGTTCTAATGGAATGTTTGTACAGTCCAAATAAAACACTTCCTTCCCTGAAAGATAAAATGTGTGTTTTCCATAATTTTACATGAAAGTTTTTTTTCATTTTTACTTAAAAATTGACACATACAAGAGCAATCAATCACAAATCAACTGCAATATTGTCAAACTCCTAACTTATTTTCAAGTAGAGTTAATGATTGAGATAAGTTGAAGCTTCAAACCAATTTTAACTGCCTTGTTTGGTTTTGTAGAGTGCATGTAATATACCCCTAAAAAACAACTTTTAATTAATCTTACATCATCAATAGCCAATAATCAAACAATTGATGTTGTTTTATTATTTCCTCAGGCTAGAAGGGAGTTTCAAATGTACCTTTTTCTCAAAGGTTTATAATTCAACAGACATTGTCGTACTTACCAATATTTTCTTTGGTCAATTTTGTACCAGCATTACATTTTAAGAAGAATATTGACTTGTATTTCATCTCATGTGGTGGTATAAGTGAGGCTACAATCTGTTTGGGGGGTCTATTGAACACATACAAACATCTTACATCCTCATTGTTGATAAATTCATAAAAGGCTAGTCTGCAAAAGAAAAAAACAATATCAAAGATATCACGAGTTTTAATTTCGATCAAAGCAGGCATCTATAACTATATTTAAAGAATTACTTAAACACTAGTTTCTTTGATAAATAAGTTGACATTAAATTATCATCAAAGAGAAGTTAAATGCTTACAAGATATGTAAGCAACCAATTGAGATCCAAATATTCACCCCAAACCTTGTTTTCTGAGTTAAAATATCAAATTTGCTAAAACTCAGAAATAATAGCATTATTATCCTTTACAGTATATTCTGTATAAAGGTTTCGAAGACAGACCAAAAGGAATGAGAATAAACAATATATAACAATATACCTGTTCTCGTCATTGAGGAACATATTTTTGAGGTCTTCATTCCGTGGACGAAGCGAGGAATTAATCCTCACTTCTAACCATTTCAGTCTTTCATCCATTTTTAAGTCTGCAATAAAAAAAAAGCGATTTTATATTTTTTTTCAATATGAAAGTTATCATAACACAATAATGTCATGACAAAGATAATACAGGGGTTTCAATTAGGATGTGATATCCTGTTTGTAATAAGAATCCTACAAACTAACTAACTTCCAAACCCAATCTTTGTATCTATGAAAGAATTTAGTAAAAGTTTTAAGTAATTTGTGGGAACAAAATCCCTGACTTAATAATTTACCAGTTATACATACATGTAGATTACATTCATTGAAATAAATAACATCACTATAGACATGGGCATCCAAACAAGTTGGGAAATATACACACTGTAAGAAGAGACAAAAGGAACATCACTGTCTAAAAAAGTAAAATTAACAATTGGGAAAAGTAAAATTAACAATAGGGAAAGAAAAATCTTCTCATTTGTCTTTTGTATCGAGTTTCTGTTAACTGAAATATCAAAATCTAGAAAAGGATAATTATTGCTGTTTATATAAGAGTATTTAAAGTAATGTTCATTGGGTAAATTTCTGCAGTATAGTTAAAGAATTCTTTATTATTTAAAGCAAATATATTTTCAAGGTAATTGTAAACATTATTAAATCGAATCTAGATAGATCTTTCCTGAACTTGACCATAAACTGTATTTCATAACAATACAGGAACAAGTCTGCTGTTCTCAAAACAATAAAAATAAAATTCATAACAAATATAATCCTCGGGAGCTCACTGCCTCATATTTTTATAATAATATTATTCAACCCTAGCTGAACTCCATTACTCTGTTTTTAAGTTTGAGCTCCAAATGTAACACATGTACGGTATGCAACAATCGATTGAACAGATTTTTTACCTAAATTACTATCTAATGTTTAGTCAATCCAATTCAACTGAATATTGTTGTAGGATTTTTACTTTAATAGTATGTTATCAATTCACTTAATCTATTCAATCAACTATTTATTCTTCAAATTGATTAAATTCCAATTGTTTATAAGAGTTGATCAATTTAATCAACTGTCTCATGTAGTTTTCAAGGGTCATGATCAATTGTATTCAATCATTATAATTGTTTAAGAGTTGATCAATTCAGTCAACTGTCTCTTCTTCTGTTTCAGACACAAGTTTATAACGATTGATTTAAAATTGAACAATTCAACAATGTTATTTGTGATCAATTGTATCTATCATTGCGATCGATAGTGTTAGCAACTTTTTTATTGAGTTGATTGAGTTGATATTTGGTAATCAATCATTATGTACAGTGGCTTAAATACAATAGTTAATTAGCCAGACAGGATCCTCCAAATGTTAAGGTGGAGATACCACCTTTGAAGGATTCTAGGGAGGGTGACATGCAGATTGCCTCTGGGAGATCATTCCAAACTGCAATAGTGCTTGGGAAAAAAGAAGACTTAAAATAGTCTTTACTTGTATATATATGCCGGAACTTATGTTGTCCTCTAGTACGCCTGTCCGATTGTGTCAGGACATCATTTGTGACTTCAACCCCCCCCCCCATTAATCTTATAAAGCAAAACAAGCTTTGCTTTTGTTCTGCGGGATTGTAAGTTTTTCCCATTTTAGGCATTTAAGATTGTTTATCATACCAGTGACAGCTCCTGGTGATCTATCATTGTAATCATTTAACACATATCTTTCTGCCTTACGCTGAATCTGCTCAATTTGGTTAATTTGTTTGTAGGGATCCCAAACTGGTGAGCAGTACTCGACGATCAGACGCACAACTGATGTGTACATAAGGTTACTTGTGCGTCCGATCATAGTGCAGTTTTTCATGTTTCTACGTAAAAATCCTAGAGTTTTATTTGCCTTTGAAGATATATTATTAATATGGGGCCCCAATCAAGATCGTTGCTTATTGTAACACCTAGGTACTTGCTTTCCTTGACAGATTCAAGTACATGATTCTGTAATTTATATTGAAATATAAGGTTTTGACTTTTTAGAAATATTTATGACATAGCATTTTGCAGGATTAAATTTCATCTACAATTCAGATTCCCAGTTTTCAAGGTTGGATAGATCTTTTAGGAGTGCTTGAGACTCATTTATATTGGGACAAAGTCCCCAATTACAGTAGAAAAATCAATTAAAAAAAAAAAATCAATCTACTAATGAACTCAAAATCGTTAACTTTTTATTTTCACTTTTTTATTTTTCCCACATTTGCACAGAAATCTTTTTCTTCCGGTCTCATTTGTCAGGAGACTTTGAGAAAAATATATATTTATCAGTCTAGTAAAATATAGGAAGGAGCACAATAACAATTTCATTTTTAATAATTCTTTGATATGAAAAAACGTTACCTGATGATAGTGTTTCTTTGTTTACATTGAAAATGACTTCATAACTTAAATGACGTCACAACTAATATCCCTAACAACAGGACCAAAATCGGAAACGTTACAATATTTCCATTTCTTTTTGAACAGATTTTGAAGTTAAAATATGTTTGAATTAAAAAAATAATTAATAAGGACTTCCCCCTCTTTCACAGGTAGTGCCTGCCTCATATTATTATTTGATGTTTTATAAAGTAAACAGTCGTCAGCAAAAAGAGGAACCTTACAGGAGACATGCTCAGGTAAGCCGTTTATAATATAAATAACAAAAATAAAGTTGGGCCTAATATATAATAACCCGAATAATTCAGTCGTTATATTCCACTGATCTACGATGGCTACATTAACGCCTGAAGGCCTAGTCAATAAAAAATCGTCAAATAATCATTCGGAATTAGCTCTGGATTTATCTATCTCGAAAACATTAAGATATTAAATGATTGGCTCTCTCTCACAGAGAGCACCAATCAAAATCCTGGATTCGTGACACGTTTTTATCGTATATAGAGTTCAGGCCCTTGCGAGTGGGAGAGTCGATCACGGGGAGGGACTGAATTATTCGGATTAAATATATAATGTGCCCTGAGGAACATCAGAATCAACACTGACAACAGCTACCAGACAGAAATAGAACACGAGTACTATATGGAGTAAGCCACAGCTATACTAACTTAGCTAAAGAAGATGTCAACTAGTGCAGCTAATTGCGGGCATTTATATATCTACTTAGTCAGGGGAAGAACCTCCATAAAAAGGCATAAGTAAAGTTGAGGATGGCATGTGTACATAACACCTATGAGTTTGCAACATTTGTTTTCAAAATAATTGATCAAAATATTCAGTTTGACTCATTGTTTTCAAACAAATCATAACCTTTATAGAAGCAGCTCCATTAATTCAGAAAAATCTCTGTTTTACAACTTATCCACCTAGCGTTCACACGTTGTCGGCCATATTGTTTGTGTTGCTAGTCAGATTTTTTAATTTGCATAACATTTATTTTAAAAATTCTTAAAAATACCATCAAACACTATCTAAGTATTTAAAAATGACGGTAAAAATACAAAAACGGTTTACTTTTGTAATTTTTTGTTTTGTTTTGAAGTCACCGGAAGTGGAAATGTCAACAGGTGGTTGTTCGATCTTCGATCTTCAGATAATTTTCAACCTAAATCCTTTTCTTCTTGGTATCAGAAAACTCGACATTTCAACTGGAGAGCAGTATAACAGGTCCTAACCACAGCTCATTGTTTGAGTTAATGATAGTCGTATTCATATCCTAAGTGTCTGGGTGGAAAAGGGGGGATTCTGATAATTTATTGTTTTGACTTTAAGCATAAGCATAAATAAAAAGCATAAAAGATTTATTTAAAGTCGGTTATACATATAACAATACAACATAAGCTCTGTAGAGCTTTTATATTTTAGATTTTTAAGTTACATTCTTTATTCAAGGGTTCACACTATCGGATGACTGGTGGGAAGAAGTTGCTTTCCCTTCCTTTACTTTGTTTTTCCCCTACAGTCAAAAGTGACATCTAGTCGCCCAGGAGTTCATGACAGAAGTATCTTCTTCTTCGATATAGTAATTAAACTCATTTATGAGTACTCAATACTTGTGTGTGCGTAGGTGCTGGTACATGTAATGTCTATTTACAATAAAAGATCAAACACACACTTTTAATCGGATGTGAACCAACTGACCAAAATCGGCATTTTTATGATAACAACTACAGACACATGAATAGCTCAGCTGACAGAAGAATAATGAAATCAAAGTGAAAAATATGCATTCCACACACATTAATGAAAAACAATAAATATCATCAACAGAATAGTTATCCTCATTGGTTTTTAATTGATAAATGATAATTTCTTACCTTTTTGATTGGAAAAAGAAAAAATCTTTTAATCTTGCAAGATATTTAGTTGGTAGTTTCTGACAAGTGGGAAAAAGATATAATTGTGCTGCTGCAACTATAAATGAAAATTTAAGACATAAACTGAGACAAAGACTCACCACTTTTCCCTATCAGAAGTCACTTCTTCCTATGATTCTGAAGTAGTGTGAGCCCTGATATTCCCTATAAATATTTATGATATAAAAATAAGAAGATATGGTATTATATAGGTCACTGTACAGTCTTCAACAGTGAGTAGCAGAAAACTAGTTAAACCTCGCCACATAAATGACATTCTGTATGTGCATGTCCCAAGTCAGGAGCCTGTAATTCAGTGGTTGTCGTTTATTGCTGTATATCATATTTTTTTATTCGTTCATTGTTTTGTAAATAAATCAGGCTGTTAGTTTTCTGGTTTGAATTGTTATACATTTGTCATTTTGGGGCCTTTTATAGCTGACTATGTGGTATGGGTTTTGCTCATGGTTGAAGGCCGTACATTGACCTATAGCTGTTAACTTATATGTCATTTGGTATCTGATGGAGAGTTGTCTCATTTGTCATCATACCACATCTTATTTTTAAATATAAAGAGGATCATAAGAGCACCGGAACAGTATTTCAATTGGCAACTATCTCACTGGTCAGCTATTCAGATCCAACAGAAGATACCTCTGTAGTAACTTAAATATCAGAGCTATGGGTTAGCACACACACAAGTAAACATTAACAGAAGTATTGACAGCTAGGTATTTTTAAGATGCTGTAAAAACAAATAAAAATCAAAACTGTAATGACACCTTTAACTTAAATTTCAAAGGGGCATTAGCTACAATAAAGACAAAAATTAAAATACGATTCTTTTTGTTTCAAGTACTAACAGTCAGGGGTACCACTTGTACAAGTAATTTTTATTTACTTGAAGAAGTAATATTAATATACTTATATAAGTAAATTTGTAGGATACTTGGTAAAAAAAAAATTGGCTTATGTCCCTTAGATATTCAGATTTTTAGTCCCCTACCGACGAAGTTGAAGGGGACTTTAGGTTTGCACTCTGTCCGTCTGTCTGTCTGTCTCTCTGTCCTTCTGTCAGTCCGGCAAATCAGTTTTGCACACTTTTTAGCTCACCTGGCCCAAAGGGCCAAGTGAGCTTTTCTCATCACTTGGCGTCCGTCGTCCGTAAACTTTTACAAAAATCTTCTCCTCTGAAACTACTGGGCCAAATTTAACCAAACTTGGCCACAATCATCATTAGGGTATTTAGTTTAAAAAATGTGTCCGTCGACCCGGCCAACCAACCAAGATGGCCGACATGGCTAAAAATAGAACAGAGGGGTAAAATGTAGATTTTGGCTTATATCTCTGAAACCAAAGCATTGAGAGCAAATCTGGATTAAAAATGTTTATCAGGTCAAGATCTATCTGCCCTGAAATTTTCAGATAAATCGGACAACCCGTTGTTAGGTTGCTGCCTCTAAATTAGTAATTTTAAGGAAATTTTGCCGTATTTGGTTATTATCTTGAATATTATTATAGATAGAGATAAACTGTAAACAGCAATAATGTTCAGCAAAGTAAATTCTACAAATAAGTCAACATGACCAAAATGGTCAGTTGACCCCTTAAGGAGTTATTGCCCTTTTATAGTCAATTTTTAACAATTTTTCGTAAATTTTTGTTATCTTTTACAAAAATCTTCTCCTCTGAAACTTCTAAGATGAATTTAACCAAAGTTGTAAACAATCATCATTAGGGTATGTAGTTTAAAAATTGTGTCTGATGACCCCGCCCGCGAACCAAGATGGCCGACATGGCTAATAATAGTACATAGGGTAAAATGCAGTTTTTGGCTCATATATCTAAACCCAAAGCATTTCGAGCAAATCTTTCAAAAACAAAATTGTTCATTAGGTCAAGATCTATCTGCCCTTAAATTTTCATACCATTCAGGCAACCTGTTGTTGGGTTGCTGCCCCTGAACTAGTATTTTTTAGAAATTTTTTCAGGTTTTGGTTATTATCTTGAATATTATTATAGATAGAGATAAACTGTAAACAGCAATAATGTACAGCAAAGTAAGACCTACAAATAAGTCAAACATGACCAAAATGGTCAATTGACCCCTTAAGGAGTTATTGCCCTTTATAATCAATTTTTAACAATTTTCATAAATTTTGTAAATTTTTACAAAATAATTTCCACTGAAACTACTGGGCCAAGTTCATTATAGATAGGGATAATTGTAAGCATCAAGAATGTTCAGTAAAGTAAGATCTACAAACACATCACCATCACCAAAACACAATTCTGTCATGAATCCATCTGTGTCCTTTGTTTAATATGCACATAGACCAAGGTGAGCGACACAGGCTCTTTAGAGCCTCTAGTTTTCTTCATGCTTGAAGATATTGATTTGATATTTGGTATATTGTTTTATCATGACAAGTTACAGATCAAGTTCGAATTTTTTTCAGGTCTGATAAATTTGTGCAGAGTTATGGTCCTTGGAATTTTAGGAATTAGGGGCAAAAAACAAGCATTTTCTAGTTTCATTACAATAACTTGTGTGTTAGTGTATGGATCTCTCTGACATTGTATCACAAGGTTCCATATCACAAAGGAAATGCTGGGATTGATTTTGGGGGTAATTACATTCAAATTTTAGGAATTAGGGGCCAAAAAGGGGCAAAAAACAAGCATTTTTCTAGTTTCATGACAATAACTTGTGTGTAAGAGTATGGATCTTTATGAAATTGTACTACAAGGTTCCATATCACAAAGGGAAAGCTGGAAATGAGTTTGGGGGTAATTGACCAAAAAGCTTTGGAAGAAGGGGCCAAAAAGGGGGCCAAAAATAAGCATTTTTCTAGTTTCCAGACAATAACTTGTGTCAAGTGTATGGATCTCTCTGAAATTGTACTGCAAGGTACCATACCACAAAGGGAAGGCTGGGATTGTTTTTTGGGGTAATTCCCTCAAAATTTTTGGAATTAGGGGCCATAAAAGGGCAAAAAAAACAAGCATTTTTCTAGTATCAGGACAATAACTTGTGTGTAAGTGTATGGATCATTATGAAATTGTACTGCAAGGTTCCATATCACAAAGGGAAAAGCTGGGTTTGAGTTTGGGGTAATTGCTCTAAATGTTTAGGAATTTGGGGCCAAAAAGGGGCCAAAAAAACAAGCATTTTTCTAGTTTCCAGACAATAACTTGTGTTCAAGTGTATGGATCTCTCTGAAATTGTACTGCAAGGTACCATACCACAAAGGGAAGGCTGGGATTGAGTTTGGGGGTGATGCATCATAAGGGGGTTCAAAAAATTTGGGGGGGGGGGATTTTTTTATCCTTTTTTTTCTTTAGAATTTTCCGTTTTAAATTGGTTATTTCTGATTTATATATAAAAGCAAATAATCATGATATGGTTTGAATAGGTAAATTAAAATTTTTTAAGTTCTTAGACCACTTTCATTCTGTGTCAGAAACCTATGCTGTGTCAAATATTTAATTACAATCCAAATTCAGTGCTGTATCAAGCTTGAATGTTGTGTCCATACTTGCCCCAACTGTTCAGGGTTCGACCTTTACGGTCGTATCAAGCTGCGCCCCAGCGGAGCATTTTATTTTCGTCATTCATGAAGATATTGATTTAATAATTGGTACATTGTTTTATCATGAGTTACAGATCAAGTTCGAATTTTGTTCCGGTCTGATAATTTTGTGCAGAGTTATGGTCCTTGGACTTGGAAAATTCACTCAAATATTCAGTTTTCTGCCATTTTTTTCGTCATTCATGAAGATATTGATTTAATAATTGGTACATTGTTTTATCATGACAAGTTATAGATCAAGTTCGAATTTTGTTCCGGTCTGATGATTTTGTGCAGAGTTATGGTCCTTGGACTTAGAAAATTCACTCAAATAATCAGTTTTCCACACTTTTTTTCGTCATGCTTGAAGATATTGATTTGATAATTAGTATATAGTTTTATCATGACAAGTTACAGACCAAGTTTGAATTTTGTTTCGGTTTGATTATTTTTTGCAGAGTTATGGTCCTTGGACTTAGAAAATTCACTTAAATTATCAGTTTTCCGCTCTTTTTTTCATCATGCTTGAAGATATTGACTTGATATTTGTTATATAGTTTACACCATGACAAGTTATAGATCAAGTTAGCATTTTGTTCCAGTACAATTAATTTTTAACCGGTAGGGGACTATGTATTGCCATGCAATACTCTCAGAATACTTGTTTTACTTATACATGTATAAGTGAAAAAGTCATCCTATCTTCTTTTCTTGAATTCTTAGGACTTCTTTGCTCTAATAGAATTTTAAATTGTCTGTCCTTTACAGATGTTTTAACTTATCATTTAAGTGTAATTTCATGGGCAATGAAAATCTCGTTTGTCTGTTATCTTCAGAACACTGCTCATTTACAAGCCCCCAAGGAGCAAATTTTGAAGGCCTTGCCCATACTTAAGATCTTTGCGCAATCAGTTTCTTTTTTGAATTAATGAGATGAAACATTGAACTCTAATAAAAAATTATGAGCTAACCTGGGAAAAATCATAAAAGGCATGTTTTTATATCTCAAAACTTGAGAATTTTTGTGAGATTGTAAAAAAAATTTACTTATACAAGTGAATTTTTTGAGAAAATTAAGGGGAGATTATTCAAACATTTTAATTAACTTATATAAGTATATTTTTTTTACTTCTTCTAGTAAGTAAAGATTACTTGTACAAGTAGTACCCCTGACTGACTAATAGAAGTGAAATTTTGAAATAATATTACCTTATAAGCAGTTACTTTGGCCCAAATTTGTCAAAATAAGCTCAAAATTATCGCTGATGTATTATTAACTTGCAAGTCAATAATTTAATCTCATTGAAACAGTATTCATGTAGCCGTCTATTTAACCCCTTAGCTGGAGATGGGTTATACATGTACATGGCGTGTTCAGCTATTAAAGGTTGTACTCCTGTAAATATAGACAATGCAATTTCCTGTAGGAACTCCTTTTACAGCTAAAACTGTACCACTTTTACTATGAATTTTCGTAAAAAATTATATCCTAGAATAGAAAGCTCATATACACTACTATTTTTTTCAAAGGTCAAAATATAGGGCTGTGCGGCATATTTTCAACATTTATATGACCCGAACTTCTAAGAGTTTAAACTTATACTAAAATTCTGTACTAACCCTTCTTTCTCTTTGGGTCTTCCTCAGAATTCAATTTAGCCGCTATCCATATGTATTTATACTGGTAAAAATCCCAAGTTATGTCTCTACAAGATGGAACATAAAGATCATATCCGGGAACCAGTAGGTAAACAAAACAAAATATCTATGAATATTAAATTACTCCCCAAAAGAGGAGTGGTTTGTGAAACAGCTGTATTTACAAAGTGCAACCTATAATGAAAAGAATGTCAACATTGAAAGTAAAACAAGGGTGAACCATTTGGTTGACGGATTCGAACCACAAAAATCATTCTTATACAGGTAAAAACCATGATTATCATATTTTTTTAATCTATAATATGAAATTAAACAGAACTAGAAAAATCCACTTGCACATGCTCTCCTTCTATATATGTTTATATGGGGTTATATGACTGTTGGCAGTCTTCAGACTCTGAAGTTCAGAGGTCATCTCAATAGTTATTTAAATGGAGTCTAGACTAAAATACACACTGAAAGCTAATACATATCATGATTATCGAGTCCATGCATTGTTAATGGTTTATTTTATACTTTTTGTAATTTGAATATACATTTTAGTATGTTATAAATCAAATATGAGAGTTTGAGTCCAATCGGTGAACATGAATTTGACAGCTAATGCTCCTCTAAGAAACTACAAAACTATTAATTTTGTTTTTAAAATTTATTAAACATCAAGGTTATTTGTTCTAATCACTATTTTGTTATTATTTAAAGTCTACAAAATTAAACAAAAACATTATTTGAGTTATTGGTAACTAATTTCTGCTGTTTCTAGAGGGTCAGATAATTTGTTTCTAGAGGGTCAGATAATTTGTTTCTAGATGGTCAGATAATTTGTTTCTAGAGGGTCAGATAATTTGTCAAATTGTTTATTAATCAATTGAAATGAATGCCATAAATAAATATAACTGTAAAGGGGATTATTGGCACACATTTTATTGCAGACATCTAAATTTAACTGCATTCGATTTTTGACGTGGAAAATAGTGGCACCAGAAATATCGCCAGCGGTCATATTTTTTTGCCACAGGAAATAATAAATTCCATTTTGTGACATCTCTGGAAATTTTGATAATAAAACAGCCATAGTTATTGATATTTTAGTCTGGAAAATCATGATTCACATATTATTTGAAATTGGGCATTTAGTAACTGCTAATACTCTTAGGTCAGTACTTTGTGACATTTGTCTTTCTGATTGTTTTGCTTAAAGTACCAAACTTATGAGTCAATCCCTTTCAAACTGATTTTAAAAAATATTTATGTTGTGCTGTTACACCATTGTCCCAGATTAGGAGACAGTTGAGTGATGATATAAATGTTTACCATGCCACATTCTTAATGTGCCACCCCTGGAAGGAGGATAAAAAACATAATCACTGTTGTTATTAATCTATATATTAATCACACAAAATATATATCTTATATAATATTTGTATTATGATAAATTGCATCTGACAATTTAAACACAAGGATGATGTCTGGCCTGATTTAAATTTTGTATGGATTGTTAAGAATTAGATAAATATTCATAGTAGTTTTCTTGTTCAATCTATTTCAACATTATCAATGTCAGCAGCTGTTTAGATGTTCACATTCATTTCAGTAAAAATAACTGATTTATTTTTCTTCCGAAAGTGCAAAAAATGTACAACTGAATCAATAGAACATTCTCAGCATGTCTTTATATAAAAATGTTATTAATAAGATGCTGTATCATACTATGATAGCCAATGAGACAACTTTCCAACAGAGACCAAATAAAGTAGATGTGATTAACTTTAGGTTACTGTATACATGTACGGCCTTCAATAATGAGCAAATCCCATACAATATAGTAAACTACAAAAGGCCATGAAATGACAAAATTTAAAACTATTCAAACCAAAAAACCAATGGCCTGATTTATTTAAAAAATTAATACACAAAAAAAACAAATATAGCATGCTTAGCAATCTCCTTTTCTTTCCAGGAAGGAGAAGTATCCTTTTTCAGAATTCTAGATAGAGTACTGATATTGTAAAATCAGCCTTAAAATATCATGTAGAAAAATAATAGAGCCCATTAGATGTAATCACACTTAATAATACAAAATTGTACATTATAAAATATTAATGACTCTTATCTTTACCAGTAACACTTGATGTATTTCTCAGATTATTTTCATCTTTCCATATAGTTAGTTTGATTGTAAAACTTTTCTTAATTTGGAATTAAACATTTCCACATAATTTTTACATTTCAGTAAGTCATTTTTATTGCTTAATGATCTGCACCTATTTATTGTTTATTCTGTGCCTAAGTCCTTTCAAATTTATTTATTATAGGATTAAAACATCTTTTAAAAGGAATTTGTTGGTGTATAAATTTGACCAATTCACTCACAAACAAATAAAAGTTTTAATTCTTTAAAATCGCAGATAAAGAATTTGTTTTCCCCATTCGTAACGTCTATCACACGTTATTGTATTTTTGTTCATTCGATTTGCCTGGCATGTGAATATATATAAAAGTAGTAACGTCAACATCGTTTATCCAAAAATAATTCACTTCAAAAACCGCTACCAGAAGCCTTCTCAACCAATCATATTAACGTATTTCCAAATATGCAAATCATATAAGAATTATGATATTGTATTGAACTGCATAAGAAGGTCAAGTGAATGAGAAACTACCAGATAATAAGTGATATAAAACTTGTGGGTTGTATCAACATTCTCATTCAAACCACCTTGTGCATTTAAAAAAACTAACTTTTTACATACTGAGGAGTAAGTGAATGTTTCAGACAAGAAAGATGAAACTTAAACAAAATTCACATTACATGAGTGATCCTTCTCCTTAATCATTAAAAGCATGAATCATCACACTGAAATGATTCATTTATGATTTATTTTTATGAATTTCAGGCTTCCAATGGAGTTTGTATCCTATTTTTGAGTTTCAAAACATCTATACATACACATGTCAGAAAAGAGATGGGTGTTGAGTTTTTTATTCATGTAAAGAGAAAGTTACCATCTAAGAAGAAATGGTTATCATCTTCATTTCTCTTTTTGCTGGTTTGCCATGTCTTTTGTGTTGAAACTTTGGACTTTGCTAATCAAAGACACAATTTGAGAGGAAAACCTGGCCAAGGATATTATATAGAGGTCGATATAGGAACACCTCCTCAAAAGGTAAATTTTTATCTAGTTATGCTGAATAGACAAATTCTGCTAATGTACAATCATCTGCAACTTTTGATACTTAAACTTAAAATAATGTACTGGTTTCATGCAGGTTGTTTTTTGCATGAATGACATAATTATGTACAAAAATTTTTAAGTATTGAAGAAAATGATAGGAGTTGAATTAGTTTAACATGACTGTAATTTGGAATTGATTTTCGTGATAATGTAGTTAAAGAGAATATGCACGAAAAAGAATAAGTCATCTGGACTGTTGATTAAATTCTTGCACATAATATACATGTATGGTCTATATATGAATTATAAGAATTAAAAGTAATGAGAAAATATAAAAGAACTGTTTTTAAAAATGGAATTCCATGTACACTGTATTGATACAGAAAATCAATATTAGTCATTCAGTGATTGATTCATAGACAAACAACCAAAGTTTTAGAAATACATGTAGATATAAATATAATAAGATAAAAACCACTGTTTACCATACATGTATGGTCTGGGGTTTCAATAGAACAAAATATATGTTCAAAGTGTGAATATATGCTACACAATGCTACTGTAGCAATTTTGCCCACATGGGAAATAACTCTTGCTAAAAGTTTTACTTTAAACAGATGGAAATCTTAATTTCAAAGTTAATTCTCACGTAATAATTCTGAAAGATATGTTTTAGATTGATTGTTATGTAATATGCCTGTATAGTTTTGTATAACAATACATAAATTATTTAATTTGAGATAAATGTAATATTTGTATTTTTAGATAAATGTCCTAATAGACACAGGGAGCAGTAATTTTGCTGTGGCAGCCTCACCTAATCCAGATTTAGATTACTACTTTATGAGAAATGGGTAAAACACATTTATTATAAATAATGTCAGGATACTAGGTAGTCATCTGTGGGATGTATAGCCTTTAAGTGTAACTGTTAAATGTGTATTTCTTAGATGAAAGTTAAAATAATTTGGGAAAAAAAAACTATGGATGCATAAATAAGCTGACAAGCCAGAGAAAATAGGAAAACAAATCATTGATAATATCCAATGATAGAGATATTGAATGTGATATGACTAGAGCAGAACTTTTTGGTAAAAAAATTAATTTTATTCACAGAAATTCTCATATGAAACAGATGGTCTATCATCAGAACTGTACTTGAAGAGTTTATTTTATTACACAGAACCTGTTTTATACTATCAGTTACTACAATAGTTTTGAATGTTATATAAGAGGATTTTTACTGATTTTCATAGCGATTTGACTTCGCCATGAAGTCAGTCGGCTGGCGAGATTTAGCGATTTTCAAAATTCTTTGGCGACTTAAATCGTCATTTCGCTGGCAAGATTATGGCCTGACTACAACCTTTCTTTTGCAATTATCAAAATAAAATCCACAAGTTGTTTAGATTTGAACGGTCTGGAAAAAGTATTTGGTCCATTGTATATTTTGAAAGGCCAAAGCCTCTTGAAATTATTTCATCAGCTTACCAAATCCTTGACGGAGACACTGAATAAAAATATACACAATACATTGTATTGATATAGTACTTGATTTTTTTTCCAGTTTGTTCCATGTATTTTTTCAGATCATCATCTTATAAAGAAGTAGGGACAATGATATATGTCCCTTACACCCAGGGTAACTGGAAAGGTGTACTAGGTACAGATTTAGTTAAAACCAAGTCTTTGAATGTTAGTTCTAGATCCAACATAGCCTTTATTACAGAGTCCAGTAACTTCTTCATCAATGGTTCTAACTGGCAAGGAATATTAGGGCTTGCATATGCTGAAATATCTAGGGTAAGATTTTATTGTAGGCACACTGTTAAAAATACATATATATATTTCTCTAATTCTGTTTTGACCAGTACGATGGATTTTGATAAACCACATGGAAAATGTCAATTACAATGTTCTGGTTGATTGAATTTATGTCATGTAATTTCCCAATTTCCCACCTAATCCAATCAGAACATTGCAATTGACATTTTCCATCGGTAGACCTTGCATTATTAAAGTTTGAAAATTACACTATCTTGATTGAAGAAATACCATAGTCAACAGGGTTTATATAATGTCTAAAAAGTCTTGACTTTGAAAGATCTGTCATTAACACTGAATTCCATAAATGATATACTGTAAATTCAGAAATTATTGCGTGCATTTATTATTGCGATTTTTCAAAAATTGACAAGAATGCGAGTTTAATTATTGCGATTTCAGAAAAATCTACATACAGATCTATGTTTTAGTTATCAAAATGCGAGTTCTTATTATTGCGATACTCATCTAGTTGCATTATTCGCATTAATAAAAACCTCGCAATAATTTCTGAATTTACAGTACAAAACAATAAGGTACAATTGAAGACAAACACTGATAAAGTATCGGACTTAAGACTTATATAATCAAAGCACTGTAAGCGCTGTAGGCAGTTAACCAAAAACCAAGGCAAACGTAATTATGAAAACTGTGGCAGTGTTGCTTCAATTTTTTTTTCAAGATTTGAAAGAACAAACATTAAACATTCGTATATTGTACATTTATGTTCATTTAATGAATTGATTATTAAGGCAAATTAATTAATATTTCATCAAGGTTTTCAAAAGCAACTCATATATCAATGTAAATGACCCCCATCTTCACCCCCATATGTATGATGTTACTTCATACCAAGTTTGGAATAAAATGACAGGTGATTATAAAACAGTTGGTCAAACATTCTCGGGCTTTACACTGCTTGAAAGATTTATATGTTTTCTTTAAAATGAGCCACAAATGAAAATTATTATAGGCCCAGAAATAATTTATTAATAGTTAAAGTAAATTCAATTAACCTAGACTCATTTTTTGCATCAATAAAATTTTATAATAAACAAGAAATAATTGTAACAGGATGCCGTTACGAAGTCTCCCAAACAAAGCCCCCATAATTCATCATTCCTATGGTCTCCTGACATTGGGCAAAGTCCAGTTCATATTGGTTTGGTCTAGTAAAGTGATATGCATATGTGACACCTAGGAGATTGACGCTGTATGTCATTCAAATCTTTTTGAAATGATGAACAGGAATAAATATGGTTTAGGTGTGGGTATCTCGACCGTTTACAAGTTCTCAAACAGGAGGGGTGGGGTGACCCCAGGGACTCCCCCTATATTTCATTTGATTTTTTATATTGTCCCATACATGAATACATATGGTTTAGGGGTGGGGATCTCTACCATTTCCAATATCTCAAACAGGAGGGGGTGGGGTGACCCCAGGGACTCCCAAAATATTTCATTTGATTTGTTATATTGTCCCATACATGAATATATATGGTTTAGGGGTGGGGATCTTGACTGTTTCTCAAACAAGAGGGGGGTGGGGTGTCCCCATGGACTCCCCCTATATTTCATTTGATTTGTTTTATTGTCCAATACATGACAAGAAATAATTGTAACAGGATGCTGTTACGAAGTCTCCCAAACAAAGCTCCAATAATTCGTCATTCCCATGGTCACCTGACATTGGGCAAAGTCCAGTACAAATTGGTTTGTGATATGCATAAGTGACGCCTATGGATTAACCCTGTATGTCATTCAAATCTTCTTGAAATGACGAACAGGAATATATATGGTTTAGGGGTGGTGATCTCGACCGTTTACAAGATAAAAGCACATTCTCAAATTGAAGGGGGTGGGGTAAGAATATAGGGGGGGGGGGGGGGGGGGGGGGGGGGGGGGGTGATCCCCAGGGGGACTCGCCTTTATTTCATATGATTTTTTTTTGTCCCATACAAGAATATATATGGTTTAGGGGTGGGGATCTCGACCGTTTACAAGTTTTCAAAAAAAAAGGGGGTGGGGGTGACCCCCGTGGACTTCCCCTATATTTCATTTGATTTGTTTTATTGTCCCATACAAGAATATATATGATTTAGGTGTGGGGATCTCAACCGTTTACAAGTTCTCAAACAGGAGGGGGTGGGGGGTGACACCAGGGGGCTCGCCTTTTATTTCATTTGATTTGTTTTATTGTCCCATACAAGAAAATATATGGTTTCGGGGTGGGTATCATGACCGTTTACAAGTTGTCAAAAAGAATGGGGGTGCGGGTGACCCCCCTGGACTCCCCTATATTTCATTTGATTTGTTTTTATTGTCCCATACAAGAATATATATGGTTTAGGGGTGGGGATCTCGACCGTTTACAAGTTTTCAAGAAAAAGAAAAAGAAGAAGAAGAATAATAAAAATAATAAGAACTGAGCAAAAACAATAAGTCTCCAAACCTTATTTGGGAGACTTAAATATATATGGTTTAGGGGTGGGGATCTCGACCATTTCCAAGTTCTCAAACAGGAGGGGGTGGGGTGACCCGAGGAACTCCCCATATATTTCATTTGATTTGTTATATTGTCCCATACATGAATATATATGGTTTAGGGGTGGGCATATTGACTGTTTATAAGTTCTTAAACAGGAGGGGGTGGGTGTCCCCAGGGACTCCCCCTATATTTTATTTGATTTGTTTTATTGTCCCATACATGAATGTATATGGTTTAGGGGTGGGGATCTCAACCATTTCCAAGTTCTCAAACAGGAGGGGTTGGGGTGACCCCAGGGACTCCCCCTATATTTCATTTGATTTGTTTTATTGTCCCATACATGAATATATATGGTTTAGGGGTGGGGATTTGGACCATTTCCAAGTTCTCCAATAGGAGGGGTAAGGACGACACCCGGGACTCCTCCAAATTATTTTCATTTGATTTCTTTTATTGTCCCATATAAGTATATATATTGTTTAGGGGTGGGGATGTCGATGGTTTACAAGATAAAAGTACATTTTCAAATTGAAGGGGGTTGGAATGACCCCCAGGGACTCACCCTATATTTTGGTTGATTTTTTTTTATTGTCCTGTTCTCATTACTGAAGACTGCATGTGTCTATCACTTACTGTTTTTGAGAAATATTCATTTGAAAATTTAAAATTTAAAAAAATAAAATCCCATAGGGTTCTATAGTAAATCCCTCCCTTCTTCAGGCCCCTCCAAATACCCCTAAATATACCCCAATGCACAAACAAAAGATTAATGGCTCCGCTAGACATGTTAGTCTAATATTTTATGAAACCCTAAGTAAATCTGACAAACGGTCAAAGTTGTCTTCTTAGACGGTTTGAGTGGATTCGGTCCGACTTGTCTCGGGGACGAGTTGTCCACATTACTTAAAACATCCCATCAATGTCGATTTCCGCATCCGTTTCATTCATAAAATATCAACAACCTTATTTGGCAAGATAAGTTAAAAATTACCGCCCACTTATATTACTTTATTTCCTCTATTATAGAGATTTGTTGTACATGAACAATATTCCTGCGCATTTTGCCATTTGGGAAATATAAACGACTTGTGATTACCGATTTTCGGCGATGAAATATTTCATACAATTGTTCTTTGACATCGTAGCCAAAAGCACAGGGGATAATAAACTACGTACGGATTTCTATTGAGCACTACTTCCTATGTGCAACTTCAAATGTTTTGGGTAGTTCGACGATCATTTAAGGTTTTTTCTGGTCATATTTTTTGTATTCCAGAAATAAAAGTATTAAAAAAATGTCCAATTAGTTATAAATAACATAATAGCCAGCTAGATAATAACAATGGCACGTATTTCAGCATTTATTGGATAGAACACAAATCTAGGGTGCTCGCATAAGGCAGCTTAACTGCCTAAAAATAAGAAGATGTGATATGATTGCCAATGAGACAACTCTCCACAAGAGACCAAATGACATAGAAGTTATCAACTATAGGTCATTGTACAGCCTTCAATAATGAAAGAAAAATACTGCATAGTAAGCTATAGAAGGCCCCAAAATGACAAATGTAAAACCATTCAAATGAGAAAACTAATGGCCTGAAAACTAACTGGTACAAAACAATAAATGAAAAACAAATATAGCCCTTTTTAATTATATTTTTATCTGTTTGTGTAAATAGCTGTAAATACTTTGATATTTCATGAAGGTTTAAAAAAGTTTGTTTCGATTTATAGCCTGACAAATCAGTGACACCATTCTTTGATTCACTAGTGAGTACAGCTGGATTGGATAATGTCTTCAGTTTACAGCTTTGTGGATTGGTCTACAAACAAGATCAGATGTCAGATTTAGAAATGGGAGGAACATTGGTAAGTAATATATATATATACATTTGCATTATGAGGAGAAATGGTTTCCACACAATAACTTCATTAAGCCTTCATCAAATCATTTGAAATTTATAAAATGTTGATTAAGATTGAGTTTGACTGATTTCACTTTTGTTATTCAAGAATTATGTCCCTTGATAATATAAAAATATGAAAATATTTGGTTTCTAGACAATTATTTGAGTATGCATAGACCAAATCATTTTTGTCGAGCCTGCGACTTTTGTCGCAGAAAGCTCGACATATGGATAGTGATCCGGCTGCGGGAGCATTAGCTAACTTCTTAAAAGCTTTATATTTTAGAAGGTGGAAGACCTGGATGATTCATACTTTGTATATAGATGCCTTATGTTACGAAGTTTCCGTCTGTCACATGTCCATTGTCCTTGACCTCATTTTCATGGTTCAGTGACTACTTGAAAAAAAAGTTGTGATTTTTTGTAATGTTAATTTCTCTCTTATTATGAGTAATAGGATAACTATATTTGGTATGTGCGTACCTATCAAGGTCCTCATGCCCGTCGGACAGTTTTCGCTTGACCTTGACCTCATTTCATGGATCAGTGAACAAGGTTAAGTTTTGGTGGTCAAGTCCATATCTCAGATACTACAGTAGACTCCACCTAATCGGATATCGGCTAAACGAATATATCGGCTATTGTAATATTATTTCAAAACACCAAACCCTTCCCTATATGTTTAATGTTAATTTTATCGTGTAATCGAATATCGGATATAAGAATATATCGGCAAATCGGATAAGAATATTCAGGTCATTTTGTTCAAAATCATGCACAATCGGATATTTTCAATGTTTTTCTGACAGGAAATGGACCCGGAAGTTACGAATTTACAATCTTGCAGACAAGAAGATTTTGTTTTTACTAAATAAAAGGAACTATTTCTTAATAAATTGTTGTCTTTAATCATTGTCTTCTATTGTCATGTGAATTAGATGCCCTTCTACTTCAAATGGTTTGAATTTATTTATAAAATATGCAATACTCAGTAGACAAGTTGACGTTGCTGTTTGGAGAATTTTGATTAAACTCTGAATGTTTACAGAATCAGAAATATAATCTAAACTGAATGTACCTCCTTCTGAATAATTTATTGCAATATAAATATAAATCCCTTTTGATAAGAGAAATCTGGCTTTTGTCAGATATATTTTTTTCACATGTGCAAAAGTAACCACATGTCATGGACGCCATTTTGGATGTTTACAAATTTGTGAGGAAGCCTCTAGAACTATGACCTAAATATAAATAGTCTTCAGAAAATGTAAACTTTATGCAATAATATTTTATCAATCATGATTATTTTCATAAATTTAAATTTGATTATTTAAAGAAATAAAATTATAACAAATACGATTTTAGTTTGGAGATTCTACACAGACATGCTTAGATCTATTTATAGCCAAATTAGTTTACCTGTGTGATAATGTAAATAATGGATATTAATTTGCTTACAAAACAAATAAAGACAAACTATGGATGGTAGATAATAATTCACATAAATATTTCAGGACATTTGATTCATTTTAATAAATAAAGGATTTAAAAACTGCAAACAAATTTAATCATTACATAATCAGCTGATAATTTTTTAAAGGCAGTGCTTTAATGCCTTTCTAGTTGCCGTGTTAATCTTTCTTTCCGCGATATCCAACTCATCTACGTGGGGGGTCATTAGGCTCCAAGTAGATCCGGAAAATGTTGATTATCTCCTCTTCTTATTGTGATATAAAATGTTTTTTGTTTCATTTCATTTACATTGGGAAATAGAGAAACGATCATCGTGTTTTGTTAGTTTTAAAAACTTTTGATATATTTGTATTTTACATTATAAGCAGTCAACCGATTGACAAACTAGAATTATTTGAATTCCGTGTGGAAAGAGGTCGGGTTAATTTCGAGTGTTATCTGCAATCTAGATGTTTATAAATCATTTCAGTCGTTGATATAATAATTAAAGGTCGACTGAACATGAATTATATTATACAATTTAAAGCGCATTTCTGTTTATGCACGCGAACCCGTCTAACGTTATTGTTATTTCGCAGTTATATAAAGTAGCAAATTATCGTTCCTGAATAGGTGGCGCCGTGGTAGCCTATCCTGTTCTTCAACTTCCGGTTTCTGCACTGTGCAACTATTACAGTTGCATTTTTAATTAACGATGCCAAGTACTTGTTGTTGTGTACCTGGATGTCATTTAAGAGGAGGACATGCATTTCCAAATGACTTAAAAAGAAGGAAAAGTTGGATCAACGCCATGGCCCATACGCAGATTGGACGAGAACACGATGAAATCGTGGAGTCCATCTCAATCAGCTGTTGTTTGCAAGGCACATTTTACTGAAAAAGACTACGTGCAGGAAACTATTCATGGTAAAACTCTATTTTCTTTTTAAGATATATATGTAATCGCCATGCGAATAAACCAAAGTCTGTTTACAACCGCAATTATCGTTTTAGAATAAAAGGGGGTGGTTAATTCAAGACGTCATAATTTTTTGGATTACATTTCAATGTGATCTGTTTGAGATTTTTTGGTGCTTGCTACAATTATAATGATTTCTTACAAGAGGTATATCATACTGAGAATTATTTTAGCAGTAATTATGCTAATGTAGTGATGACAGGAATGCATAAGCTATGCCTCATAGACTTTCTTGAAAAATATCAATGACAATGTTAACAGGGCTTTCATGTCGATCCGGCCCCACGTCGATCCGGCCCAAGTCGATCCGTCCCACGATGATCCGGCCCAACGTCGATCCGGCCCCAATAAAAAAATATATTTATAAGGAATAAAAATAAAGATATATATTAATTGTAATTCATAAATGTTTATGAATTTTATTATAATGTAAAAGGTGTACGGTAAAAAAATGGCCTTTGACAAATATTTTCTTTAGATGAGTATAAAACAAGTAGGTTGATTATGTTTTCATTACAAGTTTTCAAGATTATTGGGTATAATTATAATAAAAACGTATATAACAGAATTTAGTACAATCAACAGACATCAACATTAATCAGCAGTAATTATCATTTTCTTTCAATTGACTGTGATCTTAACAAGTCTTTCATCATTTGTTTTTGTTGAATAAACAAACCAATTATAGACTAATGATTTGATGAAACAAGTCATTATATTATGAGTTAAATTTTATAGGTTCCATTGGACTGTTAATATTTATTTAGCTATTATGTGTGTGAATTGAATAAAATAAAAATCGCCATGACATTCAAAGTTATCATGGAAAATAACTTCATATTAAAATGTTGAAGCTGCTATACAAACAGACACAATCACACTCAGTTTCGTATCGATTTAAAATAAAATCTTTGACTGGTACACCTATACTTCACTTACCTGTTGTCATCCATCATCCATACTTTTTGCAAAATCCATTTATACTGTTAAAATCCTCCAAAGTCAATATAGTTTATTCATATTTTATTATGGGGCCGGATCGACTTTGGGCCGGATCGACGTGGGCCGGATCGACTTGGGACGGATCGACTTTGGGCCGGATCGACTTGGGGCCGGATCGGTTTGGGGACGGAACGACCGGATACCTTAACAGGAACAAAACAATGACATGCTCTCATCTATATTATAGCTATTTAGGTACAAACAATGTATGTTTGTTGCATATGTCTCTCATTGTTTGTCCTTTGGATTTACATAACATACATTTTGATGTACATTGAATCAGGCTAACATAGTTTTATCCAGATTGTTATGAATAAATCTAGTTAATATTTTGCCAGGTAGTACAAAGTATGCATTGCTAATGGAAGTTCATTTAATTATCAAAAAACTAATGTTTTATAACCTTTTTCAGGGCGCAAACCCACCATACAGAGACTTAAGTCTACTGCCATTCCCAGCCTATTTTCCTGGACCAAGCAAGAGACTGAATCGTTCGCAAAAAGAAAAATCAGGGCAGTTTCCTGTGAAAACAAAAGAACTAAACTTGATGAATAATGTAGTAGAAATCTAGAGGAAAGTTTTGATTGTAAAGTTGGTTTTCCTGAAGAAGTCATTCATACTGCAGACAGGATTTATGACTGTCCACCACCAACTGCCGAGCTAATGTTGAGCTTCACAGATGGAATTACGCAAACACCATCAATGCCTATATTTTCAGCAGAGAATTTTGAAATGAAGACACGTGACACAGCCATGCATTTTTATACCGGTTTAGAGTTGTATACTAAATTTTTATTTGTTTTGACCACACTTGGTCCAGCAGCACATTGTTTGAGATACATATATTTTCAAATTGATAGGGTGTCATTTGAAAATCAGTTTTTTTATGACTTTGATGAAATTGAGGCATTATACAACCAACTTTGAACTGTCTAGATTCTAGATTGAAACTAGTGTTAAGAATATTGTGTAAACACGGATTGTTTTTATGTCTTAACAGTGGCGTGAGGCTAACACTTGGCCATTTAGTGGTTTAGTCATGTATTTTTCGCCATCCAACTTCAAATTAAAGTTTCCTACAACTTGGATTATTATCGACAGCACAGAATATCCCGTGATAAAACCTAAAGCTCCTAGAGCTCAGGCAACCTTTTCATCATATAAAAACAGAAACACTGAAAATACTTGTATGTTCGACACCTGGTGGTTTAGTCAACTATGTCTCTAATGCATATGTTGGTTGTACCAGTGACTGTGAAATAGTTGAAAGATGTAGAATAGTTCAGTTATGTGATCCAGGTGACAGTGTGATGGCAGACAAAGGTTTAAATGTGCAAGATTTGTTTGCTCACTTTTTTCAAAAAAAGAAACAGAATTAGTTCCAAAACTCTTATACTGGATAAAAAAGTCTCCAATTAACACATGCACATAGAGCTAATTATTGGACTTGGCAAAACATACAAAATTCTAATAAATCCTATGAATGGAACTGAAACAAAACTTTCATCTGATATAACATTTAGTTGTTTTATGTTGTGTAATTTTAGAACTTGTATTGTGCCAAAGGATGCATAAATAAAAGTGACACAATGAAGTTTGTTCTAATATATATGTATAAATATTATTTACAATTACATGCACATGTAAATTGTAATGCATATAAAAATAAAGAGATGTGGTATGATATTCAGTGAGTTTATCTAACCAAAGTGCATAAGAAATGGGTTAAGCAGTTACAGGTGTTACTGTCACCGTACAATCTCCAACAATTAGAAAAACTTGTACCGTGTAAAAAATTTCAGAGATCTTACAACTAAGTTTTGTTGTCTCACCTTGACTTTGGTGAATTGTTTATATCTGTTGATGTAAATATAAAAAAGAAGATGTGGTATGATTGCCAATGAGACAACTCTCCACAAGAGACCAAATGACACAGAAATTAACAGCTATAGGTCACAGTACGGCCTTCAACAATGAGCAAAGCACATACCGCACAATGAGCTATAAAGGCCCCGAAATGACAATGTAAAACAATTCAAACAAGAAAACTAACGGCCTAATTTATGTACAATAAATGAACGAATAACAAATATGCAACACATAAACAAACGACAACTACTGAATTACAGGCTCCTGACTTGGGACAGGCACATACATGTACATGTACATACAGAATGTGGCGGGGTTAAACATGTTAGCGGGATCCCAACCCACCCCCTAACCTGGGACAGTGGTGTAACAGTACAATATAAGAATGAACTATAAAAATCAGTTGAAAGAGGCTTAACTCATCAGATGGATAAATACAAATACAAGTGGACGTGGCCGGGTAGTTGTACATCCAAACAACAAAAAGACACTAAGTACAGATCTGAGAGTACTCGCATTTACTGACAGCTAGTTCAAAGCCACTAACAACTGATAAAAAAATCTTGCATCTAAGACTAAATTATCAATCCGTAAGCTACCTTTAGAATTTTATAAATTTTAGATTTTACATTTCTGAGTTATGGGGTTTTATTCATTAAAAAAGGGGGGATTTTCCAGCTTTTGGACAACAACTCAAAAATGCTTTAAGCAGTTCGCATGAAACTTTGGTGAATTATTTATAGCTATTGATGTAATCTCCCTATTGATTTTCATAAATTTTAAATATGACATTGAGAAGAAATTGAACTTTATTTGTTTATAGTCTGGCAACAGATTTATTAAGTATTGCGCAACAGCACAGTGTATTGCACAACAGCAAGAAATCTTTAATTGAATATAAATTCAATTCATATAACCGATTCCAAGTTCTTTGACTACTTTTATTCAGAAACTATAAAATGTCAAATATTTAATTACAATCCAAATTCAGACCTGTATCAAGCTTGAATATTGTGTCCATTTTTGCCCCAACTGTTCAGGGTTGGACCTCTGCGGGTGTATCCAGCTGCGCTCAGCGAATCAGTTTATTTCTTAATTAAGAACTCCTTTTTGTCGAGCCTGCGACTTTTGTCGCAGAAAGCTCGACATAGGGATAGAGATCCGGCGCAACGTTTGGTAACTTCTTAAAAGCTTTATATTTTAGAAGGTGGAAGGTCTGGATGCTTCATACTTTGTATATGGATGCCTCATGTTACGAAGTTTCCGTCAGTCACATGTCCAATGTCCTTGACCTCATTTTCATGGTTCAGTGACTACTTGAAAAAAAAGTTAAGATTTTTTGTAATGTTAAATTCTCTCTTATTATAAGTAATAGGATAACTATATTTGGTATGTGCGTACCTTGCAAGGTCCTCATGCCTGTCAGACAGTTTTCACTTGACCTCGACCTCATTTCATGGATCAGTGAAGAAGTTTAAGTTTTGGTGGTCAAGTCCATATCTCAGATACTATAAGCAATAGGTCTGGTCTAGTATATTCGATGTATGGAAGGACTGTCCAACTGGCAGGTGTTATCTGACCTTGACCTCATTTTCATGGTTCAGTGGTTATAGTTAAGTTTTTGTGTTTTGGTCTGTTTTTCTTATATTGTATGCAATAGGTCTACTATATTTGGTGTATGGAATGATTGTAAGGTGTACATGTCTAGCTGGCAGGTGTCATCTGACCTTGACCTCATTTTCATGGTTCAGTGGTCAAAGTTAAGTTTTTGAGTTTTGGTCTTTTTTTCTAATACTATATGCAATAGTTCAACTATATTTGGTGTATGGAAATATTTTATGATCTATTTGTTAGTCACGCAGGGTTTTTTTTTACCTTGACCTCATTTTCAAGGTTCATTGCTCAGTTTAAAATTTTTGTGTTTTGGTCTGTTTTTCTTAAACTATAAGCAATAGGTCAACTATATTTGTTGTATGGAAGAATTGTTAGCTGTACATGCCTGCCTAGCATGGTTCATCTGACCTTGACCTAATTTTCTTGGTTCATTGGTCAATGTTTAGTTTACTTGGTTAATGTTAAGTTTATGTGACAGTTGTAATAAAGCTTTATATTTAGGACTATCAACATAATATCAATGATTAGTAAAGAAGGCGAGACATTTCAGTGTGTGCACTCTTGTTTCATTCATAAATTACTTTATACTTGGAAATATAATTTTGCTTGTAGTTATAGTTTCTAAAAAAAGTATTGTCATTGAAAGAGTTAGCATGTTGCAATGTACATTTATTCTACATAGTTCTATGGTACCAAATCAAAAGTTTATATAAAAGAAGAAGTCAAAGGTTTCCCATCATAGTTTAGTTACATACATTTTTTTTGTACCTGAGGTCGTTGAATATAGATCATTATATAAATAAGGAGATGTGTTATGATTGCCAATGAAACAACTATCATCCATACATTGTACTTACCAGTAACAAACCACATTTGCAAAGTTGAATAAAATACAGTTGATAACATTTACTTATTACTAAAAAGAAAATGCCAAACTATTTTCAACAGTATTTGACTATAAACATAGATAAAAAAGGTACAAACTGGACATAATGCACTAGTTCATAAACAAGTGAGAACAATCGCCTTCATATAGTGCTCAGAATATGACATTCATAAAACTTGTTCAATATCATTAGAGAACTCTAAATCTTAAATACTGAAAGCCACCTCTGGTAAGTACAATGTACTATGCAAGATAATGATATAACTGGACTAAAAATACTCACAACCTGTAATTAACTGCCTTTACAGTGCTTTCGCGCTTTGATTACACAAACATCGTCGTGATGTAACTGATAAAAAACACTCCATCAATCCTCCAGCCCTTTCACATATTTAGCAATTGTCAGGGTTAGTAACATCTCAGGATTATATCTACTCATTATTGCAGAATATTCAATGAATATACATTCATCGTCTAATTGAATATATCGGGTAATCGGATATTTTTAGCTGACATTTTGGGTATCCGATTTGCCGGAGTCTACTGTATAAGCAATAGGTCTAGTATATTTGGCGTATGGAAGGATTGTAATAACATAAACGGTACCAATTTTTCTGCACCAGATGTGCATTTCGACAATCAATGTCTCTTCAGTGATGCTCGAGGTCAAAATATTTGAAAATCCAAAGCTTATTGAAAAGATGAAGAGCTATAAGCCAAAAAAGGACAAAAAAGTATAGCCAAAGCCAGGCAGGGAATCAGAGCTTTGCATGAGGGAGATACATTCCTTAATTTTAAATAATTTCCAACACTTTGTAACAAGAAATTTCAATAACACTAAATCCGTATTTTCATGCCATGTACATGTACATGTCCAACTGGCAGGTGTCATCTGACCTTGACCTCATTTTCATGGTTCAGTGGTTATAGTTAAATTTTTGTGTTTTGGTCCGTTTTTCTTATACTATAAGCAATAGGTCAGCTATATTTGTTGTATGGAAGGATTGTAAGCTGTTCATGTCTGCCTGGCATAGTTCATCTGACCTTGACCTCATTTTCACGATTCATTGGTCAATGTTTAGTTTTCTTGGTTAAGTCTGTTTCTTAGAAACTATAAGCAATAGGTCAACTATATTTAGTGTATTGAATGATTGTAAGGTGTACATGTATTTCTCGTTTGGTTTTTATGACCTTGACTTCATTTTCTTGGATCATGTTAAGTTTATGTAATAGTTGTAGTAAAGCTTTCATTTAGGACTATCAACATAATATCAATGGTTAGGAAAGAAGGTGAGACATTTCAGTGTGTGCACTCTTGTGAAATTTGGGTATGCATTTAGGAATTTTATATTTGTTGCTCTGCAGTTATGACCCTTGATAATGTGAAAAATACTTGTGGTTTCTGGGTTACAAAAAAGGAATTGTAATATCATCAATAGCAGTCTATAGAGGATGGTTCCTGTAGTTTTTAGGTGCATTTACTGCCCAAGCCAGGTTATACATTTTTATTTTTTTAGATTCAAACTTTTCCTTCAGAACTATTAATTGATGCTGTTCCTGCCTACAATATATAGGCAGATGCATCTGTGTCCCATGGACACATTCTGTTTTTATTTATATCAAAGACGGCAACATTCTTCAACTAACTATACACATTACAATTTCAGCAAAAATTCCAAAAAAGTTCTGGTTTTGGTTAACCTAAAGGGTTAATAATTCACAGAATCACACCGTATCATTATAATTTTCTCACAAATCTGTTTACAGTACAAAGATAGCTACTAGGGTATGAATGATATATTTGAATATGTTTGAAATTTAAAAGATACTTTCTATAATTTTTTTTACATTTTTTCAGAAAACACATAAAATGACAATAGATTAAAATCTGTTTCAATTTAGTTCTTTTTAATTCCTTGTTAAATTTTGAAAGAAAAGAACTACTTTCACAAATGATGTTACCTAAAAAATTGGTGGACATTAAGAAAATATTTATTCATAGTATGTAACTTGATATGCATCGAATCTTTCCTTAAATATCACAATACGGATTGAAAATATTTTATCTTATCATTTCACCTCTTTTTTTATCCAGCTCAATAAATGGATACCCAAACACTGCTCTAACCTTTTTATGACTACATTTTACTATTGTCATGGTTGCATCTTAACAAATACCTACAATTTCAGACATTTGGAGGAAAAGACCCTGGACTATATAAAGGAGATATTTATTATACACCAATACATAAACAATGGTATTACGATATTGTTATCGTGGATGTAAACGTAGATGGAAGCAGTTTAAGTCTAGATTGTAAAGAGGTATGCTAACATGTTACATAATTGTTCTAAGATTAGTCTATTTAATTTACCATACTTTTTCATCATAAGTTGAAAAAAATCAGAGATTTTTTTTTCAAACAAATGTAAATTTTGTATTCCTAAGTTGGCCAAAAAATCAAAAGGTCTTGAAATGTCTTACATGAGTTGGTATAAAGAAAAAATATTGAAAATGAGATCAGAAAAAATGCCTGAATAGCTGTAAAATTGACTGAATCACAGCACAGACGATGGTTTGATTACAGTTGGTTGTTATGTTGTATTGGTACACCACTGTCCAATGTTGGTTGCTGTCTGTATGTTGTACTGGTACACCACTGTCCAATGTTGGTTGCTGTCTGTATGTTGTACTGGTACACCACTGTCCAATGTTGGTTGCTGTCTGTATGTTGTACTGGTACACCACTGTCCAATGTTGGTTGCTGTCTGTATGTTGTATTGGTACACCACTGTCCAATGTTGGTTGCTGTCTGTATGTTGTACTGGTACACCACTGTCCAATGTTGGTTGCTGTCTGTATGTTGTATTGGTACACCACTGTCCAATGTTGGTTGCTGTCTGTTATATTTGATTTTGTTTATCGTTTTGTCCTTAATTTCTTATTTTATATTAGTGTGTGAAAGATGGCTATACTTATGCTAACAGTTTTAATGTTGAATGTTGTTGCAAGTTTGGTGATTCAGTTACTTTGGAGCCTCTAGTCGAACTGACATAGAAAAGATGTGCATTTTAATAAAAAAAAATCCCTTTTGAAAATGAGTGAGATTCACATGTTGCCTGTGTTTTTGTGGTAAATATTGCATTCATGCAATCAACAGTCAGGGATATAACTCTATAGGGTTATTACAGAAAAATAACATACATTTGTTATTGTGGACTAAAAAATCAAAGAACTGTGATAACATATGTATGTTACATGTTTCAAAGGGACAATATACATCATTAGTTTAGTTAAAATGTATAAAAGTTCTATTGATATTACTTTTGTCTATATGTATACTTAACTATTGAAAGATATAACAGTTCATAGTTTGCCAATTTTGCATAGTACACCTATATGTTATTACAGAAAAAATATGCCTGTAATAACTAAAGGGTGTTATCACAGCTTCTCTATATCACTTCAAAGCATTTGCTCAGACATACATCATGCTTAAGTACAATGTATTTTAATTTATTGTAAGAAATAATGACCAGAGCATATAATGAGGTTCTGTGCAAGTTTCTCAGTAATTCCCAAGTGTCTTATATAATAAGTTACATTCCTTTAATAACCTAGCCTTGTTATCACAGCTAAGTTTATCCCTTAATAGCCTCGTCTCATTGATTTACCATGGTTAATCAAAAATGAATTAATTTAATTAAAAAATTAGTTATCAAGGCTATGCATTTAGTTTCTGCGCAAAGTCTCAAGAGTTCCCTAGAGCCCACTATAAATGAAATAATTTTACAAATAACAAACATATGTTATTACAGATTTAGAAAATTTAAGGAATAAAGAGTAGACAACTCATGAAAGTATCTGTAATAACACACGCAAGTTATTTTCTGTAATAACCCTATAGAGTTATATCTTTGACTGATCAAAACCCTTATGTGGCTAGCTTATCAATTTTCCAAACTTTATCACTACTTATGAGATAAAAAATAATGTAGTTCATTGAGCACAACATTCTACACTTCCTATCCATACACAATCCCTCAAGACATTACGTGTTTGTATAACCATACTTGTCAAGAAAATTATATAAATTGTGCACAGTGCATGTATCTTGTATCTGTACTAAAAATATCAATGATGTCAATGTGAAATAATATTTAAATTTGGAGTTATCTTCCTTTATAAATATGAGGAGATTTGGTATGATTGCTAATGGGACAATTATCCACCATGACCAGAGTCCATAATTGTAGTCAAACCTTCCAATGCTTAATACAATACCATGTTTAGTTTGTATTTCCCACTGCAAAATGAATGCAATCTTTACTCTCAGTACTGACAAGCACTTTGATTATTTTATTTGCTCTAATAATTCTTTTTCAGTATAACTTTGACAGAACTATTGTTGACAGTGGTACAACTAATCTTCGTCTTCCATTGAAAGTTTTCTCAGGTGTTGTTTCCAAGGTTAAAAATTTTGTCCAGGTAAGTGGAAAAATATAATTTTTTGTTTTAAACATTTAAAGTTTTTGCAAACTATAGTACAAAATTGTATAGATATCACTGAAAGAATTGAAGGATTTTGTTTTACCATTCATTGTTATATCTCTCTCTCTCTTTTTTCTTGTACATAACTTATTAATAGAACCTGATGAAAATTGTACGGACATCACTGAAATAGATAAAGGGTTTTGTTTTTTGTTTTACCATTAATTGCTATCTCTCCCTCTCTCTCTCTCATACATAACTTATTAAAAGAACCTGATGAAAGCTTTTGCTAAATTTTTGAGTGGGTGGTTTAAAAATCATATATGAATTTTTATATAAGTTGAAATGTTGTTTTAAGGTCATATAATATCTAACATTAATTTTTTTTTTAATTTCTAGAAGATGCCTGCAGCCCCATCAGATCAGTTTTATAGTGGTCTATCTCATATGTGTTGGAAAACTTCTGCTGTTCCATATAGTTCTTTTCCAGTGATAGCATTGTCTATACCAGTAGGTGATGGTACAATGTTTGAACTCAAAATTGCTCCTCAGGTATGGAAGTGTTATTTACATCCTTTTAAAAAGCATGATTCTCGGACAGTAAAATCTGGTAGCCCTAAAAATCTGAATAAGTAAATATTCTATGAATTTCAGATAACTTCTGTGTTTTCATTAAGTCACTGAAAGTCACAACGTCAAATTGATTCTTATCAATCCAAATTAACTGCTTATTATTGCTTTTTATTATGATCACCTTTGTATGTAAAATGCCAACAATTCATTTAAAACAATACTGAAGAATTTTGGATAATAAAAAAGTTGAAAAAATATAAGCAGCTTGCAACATGAATTGATTGGTGTACTGTAAATTCAAAAATATATGTAGGACTCTAAAGTGCGATGGTCACGCTAAAGTGCGATGGTATACGCTAAAGTGGGATGGAGTTAAACGCTAAAGGCATGACACACTTAAGTGCGATAGTATAACACGCTAAAGTGCAATAGTATAGCATGCTAAAGTGCTATGGTGTAACGGGAATGGGGTTCAGGCAATGGTTTTCGTTTGTTGCTGTGTTTCTATTATTGTAGTTTTTCGTTTATTATTATGTTTATTAATCAAGCTGTTGTCTTTCTCTTTTTTTTTGTTTTACACTGGTCATTGTGTGGCCCGGTGTATATATAGATTGCTATGCGGAGTAGGCTAAGGCTCCACATTAAAGGCCTTAGTTATTAGTTGCATATATCGATGACATTTGGTAGAATATGTGTCTCATTTTTAGTCCCCCACCGACGAAGTCGAAGGGGACTTTAGGTGTGCACTCCGTCCGTCTGTCTGTCTGTCTGTCTGGCCATCCGTCAGTTCGGCAAATCAGTTTTCCACACCTTTTTTCTTCGTCCTTGAAGATATTGATTTGATATTTGGTGCATTGTTTCATCATAACAAGTTACAGATCAAGTTCGAATTTTGTTTCAGTCTGGTGATTTTGAGCAGAGTTATGGTCCTTGGACTTAGAAAATTCACTCAAATAATAAGTTTTCCACACTTTTTTCTTCATGCTTGAAGATATTGATTTGATTATAGGTATATAGTTTTATCATGACAAGTTACAGATCAAGTTCGAATTTTGTTCGGGTCTGATGATTTTGTGCAGAGAAATAGTCCTTGGACTTAGAAAATTCACTTGAATTTAGAGATAACGCGGAGACAGGTAAACAGGTATTTGCGACAGTAAAACTACCGATGGACGTCTGCAAAGCTTCAAATACAATACAGTTATCTCTATTCTAATGCAAAATAAACAAATCATTCAATTTTAGTCATTATTTCTGTGTAAAATTTTCATTAAACGAAAATTCTGTGAAATGATGTTATCTTCTTTGGTGCCTAAACTAGGTGACATCATAGGTGTGCTTCTGGCATCAAACGTAAACACCGGGCTTTTTCTGGGTTCTTGTCCGCTTCAAAATGTAATAAATTTGATGAAAAGAAGATTTGTAGGTCCAAATGTGAGTTTTTTTGCTTATTATTGGAGAAATTACATGTCAATATATTCGGGAATTCAAAATGTCAGCTTCCTTAGTTACAGACAGGGAGATTGAGAATTTTACGCTTGTCATCATCCAATCAGAGCCATTAATACAAACTAATTGCATTAGAATAATCAGTTTTCCTCACTTTTTTTCGTCATGCTTAAAGATGGTGATTTGATAATTGATATATAGTTTTATCATGACAAATTACAGGTTAAGTTTGAATTTTGTTCAGGTCTGATAATTTTGTGCAGAGTTATTGTCCTTGGACTTCGAAAAATTCACTTAAATAATCAGTTTTCCACACTTTTTTTCGTCATACTTGAAGATATTGACTTGATATTTGTTATATAGTTTGCACCATTGTACTTTAGTGTATCAAACTATTGCACTTTAGCGTAGACCATCGCCTTTTAGTGTGACCATCACGTTTTAGCGTCCACATCGCACTTTAGAGTCCTACATATATATGTGTGTATATATTATTGTAATTGTTGAGCAAATGACAAAATACAAGATTAGTAATTACTATTTCAGGAAAAATGTTGTATACATATGATGCTATCAAAATGTAAAATGATGTATATTTTTACTAAATCAATCTCTTTGTAGTTTTACAATAATAAAAAAATCAAAGGAATTCCTTTTGAAAATCTTGCTTCTGCAATACAAAAAATATTACAGCATGCAACAAAGACTGTCATTTTCATTACAGTTCCATAATCATGATAATTGTGATACTAATTATCCTCAGTAACTTTTTTGACATTTTTACAGCAATATTTGAGACCTGTTGGTGAAGTGAATGATGAAGGAGTGGGCGTTGACTGTTTTAAGTTTGGTATATCTAATTCTACATCAGGTAATATACTGTAGTTACTGTTAGGGTAGTGGCCTGTTATCTAATTCTACATCAGGTAATATACTGTAGTTACTGTTAGGGTAGTGGCCTGTTATCTAATTCTACATCCGGTAATATCCTGTAGTTACTGTTAGGGTAGTGGCCTGTTATCTAATTCTACATCAGGTAATATACTGTAGTTACTGTTAGAGTAGTGGACTGTTATCTAATTCTACATCCGGTAATATACTGTAGTTACTGTTAGGGTAGTGGCCTGCTATCTAATTCTACATCAGGTAATATACTGTAGTTACTGTTAGGGTAGTGGCCTGTTATCTAATTCTACATCAGGTAATATACTGTAGTTACTGTTAGGGTAGTGGCCTGTTATCTAATTCTACATCAGGTAATATACTGTAGTTACTGTTAGGGTAGTGGCCTGTTATCTAATTCTACATCCGGTAATATCCTGTAGTTACTGTTAGGGTAGTGGCCTGTTATCTAATTCTACATCAGGTAATATACTGTAGTTACTGTTAGAGTAGTGGACTGTTATCTAATTCTACATCCGGTAATATACTGTAGTTACTGTTAGGGTAGTGGCCTGCTATCTAATTCTACATCAGGTAATATACTGTAGTTACTGTTAGGGTAGTGGCCTGTTATCTAATTCTACATCAGGTAATATACTGTAGTTACTGTTAGGGTAGTGGCCTGTTATCTAATTCTACATCAGGTAATATACTGTAGTTACTGTTAGGGTAGTGGCCTGTTATCTAATTCTACATCAGGTAATATACTGTAGTTACTGTTAGGGTAGTGGCCTGTTATCTAATTCTACATCAGGTAATATCCTGTAGTTACTGTTAGAGTAGTGGCCTGTTATCTAATTCTACATCCGGTAATATACTGTAGTTACTGTTAGGGTAGTGGCCTGTTATCTAATTCTACATCAGGTAATATACTGTAGTTACTGTTAGGGTAGTGGCCTGTTATCTAATTCTACATCAGGTAATATCCTGTAGTTACTGTTAGAGTAGTGGCCTGTTATCTAATTCTACATCCGGTAATATACTGTAGTTACTGTTAGGGTAGTGGCCTGCTATCTAATTCTACATCAGGTAATATACTGTAGCTACTGTTAGGGTAGTGGCCTGTTATCTAATTCTACATCAGGTAATATACTGTAGTTACTGTTAGGGTAGTGGCCTGTTATCTAATTCTACATCAGGTAATATCCTGTAGTTACTGTTAGGGTAGTGGCCTGTTATCTAATTCTACATCAGGTAATATCCTGTAGTTACTGTTAGAGTAGTGGCCTGTTATCTAATTCTACATCAGGTAATATCCTGTAGTTACTGTTAGGGTAGTGGCCAAATATACTGTAGTTTCTGTTAGGGTAGTGGTCTGTAATCTAATTCTACATCAGGTAATATACTGTAGTTTCTGTTAGGGTAGTGGCCTGTTATCTAATTCTACATCAGGTAATATCCTGTAGTTACTCTTAGGGTAGTGGCCTGTTATCTAATTCTACATCAGGTAATATCCTGTAGTTACTGTTAGGGTAGTGGCCTGTTATCTAATTCTACATCAGGTAATATACTGTAGTTACTGTTAGGGTAGTGGCCTGTTATCTAATTCTACATCAGGTAATATCCTGTAGTTACTCTTAGGGTAGTGGCCTGTTATCTAATTCTACATCAGGTAATATCCTGTAGTTACTCTTAGGGTAGTGGCCTGTTATCTAATTCTACATCAGGTAATATCCTGTAGTTACTGTTAGGGTAGTGGCCTGTTATCTAATTCTACATCAGGTAATATACTGTAGTTACTGTTAGGGTAGTGGCCTGTCATCTAATTCTACATCAGGTAATATACTGTAGTTACTGTTAGGGTAGTGGCCTGTTATCTAATTCTACATCAGGTAATATACTGTAGTTTCTGTTAGGGTAGTGGCCTGTCATCTAATTCTACATCAGGTAATATACTGTAGTTACTGTTAGGGTAGTGGCCTGTTATCTAATTCTACATCAGGTAATATACTGTAGTTTCTGTTAGGGTAGTGGCCTGTTATCTAATTCTACATCAGGTAATATACTGTAGTTACTGTTAGGGTAGTGGCCTGTTATCTAATTCTACATCAGGTATATCCTGTAGTTACTGTTAGGGTAGTGGCCTGTCATCTAATTCTACATCAGGTAATATACTGTAGTTACTGTTAGGGTAGTGGCCTGTTATCTAATTCTACATCAGGTAATATACTGTAGTTACTGTTAGGGAAGTGGCCTGTTATCTAATTCTACATCAGGTAATATACTGTAGTTACTGTTAGGGTAGTGGCCTGTCATCTAATTCTACATCAGGTAATATACTGTAGTTACTGTTAGGGTAGTGGCCTGTTATCTAATTCTACATCAGGTAATATACTGTAGTTTCTGTTAGGGTAGTGGCCTGTTATCTAATTCTACATCAGGTAATATACTGTAGTTTCTGTTAGGGTAGTGGCCTGTTATCTAATTCTACATCAGGTAATATACTGTAGTTACTGTTAGGGTAGTGGCCTGTTATCTAATTCTACATCAGGTAATATACTGTAGTTACTGTTAGGGTAGTGGCCTGTTATCTAATTCTACATCAGGTAATGCCTGTTATCTAATTCTACATCAGGTGATATACTGTAGTTACTGTTAGGGTAATGGCCTGTTATCTAATTCTACATCAGGTAATATACTGTAGTTTCTGTTAGGGTAGTGGCCTGTTATCTAATTCTACATCAGGTAATATACTGTAGTTACTGTTAGGGTAGTGGCCTGTTATCTTATTCTACATCAGGTAATATACTGTAGTTTCTGTTAGGGTAGTGGCCTGTTATCTAATTCTACATCAGGTAATATACTGTAGTTTCTGTTAGGGAAGTGGCCTGTTATCTAATTCTACATCAGGTAATATACTGTAGTTACTGTTAGGGTAGTGGCCTGTCATCTAATTCTACATCAGGTAATATACTGTAGTTTCTGTTAGGGTAGTGGACTGTTATCTGATTCTACATCAGGTAATATACTGTAGTTTCTGTTAGGGTAGTGGCCTGTTATCTAATTCTACATCAGGTAATATACTGTAGTTACTGTTAGGGTAGTGGCCTGTTATCTAATTCTACATCAGGTAATATACTGTAGTTACTGTTAGGGTAGTGGCCTGTTATCTAATTCTACATCAGGTAATATACTGTAGTTACTGTTAGGGTAGTGGCCTGTTATCTAATTCTACATCAGGTAATATACTGTAGTTACTGTTAGGGTAGTGGCCTGTTATCTAATTCTACATCAGGTAATATACTGTAGTTACTGTTAGGGTAGTGGCCTGTTATCTAATTCTACATCAGGTAATATACTGTAGTTTCTCTTAGAGAAATGGCCTGTTATCTAATTCTACATCAGGTAATATACTGTAGTTACTGTTAGGGAAGTGGCCTGTTATCTAATTCTACATCAGGTAATATACTGTAGTTTCTCTTAGAGTAGTGGCCTGTTATCTAATTCTACATCAGGTAATATACTGTAGTTTCTGTTAGGGTAGTGGCCTGTTATCTAATTCTACACCAGGTAATATACTGTAGTTTCTGTTAAGGTAGTGGCCTGTTATCTAATTCTACATCAGGTAATATACTGTAGTTTCTGTTAGGGTAGTGGCCTGTTATCTAATTCTACATCAGGTAATATCCTGTAGTTTCTGTTAGGGTAGTGGCCTGTTATCTAATTCTACATCAGGTAATATACTGTAGTTACTGTTAGGGTAGTGGCCTGTTATCTAATGCTACATCAGGTAATATCCTGTAGTTACTCTTAGGGTAGTGGCCTGTTATCTAATTCTACATCAGGTAATATCCTGTAGTTACTGTTAGGGTAGTGGCCTGTTATCTAATTCTACATCAGGTAATATACTGTAGTTTCTCTTAGGGTAGTGGCCTGTTATCTAATTCTACATCAGGTAATATCCTGTAGTTTCTGTTAGGGTAGTGGCCTGTTATCTTATTCTACATCAGGTAATATCCTGTAGTTTCTGTTAGGGTAGTGGCCTGTTATCTAATTCTACATCAGGTAATATACTGTAGTTACTGTAAGGGTAGTGGACTGTTATCTGATTCTACATCAGGTAATATACTGTAGTTTCTGTTAGGGTAGTGGCCTGTTATCTAATTCTACATCAGGTAATATACTGTAGTTTCTCTTAGGGTAGTGGCCTGTTATCTAATTCTACATCAGGTAATATACTGTAGTTACTGTTAGGGTAGTGGCCTGTTATCTAATTCTACATCAGGTAATATACTGTAGTTACTGTTAGGGTAGTGGCCTGTTATCTAATTCTACATCAGGTAATATACTGAAGTTACTGTTAGAGTAGTGGCCTGTTATCTAATTCTACATCAGGCAATATCCTGTAGTTTCTCTTAGGGTAGTGGCCTGTTATCTAATTCTACATCAGGTAATATCCTGTAGTTTCTCTTAGGGTAGTGGCCTGTTATCTAATTCTACAGCAGGTAATATACTGTAGTTACTGTTAGGGTAGTGGCCTGTTATCTAATGCTACATCAGGTAATATCCTGTAGTTACTGTTAGGGTAGTGGCCTGTTATCTAATTCTACATCAGGTAATATACTGTAGTAACTGTTAGGGTAGTGGCCTGTTATCTAATTCTACATCAGGTAATATACTGTAGTTACTGTTAGGGTAGTGGCCTGTTATCTAATTCTACATCAGGTAATATGCTGTAGTTACTGTTAGGGTAGTGGCCTGTTATCTAATGCTACATCAGGTAATATCCTGTAGTTACTGTTAGGGTAGTGGCCTGTTATCTAATTCTACATCAGGTAATATACTGTAGTTACTGTTAGGGTAGTGGCCTGTTATCTAATTCTACATCAGGTAATATCCTGTAGTTTCTGTTAGGGTAGTGGCCTGTTATCTAATTCTACATCAGGTAATATACTGTAGTTACTGTAAGGGTAGTGGACTGTTATCTGATTCTACATCAGGTAATATACTGTAGTTTCTGTTAGGGTAGTGGCCTGTTATCTAATTCTACATCAGGTAATATACTGTAGTTACTGTTAGGGTAGTGGCCTGTTATCTAATTCTACATCAGGTAATATACTGTAGTTACTGTTAGGGTAGTGGCCTGTTATCTAATTCTACATCAGGTAATATACTGTAGTTACTGTTAGGGTAGTGGCCTGTTATCTAATTCTACATCAGGTAATATACTGTAGTTACTGTTAGGGTAGTGGCCTGTTATCTAATTCTACATCAGGTAATATACTGTAGTTTCTCTTAGAGTAATGGCCTGTTATCTAATTCTACATCAGGTAATATACTGTAGTTACTGTTAGGGAAGTGGCCTGTTATCTAATTCTACATCAGGTAATATACTGTAGTTTCTCTTAGAGTAGTGGCCTGTTATCTAATTCTACATCAGGTAATATACTGTAGTTTCTGTTAGGGTAGTGGCCTGTTATCTAATTCTACACCAGGTAATATACTGTAGTTTCTGTTTAGGTAGTGGCCTGTTATCTAATTCTACATCAGGTAATATACTGTAGTTTCTGTTAGGGTAGTGGCCTGTTATCTAATTCTACATCAGGTAATATCCTGTAGTTTCTGTTAGGGTAGTGGCCTGTTATCTAATTCTACATCAGGTAATATACTGAAGTTTCTGTTAGGGTAGTGGCCTGTTATCTAATTCTACATCAGGTAATATACTGTAGTTACTGTTAGGGTAGTGGCCTGTTATCTAATTCCACATCAGGTAATATACTGTAGTTACTGTTAGGGAAGTGGCCTGTTATCTAATTCTACATCAGGTAATATACTGTAGTTACTGTTAGGGTAGTGGCCTATTATCTAATTCTACATCAGGTAATATACTGAAGTTTCTGTTAGGGAAGTGGCCTGTTATCTAATTCTACATCAGGTAATATACTGTAGTTACTGTTAGGGAAGTGGCCTGTTATCTAATTCTACATCAGGTAATATACTGTAGTTACTGTTAGGGTAGTGGCCTGTTATCTAATGCTACATCAGGTAATATCCTGTAGTTACTCTTAGGGTAGTGGCCTGTTATCTAATTCTACATCAGGTAATATCCTGTAGTTACTGTTAGGGTAGTGGCCTGTTATCTAATTCTACATCAGGTAATATACTGTAGTTTCTCTTAGGGTAGTGGCCTGTTATCTAATTCTACATCAGGTAATATACTGTAGTTTCTCTTAGGGTAGTGGCCTGTTATCTAATTCTACATCAGGTAATATACTGTAGTTACTGTTAGGGTAGTGGCCTGTTATCTAATTCTACATCAGGTAATATACTGTAGTTACTGTTAGGGTAGTGGCCTGTTATCTAATTCTACATCAGGTAATATACTGAAGTTACTGTTAGAGTAGTGGCCTGTTATCTAATTCTACATCAGGCAATATCCTGTAGTTTCTCTTAGGGTAGTGGCCTGTTATCTAATTCTACATCAGGTAATATCCTGTAGTTTCTCTTAGGGTAGTGGCCTGTTATCTAATTCTACTTCAGGTAATATCCTGTAGTTTCTCTTAGGGTAGTGGCCTGTTATCTAATTCTACATCAGGTAATATCCTGTAGTTTCTCTTAAGGTAGTGGCCTGTTATCTTATTCTACATCAGGTAATATCCTGTAGTTTCTCTGAGGGTAGTGGCCTGTTATCTAATTCTACATCAGGTAATATCCTGTAGTTTCTCTGAGGGTAGTGGCCTGTTATCTAATTCTACATCAGGTAATATACTGTAGTTACTGTTAGGGTAGTGGCCTGTTATCTAATTCTACATCAGGTAATATACTGTAGTTACTGTTAGGGTAGTGGCATGTTATCTAATTCTACATCAGGTAATATACTGTAGTTACTGTTAGGGTAGTGGCCTGTTATCTAATTCTACATCAGGTAATATACTGTAGTTTCTGTTAGGGTAGTGGCCTGTTATCTAATTCTACATCAGGTAATATACTGTAGTTTCTGTTAGGGTAGTGGCCTGTTATCTAATTCTACATGAGTAATATACTGTAGTTTCTGTTAGGGTAGTGGCCTGTTATCTAATTCTACATCAGGTAATATACTGTAGTTTCTCTTAGGGTAGTGGCCTGTTATCTAATTCTACATCAGGTAATATACTGAAGTTACTGTTAGGGTAGTGGCCTGTTATCTAATTCTACATCAGGTAATATACTGAAGTTTCATTTAGGGTAGTGGCCTGTTATCTAATTCTCGCATGAAGAGATATTTGTCGTATCCCATTACACAGTGTGTGAAACGATAAATGTGTTAATTTGATTGGCTTAACCAGCATAATGAAATGATATTGTGACATTTCCATTGAGTATTCGTTAGATCATTGATGATTTTGAAAGGTCAAAACACTGTACAATTATATTCAAAACACTCACCCTTAGCACTTGAAAATGTTGTTTTTGTCAAATTTTACAAAATTCTTAAGCACGCAAAATGTTTTAAAATGTCTGATGGTAAGCATCAGATGCATTTTTCTTGATTTACCTTCATCAAAACACTCAAACCAAAACATCTGAAAGCCAGGGATGTATAAATACAAAGAACTGCCAGTGTTCTCCCCAGAAATTTTTTAAGGCGCAAAATTTCAAGGGCATTTAACCCTATTTTAGAGTGAACTATTGTGACCTGAAGCAATTGGTCATAAATCATTATATGCAATCATACACAGTATTAATATACATGTACATGATAAAGAATAAGAATATATATATGAAATAAATTCATTTTAAACACAGAAAGCATTTATATCACAGTCAATTAAATAAGTCAAAATGTATATATAGTTCAAGAAAAATCCTCATGTTCTTCTGGGCCTTCCAGTGCTGTACAGCTTCAGAAATATTAATTTCTGTACTTTCTAGAGATCTAGTAACAAGACAGTTTGTAATTTTGTTGGACAGCCTGTTCCTCAGTCTTTATCCTCTTTAGAGTTGAAAACATCATCTGCCTTTCGCTTAACCCATTTCTTCTTTGCAAAGAACATGTTGATTCAGTATTAAAATTAATTATGTTTAAGATGTTTGGTATACAACCTTTTAAAACAGAAAAAATTGTAATGAACCAACTGACCAGTGTCCATAGTTTTACATTACGCTTCCGTGTGTATAATTGTCAAAACGTTTCATTGGCAGGTAGATATAAACGAAACGTGACAAATTCTTCAAAGTTAATACCAGTGAAATTCTTTACCAGTGACATTATACAAATGCTGCAGCAATTCCGTACATATTTCCCGATGGATGAATTAACGATCGATGTTAAAAAAATATTTTATTTCTAAAACGTGACAGTTGACAGACAAATTTTACTTGCAAGCAACAATTTTTCACTTTCTAATAAAATAAATCACTCCTCGTTATCTTTAATAAAAGTTTATTTTACTTATTTTACTCTCATTCATAAATTTCATCGTAAATTTCTTGAGTAATGTGTATTCAAATTTATCACGTGTATTCATCATGTTCATTGGTCGTGTTTAAATAGATTCTTCTTCTCGACCAATGAAAAAATTCGTTACTTAAATGGCCAAGTGATTGCACACAGACGATGCGTAAATACAATGTATTTGCGAATGTATTTGCGATCTATTTCTTCAATTTTTGCACTGAAGTTTTTAAAAACTTTTATTTTCAACTAAAAATAAATATCTTCTTGATGATCATTTACGCTATAATCTGATTACATGGTCTGATAAGGCTGGAACAGGTAAATCAGAGACTTTTGCTAGTTATCAGTTATTGCGCAACATTAACCGACCTCTCAGCGGTGATCAGCAACTTGACAATTTTAACCAACATTTATAATTAAAATGTGAAAATTAACACGCTACGGGATCAAGTATTAAGGGACAGCGGCCAATTAAGACGCTGCCGGATCAACAAAAATATTTTGAAGGCGCTGCGGGACCGCAGGGTCATATCGGTCTGGGGAGAACACTGTCTGCTAAAATTTGATTGTTGTGATTTTATACTTCAGTTTTATTAACCAGATTTTTGAAGGAAAAATCGGTTATTGATTTGGGGATGTACGGTGGGCTGGCGGGTGGCTGCCAAACAGTGTCCGTTCATAAACATGCAAACGCTTTGACCAATTTTTAGCTCACCTGGCCCAAAGGGCCAAGTGAGCTTTTCTCATCACTTGTCGTCCGTCGTCATTAACTTTTTATACGACCGCAAAAAAATTTTTGTGGTCGTATATTGGTATGACGTTGGCGTCGTCGTCGTCGTCAGGCGTCGTCCGGCGTCGTCCGAAGACACATTGGTTTTCGCACTCTAACTTTAGTTTAAGTGAATGGATCTTTATGAAATTTTACCACAAGGTTCAATACCACAAAAGGAAGGTTGGGATTGATTTTGGGGGTTATGGTAATAACAGTAAAGGAATTAGGGGCCAAAAAGGGGCCAAAAATAAGCATTTTTGTAACTTCCAGACATAACTTGTGTGTTAGTGTATGGATCTCTCTGACATTGTACCACAAGGTTCCATATCACTTAAAGGAATGCTGGGATTGATTTTGGGGGTAATTGCCTCCAAATTTTAGGAATTAGGGGCCAAAAAAGGGGCAAAAAACAAGCATTTTTCTAGTTTCATGACAATAACTTGTGTTTAAGTGTATGGATCTTTCTGAAATTGTACTACAAGGTTCCATATCACAAAGGGAAAGCTGGGTTTGAGTTTGGGGGTAATTGCCCTAAACGTTTAGGAATTTGGGGCCAAAAAGGGGCAAAAAAAACACATTTTTTTCTAGTTTCCAGACAATAACTTGTGTTCAAGTGTATGGATCTCTCTGAAATTGTACTGCAAGGTACCATACCACAAAGGGAAGGCTGGGATTGAGTTTGGGGGTGATGAATCATAATGGGGGTTCAAAAAATTTTGGGGGGGGATTTATTTTTTTTTCATTTTTTTTCTTTTTTTCCTTTTTTGTTTCTTTTAAAATTTTCCATTTTAAGTTGGTTATTTCTGATTTATATTTAAAATCAAATAATAATGATATGGTAGGAGATACACACCAAACAGGATGTGTAAATTATTATATAATAAGTATTGTGCAATAGCAAGAAATTTTCAATTGCACAGTATTGCACAATAGCAAGAAATCTTCAATTGCACAGTATTGCGCAATAGCAAGAAATCTTCAATTGCACAGTATTGTGCAATAGCAAGAAATATCCAATAGCACAATATTGCGCAATAGCAAGAAATTGTCAATTGTACAGTATTGCGCAATAGCAAGAAATATTTAATAGCACAGGATTGTGCAAAAGAAGATACTTGCTATAAATTGCTTATTTCTTGACCAATTTCAATGGGGTTTTATTCTTGATTTCATGGGGTTCTTTAATATGCTGAATCTAACCGTGTATTTAGTTTTTGGATTTTGGGCCCCGTTTTTAAATTGGTCCACATTGAGGTCCAAAGGGTCCAAAATTAAACTTTGTTTGATTTCATCAAAAATTGAATTATTGGGGTTCTTTGATATGCCGAATCTAACCGTGTATTTAGATTCTTAAATTTTGGTTCCGTTTTCAAATTGGTCTACATTAAGGTCCAAAGGGTCCAAAATTAAACTTAGTTTGATTTTAACAAAAAATGAATTCTTAGGGTTCTTTGATATGCTGAATCTAAACATGTATTTAGATTTTTGATTATGGGCCCAGTTTTCAAGTTGGTCCAAATCGGGGTCCAAAATTAAACTTTGTTTGATTTCAACAAAAATTGAATATATGGGGTTCTTTGATATGCTGAATCTAACCATGTATTTAGATTTTTTATTTTTGGGCCCCATTATCAACTTTGTCCACATTGAGGTCAAAAGGGTCCAAAATTAAACTTTGTTTGATTTCATCAAAAATTGAATTATTGGGGTTCTTTGATATCCCGAATCTAACCATGTATTTAGATTCTTAATTTTTGGTTCCGTTTTCAAATTGGTCTACATTAAGGTCCAAAGGGTCCAAAATTAAACTTAGTTTGATTTTAACAAAAATTGAATTCTTAGGGTTCTTTGATATGCTGAATCTAAACATGTATTTAGATTTTTGATTATGGGCCCAGTTTTCAAGTTGGTCCAAATCAGGGTCCAAAATTAAACTTTGTTTGATTTCAACAAAAATTGAATATATGGGGTTCTTTGATATGCTGAATCTAACGATGTATTTAGATTTTTGATTTTTGGGCCCCGTTATCAACTTTGTCCACATTGAGGTCAAAAGGGTCCAAAATTAAACTTTGTTTGATTTCATCAAAAATTGAATTCTTGGGGTTCTTTGATATGCTGAATCTAACCATGTATTTAGATTTTGGATATTGGACCATAATAGGTGAATGTCCAATTTAAAATTTTTAAGTTCTTAGACCACATTCAATCTGTGTTAGAAACCTATGCTGTGTCAAATATTTAATCACAATCCAAATCCAAAGCTGTATCAAGCTTGAATGTTGTGTCCATACTTCCCCCAACTGTTCAGGGTTCGACCTCTGCGGTCGTATCAAGCTGCGCCCTGCGGAGCATTTTATTACCTTTTGAACTTCTTCTAGAGAACCACTGAATGGAATGAAACCAAACATGGCATGAATGTTCCTTATGAGGTGCTGACCAAGTGTTGTTACTTTGTAGCGGATCCATCATCCAAGATGGCCGCCATCGGGGGACTTAGTTTAACATAGGACCCTATGGGAAATACATACAAATGTTTTCTTTTAGAGAACCACTGAATGGAATGAAACCAAACATGGCATGAATGTTCCTTATGAGGTGCTGACCAAGTGTTGTTACTTTGAAGCTGATCCATTATCCAAGATGGCCGCCAGCGGGGGACTTAGTTTGACATAGGACCCTATGGGAAATACATACAAATGTCTTCTTTTAGAGAACCACTGAATGGTATGAAACCAAACATGGTCTGAATGTTCCTTATGAGGTGCTGACCGAGTGTTGTTACTTTGAAGCCGATCCATAATCCAAGATGGCCGCCAGCGGGGGACTTAGTTTAACATAGGACCCTATGGGAAATACATACAAATGTCTTCTTTTAGAGAACCACTGAATGGAATGAAACCAAACATGGCATGAATGTTCCTTATGAGGTGCTGACCAAGTGTTGTTACTATGAAGCCGATCCATAATCCAAGATGGCCGCCAGCAGGGGACTTAGTTTAACATATGGACCCTATGGGAAATACATACAAATGTCTTCTTTTAGAGAACCACTGAATGGAATGAAACCAAACATGGCATGAATGTTTCTTATGAGGTGCTGACCGAGTGTTGTTACTTTGAAGCCGATCCATAATCCAAGATGGCCGCCAGCAGGGGACTTAGTTTAACATGGGACCCTAAGAGAAATACATACAAATGTCTTCTTTTAGAGAACCACTGAATGGAATGAAACCAAACATGGCATGAATGTTCCTTATGAGGTGCTGACCGAGTGTTGTTACTATGAAGCCGATCCATAATCCAAGATGGCCGCCAGATGGGGACAATGTTTAACAAAGGACCTTATGGACAATACATACAAATGTCTTCTTTTAGAGAACCACATACTGAATGGATTGAAACTAAACATGGCATGAATGTTCCTTATGAGGTGCTGACTAAGTTTTGTTACTTTGAAGCTGATCCTTCATCCATGATGGACGCCAATGGGGGGACTTCCTTTAACATAAGACCCTATGGGGAATACATACAAATGCTTCTTCTAGAGGTGCACTGAATGGAATGAAACCAAAACATGGCATAAATATTTCTTATGAGGTGCTGATGAAGTGTTGCTACTTTGTTGCCGATTTACTGTTCAAGATGGCCACCAGGATTTTTTATTAAATTACAGGACCAATATTAAACCAAATTTGGCCTCACTCATTATTAGGGTATCTGTTATGATTTTAATCTATTTTTACATGATTTCCAAAACCAAAGTAGAATCAGGTGAGCGACACAGGCTCTTGAGAGCCTCTAGTTTTATATTTTGATATGTTTTTACCTGTGACTAAATGAAGGTCAAGTTCAATTTTCATGATTTTAGCTTCTCTCGTTTTTGAGTTTTCGACTTTTTAGAAGTCCGAATATATAATTACCGGTATTATAATATTGAGTTATTTCCCTTTGAACAGAAATTGTGATTTGCAAATATCATTTTCATTGGATAATAATCTATTTTTATTAAAGGATATATTTCACCACATTACATTGTGTAGATAAAATTGTTGACATTGATAGATAAGTTTCAGATCTATATTAGTTTGTGACAAATGAAAGAAAAAATATTGGGAACTATTAATTATATATATAAAGTTTGATTACACTAAGTATTTTTAAATAATTTTCACCTGTTAATAGATAACAAAACATCTGGTAAATATCTTATCACACAATTATAATTTCGACCTCTGCAGGAAAATCCGGTTTGCTGTCACTCTGACAGCCTCTTGTCTCAATTACTTTGACAGAAATATAGATTAGATATGCATCATATTAATTTCATATTTTTTTTATTTATCCCAGGAACAGTAATAGGGGCAGTAGCTATGGAAGGTTTTTATGTTATATTTGATAGAGCCAATAAAACAATTGGTTTTGGTGAATCATCTTGTCCAGTGAGAGATGAAACCGCTTTAAAATCTACCATTCTTGGTAACATTCCATATAAAGGTTTGTATACATAACATTTTAGGTCACTCTATTATATCTTATTTCTGTCAATAGCTATTTACCTATCCATAAAAGATCGGCGGGGGACATTTTAGTGGAAAAAAATCAGAAGTTTTAGCGGCATTTTATTGCCAGATTTTTAACCCATTTTAGTGAAAAGTGAAATTATTAATGCCCATTTAAGCGATAGAAATTAATTAATATTAAAACTTTTTAGGTCCAGTTAAAGTCTAAAAATTAACTCAAATGTTTAATTAAAATGAAATTGAGAATGGAAATGGGGAATGTGTGTCATAATGTATGTAAAACTTCCTAGGTCAAAGGTCAAGTTCAAACACTTTGGTTTTAGTTGACAACCCCATGTCCTTTGGTAAAGATCGTGTCTGCTCTATATCTTGAGAACTGTTATGATTTCAAAGTTTATACTTGACATGTATATAAACCAACACCAGAGGGTGTGTCATAATTTATGTACAACTTCCTAGGTCAAAGGTCAGGGTCATAAACTTCGGTTTCAGTTGACAACCCCATGTCCAATGATAAAGATACAAATTTTTTGCCACACGTTATTCACAGCTGGACCCACAGAGATGGCTCCCATCTCAATGATATCTAGTTTCCTCTGTTTGTTTCAACAATATTTATTTCCACCATTAACCAAATTGTAAATGCAAACAAGTAACATTAAGCCAGCATAGATTATTGTTTATGGATGTATATAGATAGGGTTTTATATGTCTCTGGTATTATTCAACCAGGTAAATTTTCGCTAAAATAGGCTCCCTAAAATACTTGTGAATGGATTAATACGGAGCTAAAATGTCCCCTCAGGCTAGTAGTTTTAAATTTTTAGCTAGAATGTCCTGCGCCCTAAAATATATTATCACATATTTGTTATGAAATCATTGGGTTTCGCATTTGTAATAACCACAGAATAGCCTTAGTTATATTTATCCCAAGGGAAAATGTTTAATCAAAGTTATTAAAAGTTTGTTATATACTTTAGCAAGATCTCCCTTTGTCAAAGTCTTTATTAGTAAAGAAAGATAAATTGCTACAGGCAATGAATGGTCTTGCCCCTTTGGATTTAAAAAAAAAGATTTTGGGAAGAAGATCTTAATGCATAGTTATTAACAATATTGAACCACTTGAAAATAGTTCAGATAAATATTGTGCTGCTAGATTATTCAATCATTTTATATCATCTGTGCCATAAAATATCTAATTCTATTATTAATAGTAAGCCATTCTTATTCTTTAAACGTAACTGATGAAGAAATATCAAAACCCTCATTTAAAATATCTTTACATTAGGGCTTTTTTTTGTTCTTTTATATTAATGACCTGTTTTCTGTATAAAGATTGGTTGCAAGGACTTATATGATGATGACTCAACATCGCATTTGCTTGGAATTATGAAACTTTACAGTAACAGGTATATGATGGTTTGCTTGTGTTTGTGTTGAGGAAAGGTGTAATGATCATATCAATTTTATTAACACTAATAACATAAGATTGTTATCATAAAAGTGAACAAGGATGCACCATCATATTTCTGTTTAAACAGCAATCCATATTCCTTCAGAAATCTCTCTCTCACTAAATCAAAAATAGGATTGTAACATCTTTTGATGAGGAGCATCTTTGGAAGAATTTACTTACATCTTTTATAAGTGACACATACTTTGCTAGAGTACAGGATCATAAATCATTTAAGTGTTGTCTCCCCTCATAAAGTGTTTCAAATAAATATACACTTCCTTTAAATGTATTTCAATCAATTAATGACAAAAAAAATGTTCATTGCTTTTAATGATTGTCATAACTTTATATATATATCACTGCCAACTGTATGGAAAATTCACTTTTCATTAAATCATGTGTTTTGTATTGGTTAATTAGAAGTACATTACACCTTCTACTTTTGTGGATAAATAGTATCATTTTAATGTTTGCCATGTATGCACTTTTTTTCAAAAAACAAGATCCCCACCCATAGCAAGGGGATACACCAAAACCCACTGGATTCCAACAAACCTCCCTGAAAAGAGAAAATACTATTTAAGACTATTAGATTCAAGATTCAGATTGAAGCTTGACTTAAAGTTCAATGTTGTGACCCCAAATAACCCCCCTCTGAGAAATCCTTGCTACACACTAGAGGCCTTTACTCTTTTGTGGTGAGGGCCAAAGGTAAGATAAGTTGTATTACTACTTACTAACTGTGTTACACTGTAAAAATAAAGTATTTTGTTTATTTTGTTTTTGTTGTTAGATATAAGATTGTTCAGAAAATCTTTTCTAAAATACTGTAAATTCAGAAATTATTGCGAAGTTTTTATTAATGCAAATAACACGACTACTTGAGTATCGCAATAATAAAAACTCACATTCTGATATCAAATACATATATCTGTATGTAGCTTTTCCTCAAATCGCAATAGTTAAACTCACATTTTTGTTAATTTTTCAAAAATCGCAATAAGAAATGCACGCAATAATTTCTGAATTTACAGTATTGACACAATAAAGGAAACAGTTATTCTTTGGTAATTGTATGAATTAAAAGAATGTACTCTTTTTTAAAAATTGTGCATTGTCTGCCTTCTGTGTGCATTATGTTGACAGGTGAAGACAAAATCTTATATTTATTTTTCCAGTTATATATAATACCTTCTTAATGTATAATTATTCAATTTTAAGTTGTCTTAACCATATGTAAATGAATGACGGCTTTTAAGAAAAAATTGCTCTTCAATCCACAAAATTGTGTACCAATACTTTAACATCACAATGTTTGTTTGTTTGCAGGAAATTATAAAGATTGTGCATACAACAAAAAAGAACCAGATACTAAATCATTAACAATAGCAGGTTATATAATGGCTGGACTGACGTGTGTATGTATCGTTCCATTTATAATTGTATTCATTAAGTGGAAATGGCAGGATAGAATGTTACGTTACAGACATCATGACCAAACAGATTTAATACAGACTGATAGATGATATTAATAACTTTATATAGTAGAGATAAAAATTATAGATACATTATACATCACAGGTAGATTTTGTTATTTCCATCTGTCAAGGGAGTGGAAAAAACCTAATTGGTTCACTATGCCCTTCCTCTGGAAGGGACATGCCACCACTTTTTATTTCATCATTGGAACTTATAATACAGTTCCACGGAAAAATAAGTAAAGCATTGGTATTCATATTTGTTTATACCAAATCTGATGTTAAATTTGATTTGGAAGGAGTTGTCTGCCCACAGTTCAGGTTGAAGTGAGAAAATCAAAAATGACCTGATGTGTAGATGAGATTAATTAATGGGTGTTTAGTAGGATGAGAGCTTACACAACTAATCATGACAATCAATTTTACTCCTTTTAAAAAATCACTGATAAGGACAAGAACAGATATTGCTTCAAATATTATACTGTGGAATCAGTTATTTTTCGTGGATATCAGTTTTCGTGGATTGAGGAACAATTGTATTTTTTTGGATATTTGATTTCGTTGTTTTGCTAAAGTGTGCATACAAGCTTTTGTACTTTGTTGAACATTTGAATTCTTGGTTAAACTATATCCACAAACTCCACATAAATTGATATTCCACATAAATTGATATTCCACGTAAATTGATATTCCACAAATAATAATTAATCCACAGTACACAGGAAATGACAAAACAAGAGAAATGTGCTTCAATTGCTGTTTTGATATTTTCAGATTTTTATCCAAAGAAATCAGTATTATGAAATGACGAAATGATTTTTATGCCCACGCCGTAGCGGAGGGGGCATTAAGTTTTACCCTTGTCCGTCTGTACGTACGTACGTACGTCCCAAAATTGGTTTCCATTCTCTAACTTGAGTTTGCCTCAACCAAATGTTATGAAACTTATACACAATGCTTATTATCACAAAATACAGATCAAGTTAGAATTTTGGTGGGGTCACTTTAACCATTCTCGAGTTATGCCCCATTATAAATTGAAAAATTAAAAAAATTTAGTTTCCGTTCTGTAACTTAAGTTTGCCCCAACCAAACATTATGAAACCTATACACAATACTTATTACCACAAAACTCAGATCAAGTACAAATTTGGGTAGCATCACTTTTATCGTTTTTGAGTTATGTCCCTTTATAATGTTGTATGCAAGCGGGGGCATTATCTGTGTCCATGGGGACATATTCTCCATTTTTTTGAAATATGAAGTTTATTTGTACAAGGCATAAAAAGATATAGAAATGGTAAGCTGACCAATCATATCTATTTCCTGCAGAGTTATCTTTACTTTTCTTTATACTGCTATGCTGTAAGCTAATCAGAAGATAATTTTGGGGTGAAAATAGTAATTTATGGGCACAAAACATATGCCCCTCAAATATGCAACATCATACAATCTATAGAAATACATTGTTAATTTCAGAGGCAAGGCATAAATTTATTTATAGTCAATAAAGTTGACTGCACTGATAGCATTATAAGTTGCAATATAGATTTATTTACATTTTTATTGACTAATGAATGATTGACTTTGTTGTCAGTAAGTTGTTTATATATTCACTAGTTAAGTGGTTCACATTTAGGTCATTTATTGTTTATACTTTCACTTGTTAATTGAATATTCACTTTTTCATTATTGACATTCACATTGTCAACTGTTCATTAAGATCATTTTTAGTTTGCCTTGAGAATGGTGAAATATTCTTTGTAAACACTAACCGGATTCATACATGTCTGGGTTCACTGTAGTGTATGAAAATATCTTATATCTAATCAGGATTCAGGGGCCTCTGAGGCCGAGTGGTCTAAGAAGCCAAACTTCTATATTACTAGCCTGTCAACACTGAGGTTGGGAGTCCGAGTCCTACACATGGCAGATGCGTTCAACACCTATCTTAATTGACTACAATTATCAGTTTTCCTACTGAAGGTCCGGGGTTCTCTCCGGGCACTCAGGCTTTCTCCACCAATAAAAACTGGTGGCCTTGAAATAGCCAACAGTGCTGAAAGTGGTGTTATACCAATCAAGAAATCAATCAATATATTTAATCAAGGGGATATTGAAGCAAAACTTGTAATCATAAATTAATTTATGTTATTTTATTTTTAATATGCTCTTCTTATTTCCATGTATTTTATACTCTCTTGTGATGGTGTCTCATTTTCTTAGTTTGTCAAAGTTTCAAATTTTTTTTACAAGACCAAATATGAAAATGGGGCCTATTGATACTGCATTCAATCATCACCAGCCTCATCAACATCTAGTTTCAGTTAAGGGTTTATTTAGACTTTAATTACTTTGTCGAACCCTTCATGGAACTTATAAAAGAAACTTTGACAAAAGCTTCCTTATAATCAAATGAATTTATATTTATATCATAAATGCTGAAAATGTTTATTAAAGTAACAATTTTGCATATTACTATAACAAAATTTATATTGGATAGTAATTTAATTATGTCATTTTCACTGCCAGATCTAGTCTAAAATAGTACCTGCAATAATCACATCGGAGCATCTAGTCAAAGCTAATAGAGGAGTAATAAAAAGTTACATTTTCTTAAGTCAGAATTAGAAGGTTCAGAATGTAGAATAGATGGTGAATTTACTTTATGATATTAAATAATTATTGTTTTGGTCTAAGAGGGTGGTAAAGGGTTATTTTCGTGCAACGTGTTTTGCCATTTTTATTTCACGTGCATCCGTGAAAAAGGTTCGTTATTCACCGTGTTTCGTGAAATCGGTAAAAAGATCAATGTGCAAGAAATTTTTAATTGTTCGTTCATCGTGAAATGGCAATTTTATTTCGCGTTCTTCCGTGCAGATACCCCCCCTTTACGCCCCTCGTCTAAGTTTATGGAGTGGAATTTTTTTTATGCATTTCGATTATATAGATTAATTTTTGTCTCACCTTGCAGAATACAAAACATAGTGATGCTAATCCAGCAGGTGATGCTAGTGCATAAAGCTGAATATTTTGAAAAGGTGTTTAACAAAAATTATACATACATTATTTTTTTAAATCTTTTTTAAGAAATTTAAGTTGTTGCAATAAGATTTTGCATATAAGATGATTATTTTTTTTCAATACAAACAATCAACAAAAAGAAATCACATATTTGATTTGCTCTATGTATGTATTTTAGTGAATCATTTGAGTTCAGAATCTACCTTAGAAAAGTGCTTTATTCTTTAAAATACTGTAAACCAATTTATTTTCAATGATACTTTTTTTAGGGGGCATCTAACCCTTTTTACTAAACTTTGCAGCTATTTTTTTTTTTGTGATTTTCTTAGGCATTTTGATGTTTTTTTTATATAAAAAAAAATCCATGTTTGTCATTGTCTCAAATATTTATATTTTTCTGCTTGCAGAAGTCACTTGAATAAATAAATCACCAAAATTTGTTGGTTTACAGTAAAAGATCTAATGTATAATTATATGTTGTACATGATTTTAGTGCTTCCATATTTATTAATTTGTTATATTATATGAAATAATGTGGTTGACTTTATAAAAAAAGATAGCAAAGTTGCTAGAATATTGGCTTATTTCTTCTTACCTTGTAAACCAAAGGCTTTAAAATTAGTATTGGCTGCTTCTTTGCTAAGCACACTACGTTGAGGAGTAAGAGCGAAGACTGGTCGGCTCAGAGTTAGAATAATGTATCTGGCTAGGGTGAAATGTCTTCCAGCAGACTGTTACCTTGTGAACTAGCACCTTAAAAATCCGAAACAGTGTGTTGGTCTAAACTATAATATATATTAGTTCAGCGAAATGGACTCCACACTAAACTCTGAAACATACAAATAAACCAAAATTTAAAAAAACAGAAGACTAGCAAAGGCTAGACGTTCCTGACTTCGGACAGGCACAAAAATGTTAGGCAGGGTTAAGCATGTTTTGTTAGATCTCAACCCTCCCCTATACCTCTAGCCAATGTGGAATAAAGAAACACACTGCAAAACACACAGTAAAACTCAGTTTGAAAGAAGTCTGAGTCCGATGTTAGATTAGGTAACAGAATAAAATAAGCAAAATGACAATGATCAACATAGATTAACAAAGAACAACTATCAGTTACTGACATGCCAGATCCAGACCTAAATAAAACTCATCAAAAGATCATGTCTTCATCATATGAAAATGAAGCACAATTCCTCCCATAAGGGGTTTGGTATCATGCCATAATAAATTATACGATAAGAACATAACCCAGATCATGCCAACAACTGGATTTAGAATAAATGTGTCTATTTCCGATGCAAAGACCCTATGAGTGAATCAATATTAATTCCAAATAATGACATCTTTAGCTTTATCTACTGTTAATACAAAGATAGATTTATCAGCCATAAATCTTCAGCTTTATCTAACCCTAAAATCTTCAGTTTTATCTATCCCTGAAATCTGCAGCTTTATATCACCCTGAAATCTGCAGCTTTATATCACCCTGAAATCTGCAGCTTTATCTCACCTCGAAATATTCAGCTGTATCTAGCTCTGAAATCTTCAGCTTTATTTAACCGAAATCTTTAGCTTATCTAGCCCTGAAAGCTTCAGCTTCATCTAGCCTCGAAATCTTTAGCTTTATCTAGCCTCGAAATCTTCAGTTTTATCTAGGCTTTAATAAAAAGATGATGTTAGCTGCTAATGAACTTTACTTCATTCAGGTATTAATACAAAAATGAGTTTAGCTGCCTTGAAGCTTCAGCTAAGTCTAGGTAATAAAAAGAGATTTGTTTAAGTACTTTTCACAAAATTTTTTTTTTTTTCTTTTTTTTTTCTTTTAAAATTTTCCATTTTAAGTTGGTTATTTCTGATTTATATTTAAAAGCAAATAATAATGATATGGTAGGAGATACACACCAAACAGGATGTGTAAATTATTATATAATAAGTATTGTGCAATAGCAAGAAATTTTCAATTGCGCAATATTGCACAATAGCAAGAAATCTTCAATTGCACAGTATTGCGCAATAGCAAGAAATCTTCAATTGCACAGTATTGCGCAATAGCAAGAAATATCCAATAGCACAATATTGCGCAATAGCAAGAAATTGTCAATTGTACAGTATTGCGCAATAGCAAGAAATATTTAATTGCACAGTATTGTTCAAAAGAAGATACTTCGTATAAATTGCTTATTTCTTGACCAATTTCAATGGGGTTTTATTCTTGAATTCTTGGGTTTCTTTAATATGCTGAATCTAACCGTGTATTTAGTTTTTGGATTTTGGGCCCCGTTTTTAAATTGGTCCACATTGAGGTCCAAAGGGTCCAAAATTAAACTTTGTTTGATTTCATCAAAAATTAAATTATTGGGGTTCTTTGATATGCCGAATCTAACCATGTATTTAGATTCTTAATTTTTGGTTCCGTTTTCAAATTGGTCTACATTAAGGTCCAAAGGGTCCAAAATTAAACTTAGTTTGATTTTAACAAAAATTGAATTCTTAGGGTTCTTTGATATGCTGAATCTAAACACCCTATGATTAAATTTAGACATCAATAAAAAGATCATTATACGTTGTAATACAAGTGAAATCTAGGTATCAATAGAGATGGGTTCATCCACCTCCGGACTCCGTCAAATCCAGGATTAAAATACAGGTTTAATTGCATGTGTATTTGTTAAATGATTTTTGGAGGCGATACGGGAATGACTATACTGTAGCACAACAGTCTGAAAGTTCCAGAATTTCACTGTTGAGGAGAGAAATAGTTAGCGTATTGTTGTCTCCTTATACCAATAGGTTGAAAAGCAGTAGCATTACGTGTATTATATTCATGTATATAATATAACGGAACCGTTCAAGGAAAATATCAATGCGATAAGTTGGAGTGATACTGTTAGTCATATTCAACTGCTATTTACGCGGTAAATAAGATTCCTACAATTAATAGTATTTATCGAAATAATTTATAAGGAGAGTCGTCGTTGATGAAGGCATTTTTTTTAATACACGTGACAGGTGTTTTTTTATTACATGTTTGTCAGACTAAAAGGAACATTTATACAAAAAAAATAAATTCCTAGTGACAATAAATGACATTTTATGCAGCAGTCACGTTCATTCTGACTAAAATCGACGTAGTTTTTGCATGCTTAACGCCATACAGTAGTACTTATAAAGTTCAGACATATAAAAATCATTTTATTTTTTTCATGATAATGGCAGACATCGGCAACACTATACATCATGTACCAGGAAAGAAAAATATTGTTCATTTTTTATAGAGTAAGTGATAGTCCTGCAAAACACGACTTCATGTTAAGGGGTCGATATTTTTTATCGGGTACAAATAGAGGTGTGCAAATAAGGGCTGTGACATTTTAAAGTATAGTGGTAACATAGTTTTATAATGAGGGACCGGCAATATTAAAATAACTGTATTTTAGCTTCGTCTTCGCAGTCGGATTTTAATTCTATTTCTAAAAAGACAAAGACACAACGTCAACTCTTTGATAAAAGAATACGGATGCTGTGCTAAAAATAAGCAAGGTTTCAGACTTTTGCAGGTACATTAACATATGTTGAGGTTGAGTTAGTTTCTTCCCATTTTAGCTCAACTTGATCGAAGATCCATATGAGCAATTGCCATTACTCGGTGTCTGTCGTAGTCGACAATTATAAGTAGTTTTGTGCGGCCTATATGACAAAAAGCTAAAATTATCACCAGGTTAAAATAAAATTATAGGCACTAAATGAAAAAAGGAATTGCAGAAATGATCAACTTGAAAGTATAAATTTAATCAGATCACCGATTTTAGGAATGACGGCCTCTAAAATGTAATTTTTTGTGGATTTTGCAGTTTTTTTGCAATTAGGTCGTAAACCATATTGGCTGAATGAATTCATAATTTTTTGCAAAATGATGAAAATAAAATCAAGATCTTAACTACTTTGTACAGCATAAGATCCCGAATAGTACGTTTTCTTTTTATATTAGCTATTTTTCTTTCTTTTACCTCTTATCGTTATTTACTATTCCAATTTTACTATTTCTGTTCTTTCTAAGCATTGGAATCTTACAGATACCTTACGGTGTTAAAACTCTTGTTCATGTTTTTAAAAGTTACTAAACGGGTCATTAGCAGTTTTAGCGGATTTTCAACAGTTTTAAAACTTTGACGGTAATTATACAAAAAAATGCACAAATTATGAAAACGAAAATTTACATGATTGCAAAGCCATTTTTTCAACCGACCGATGTTGGTATGAATAAAGTGAAATGTGGGGTATATGTCAATGAGACACCAACGACAACAATAACCGAAAGACATCTGGAGGGCAATACACAGTCTTCAATATTAAACAAATACAATATGTCGGGCTCAAAATCGTCACGAATCTATGAAAGTGAGTGAATGAATTAAACAGAAACAAATAAACATCTGCCATCTACACCAAATTCTCCAAATAAAAAAAAGGCAGTAAGATATAACATGTCGGAATACCGATAGCATACAACTATCAGAGTTATGATATCTTTTATCAGTTTTTAACGACAACTATGATCAACTATGACAATGATGATGAGACGACAACTATGACGATGACGACGACAGCTATGACGATGACAACAATGATGATGATGTTAATACTATCTTTTCTTGACAGTATTTTTCATGCCCTTCAAAATTTTAATTATTTGGAATCAGGTTGCATACATGTATTCAAGTAACATCTTTATTTTCAATCAAAATACCATCTGCTCCTAATTGTAACGTTTTATTAAAATATAACTGTTGACCAAATTGAAGACCTAAAACAAGAATGGTATATTATTTTGCATAAAAAACAAACTCTGAATTTGAAAAGTATCCACCAAGTGTAACAAGGATGGAAACAAGAACTAAACCCCTTAACATGCATATACCTGATAACTTTATTCCTGAAGCGTAAGGCATGCACAGTTAGCGGCAAGTCATTTAGAACAAAAACCCTTAACATACATATACCTGATAACTTTATTCCTGAATCGTAAGGCATGCACAGTTAGCGACAAGTCATTTAGAACAAAAACCCTTAACATACATATACCTGATAACTTTATTCCTGAAGCGTAAGGCATGCACAGTTAGCGGCAAGTCATTTAGAACAAAAACCCTTAACATGCATATACCTGATAACTTTATTCCCGAAGCGTAAGCCATGCACAGTTAGCGGCAAGTCATTTAGAACAAGAACGCTTAACATGCATATACCTGATAACTTTATTCCTGAATCGTAAGGCATGCACAGTTAGCGGCAAGTCATTTAGAACAAGAACGCTTAACATGCATATACCTGATAACTTTATTCCTGAAGCGTAAGCCATGCACAGTTAGCGACAAGTCATTTAGAACAAAAACCCTTAACATTCACATACCTGATAACTTTATTCCTGAAGCGTAAGGCATGCACAGTTAACGGCAAGTCATTTAGAACAAAAACCCTTAACATGCATATACCTGATAACTTTATTCCTGAAGCGTAAGTCATGCACAGTTAGCGACAAGTCATTTAGAACAAAAACCCTTAACATGCATATAC